AGAGAGACGGGGTGTGTGTGTGTGTGTGTGTGTAAGACAGAGGGAGAGAGAGACGGGTGTGTGTGTGTGTGTGTGTGTGTGTGTGTGTGTGTGTGAGAGAGAGGGAGAGAGAGACGGGTGTGTGTGTGTGTGTGTGTGTAAGACAGAGGGAGAGAGAGACGGGGTGTGTGTGTGTGTGTGTGTGTAAGACAGAGGGAGAGAGACGGGGTGTGTGTGTGTGTGTAAGACAGAGGGAGAGAGACGGGTGTGTGTGTGTGTGTGTGTGTGTGTAAGACAGAGGGAGAGAGACAGGGTGTGTGTGTGTGTGTGTGTGTGTGTAAGACAGAGGGAGAGAGAGACGGGGTGTGTGTGTGTGTGTGTGTGTAAGACAGAGGGAGAGAGAGACGGGGTGTGTGTGTGTGTGTGTGTAAGACAGAGGGAGAGAGAGACGGGGTGTGTGTGTGTGTGTGTGTGTAAGACAGAGGGAGAGAGAGACGGGGTGTGTGTGTGTGTGTGTGTGTGTAAGACAGAGGGAGAGAGAGACGGGGTGTGTGTGTGTGTGTGTGTAAGACAGAGGGAGAGAGAGACGGGTGTGTGTGTGTGTGTGTGTGTAAGACAGAGGGAGAGAGAGACGGGGGTGTGTGTGTGTGTGTGTGTAAGACAGAGGGAGAGAGAGACGGGGTGTGTGTGTGTGTGTGTGTGTGTGTGTGTGTGTAAGACAGAGGGAGAGAGAGACGGGGTGTGTGTGTGTGTGTAAGACAGAGGGAGAGAGAGACAGGGTGTGTGTGTGTGTGTGTGTGTGTGTGTAAGACAGAGGGGGAGAGAGACGGTGTGTGTGTGTGTGTGTGTGTGTGTGTAAGACAGAGGGAGAGAGAGACGGGTGTGTGTGTGTGTGTGTGTGTAAGACAGAGGGAGAGAGAGACGGTGTGTGTGTGTGTGTGTGTGTGTGTAAGACAGAGGGAGAGAGACGGGGTGTGTGTGTGTGTGTGTGTGTGTAAGACAGAGGGAGAGAGAGACGGGTGTGTGTGTGTGTGTGTGTTTGTGTAAGACAGAGGGAGAGAGAGACAGGGGGTGTGTGTGTGTGTGTGTGTGTGTGTGTAAGACAGAGGGAGAGAGAGACGGGGTGTGTGTGTGTGTGTAAGAGAGAGAGGGGGAGGGAGTGCTCTCCTGCGTTATACTCACTGGTTCACACCCACGTGGCGTCTCATGCACCATGTGGTGTTTGGACATTGTCTTTGAACAGGGCTTTGGTTATGAAGCTGACAGGCGTGGACAGATGGGCTAGGAGACGGCCCTTCTGGAGATCTGGGGCTTTTTCAAGTGCCCAGAGATGGCATCAGCCTGGAGACAAGTTTGTTTTACTAACTTATTTTGAACTGACAAAAAGCATATAGATTTATTATGTGCAGATTATGCTTGAGGCCTGGAGCACCTTGCTGTTATAATCCTGAGTAGGTAGAGAATCGGGCCACATGCTGTTCAATGTGAGCCCGCAGCCTTACGAGAGTAGAGACTCAGAGCTCCACAAACCAAGCAGGAGCTTGCCTTTCAAACTCCCATCCTAAACAGACACCTGCACATTTTCTTGTCTCTCTAGGTCACTGGGGATTTTGGAGAAGGGGTAGGGGAAGTCATAGGGCCTACAAAATCGAATTATAAAATGATCATAGGGCCCAACGCAGTAGCCTAGCAGCTAAAGACCTCGCTTTGCATGCACCGGGATCTCACAGGGGTGCAGGTTCTAATTCTGGCGGCCCAGCTTCCCATCAAGCTCCCTGCTTGTGGCCTGGGAAAGCAGTCAAGAACAGCCCAAAGCCTTGGGACCCTGTACCCACTTGGGAGACCCAGAAGAGGCTCCTGGCTCCTGGCTTTGGATCAGTGCAGCTCTGGCCATCGTGGCCACTTTGAGAGTAAATCATTGAATGGAAGACCTTCCTCTGTCTCTCCTCCTCTCTGTATATCTGACTTTCCAATAAGAATAAAATAAATCTTTGTAAAAATGATACTAATAATAGAAATGAAGAAAATGAAACAAGCAGCATCTCAGAAGGCAGAACATGAAGAATGACAGTCGGTGTGCGGAGTTCCAGAGCCGCCATTTCCCAGCTTCCTGACAGGGAGGCGCACTCCAGCCCTACAGAGTTAAAAATCCCATTGTGCTTCTAATCTATTTAATTCCTAGAGTACCAGTGTGCAATTAACATTACAAATAATCAAGGTTAAAAATATAATTAATGCAAGTGGGGTTTAGTTATAATTAAACTAATTACACAGACACGTAGCATAATAAGGCGCTCGTAGGCCATCATGCAGATGTGAATGTATTCTCCTCTGAAGACACATTTCTGAATTTCATTTCCCAGCTATTTTACAAATAATATGATGGAATTATGAAAGACAGAATCAGTCTTTCAGGGATGAACGAAATCTTATTTTTCTATTCCTTCTTAAGCTCTTATTCTATGTATTTATAAATAAGAAATTGACAGAAAATAAAATTTCGAGAAATAATATAAGTCAGAATTATTTTTTTCACTTACAGAATAATAGCAGAAATAATATCAATTATTATGCTTGTGGGGTGAAAGTGAAGCTGGAGAACACAGCATTTTTACCGTCCTAATAATTTGGTTATTTATTTTAATCAGAAAGTTAGAAATAAAAGAACACAACTCGACTGGAATACACTGAAGGATCAGGATATTGACGACATTTAACGGTTTGAAAACTGTAAAACTATGCGAATTGCTGAATATATTTACTAGGAATTTCTGCTGCGAAAACACTGAGCCTGCAGTTGGGCCCCTGCTGTCACGAGGAGAGACAAAAGGAAGGTGTCTGAGCATCCTAAGGAAACGGCGCAGAGGCAAGCCCAGGGCCCAGTGTGGAGGCCGCAAAGCGGGACTTCACGCACCTGTCTGTACTTGAGAGGGGCAGAAGGAACAGAACGCTTAGAGAGAAGGGGCATCCGGAAGGCGACAGCAGAGAGCTCCAGCAGACTCACCTGTTACCTGGAAGGTACTGGAGGAGAAGCCAAGCCATGAGAGATTCCCATCAACACAGCTGGGTCTGGGGAATCTAACACGGGCCAGGGCTTTCTAGAGTCTTTACAGGGTCTGAATAAAATGGCAGCCTGCAGCATCATCAGAGATAAGGCAGGGGGAGGCACCCAGGCACCCACTCCTTTTCAACGTGCCTGGGTTCCAGCTCCAGTCTACATCAGGGTCAGTCTCCCTGCTAACGTGAACCCAGAGATGCAGCAGGTGGCAGCTCAGATAACGGGTCCCTGCCACCATGAGTTCTTAGCACCTATCCCCGGCTGCTGTGGACAGTGAAGGGCAATTTCTCTCCTCTTTCTCTCTCCCTCTTTCTCTGTCCCTTTCAAACTTTTAGAAAAAGAATTAAAGCAGAAAAAAGCACCTACAAATATTAAATCTCGAATGACATTGATATAATTCAACATTTAAGCATTAATTCTGTTTGTAACATCTGCTGAAACTATTCTTTTAAAAATATAACAATGAAGTCTTCAAGCAGTTCAAACAGTTCTGGAAAAGAGGACCGACCGGGCGGAGAGGCCATCAATGCAACCTATCAAAATGCATCTCAGAGCGAGAGCCCCGAGCCCCCCCTCCCCGCCCCACAACACCTCCTTCCCTCTGGCCCCACATCTCCCTCCCCCTCCCCAACACCTCCTAGCCTCCTTCCCCTCCCACACCTCCCTCCCCCTCCCCCAAATTTGCCCCCCCCCCAAGCAACCTTTCCTAGACATGGCTCTACTCAACCACACAAAGATATTTTATGGAGAAAATGTCATTTCAGAAAAAAATCAAATTATAGTTCTACTACAGTACATACACAAATATAAGTTAAACACAAAGACATAAATATTAAAAATACTTATGAAAGAAAGTATAAACTATAGCTTTATAACATCAAAAGAGAATTTCTTATCAGTCAGCAGGCAAGAAAAAAACAGAAAATGGCAAAGACTTCATCAACACTGAGGATTTTAAACGTAAGAAACTATTAAAGAGAATGTAAAAATGCAAAGCACATAAAAAGTTGGCTTTGAGCAGAATGTATAAAGTCCTACACATTCCTGCGAAGGGGCAGGAGGAAGGGCAGAACACGCAGAGGGGAAACCGAGGCAAGAAGTCTGGGAGAAACACTCAGGTCCATGGATAATCAATAACATCCAGATTTCCTTCAAGGGAATTTCATGCCCATCAGAATTGTAAAAGAAAAAGTTTGAATAAAAAACTTAATCACGATTATTGAAGAGGAATATAGAATACTTGTGAAATACTAACAATATAAATGACATAAGCAAAACACTATTTTAAATCTTGCCTGAATTTGAAAACTGGTCTTAGCTTTCCACACAAACATCACACTTCAACCCAGATAATAAATTAGATGTAAACATCTGGATGTATGTTCGTATATTTAAATCAGATTGGAAAGGCAGGCAAATATTGACGATGAATTCGAGGATGGGGAGATTCTCCCGCTGGGGCCTGCTTCATTGTGGGCACGCAGCAATAAGTATTTGTTGATTCAAAGAATTAATTAATAGATCACTGTGGTATTTCCTATAATTTTTTCAATCACATGAAAACTCAAAGGCTCATTTTCCTCCAAATGTGTTTAAGAACCATTCTAGGTCTGCAAGAAGTCTCCAGGCCCTAAGACCTCAGCAGCCGCTCACAGGATGACCTTCCAGGACACAGCCAGCGCGTGGCTGTCACTGCATCTCACAAGAACCTGCAGGGCATCCCCCAGGCCCAGAGAGGGTCAGAAGTGCTTGACCCAGCACTGCAAGCCACTGAGAGGGTGCATGGAAAAGCAGCTAGAAGCTGGCCACAGAGCTGCGACTTCGGACCATGGTCTGTGACATGGGGCCAGGTTCTGGAATACCTCCCTGCCTTGGAGTATCAGCCTGGGAAGCTCGGTGTGGGGAAGGATGCCTGCTTTGCTCTCAGGGCTCTGGACCGGGGCCACCAGCGCCTGGACCTTACCCAGTGCGGGTCCTTACGACGGCGTATCCAGAAGAGGGGCCAGCTTCTCCAGTCAGCATTTTGAACACGGTGCTCTTCCCAGCTCCGTTCACCCCTAGCAGCCCGAAGCACTGACAAGAGACGAGTTAAGAATGCCATTAGATAGGCAGGGGTCAGTGGCGTCCAAAGTATGTCCAAAGGCACACCTGCTTCTCTGCTGGCGTGGTGCTTCATGGCAGACTCACCATGCCCTCCAGGACGCACCGCTCCACAGAGGACAGACAACTTTGAAAGTCACATGGCATGTGAGGGGTGTAAAAGACCAGCTTTAATTTGTAGACAAGTAACATCATGTATAGAAATTTGAGAAAAAGAGCAGCAAATTCTAACTACTTTAAATTGTTTAGAGATAACACAAGTGACCACAGAGGGCTGGCATCGTAGCATGCTGCGTGAAGTTGCAGCCTGCAATGCCAGCATCCCTCATGCATGCCAGTCCATGCAGCCTCACTCAGCCCTGGCAGTCCCGGCCGTGCCAGTCCATGCACCCTCACTCAGCCCTGGCAGTCCCGGCCATGCCAGTCCATGCGGCCTCACTCAGCCCTGGCAGTCCCGGCCATGCCAGTCCATGCGGCCTCACTCAGCCCTGGCAGTCCCAGCCATGCCAGTCCATGTGGCCTCACTCAGACCTGGCAGTCCCGGCCATGCCAGTCCATGCGGCCTCACTCAGTCCTGGCTGCTGCCTGCTGTGCCAGTTCATACAGCCTCAATCAGCCAGCCCCTGCTGCCTCGGCCATGCCAGTTGGCACAGCCTCACTCAACCCCAGCTGCCGTGGCCATCTAAGGAGCCAACTAGCCATTGTAAGATTGATCTCTCCTTAATTCTGCCTTTAAAATAAAGAAGAAATATTTTTTAAAAAATTCAAAATAAATAGAATGACTTCTAAAAGTCCTGGAAATGGAAATAAATATGTTTATTTTAGTATAAAATAATGTTTTCAATTCATGCATTGATTTCTCATAATACACATTCTTCATGAACCATATAATATTTTTAAGTCACATCCTCCTTTCCCTGACTAGTTCTAAAGCATTGCATGCCGTGTTCTAACCCACTCCTCTCTCAGTGTGCTGAACACTGTGACCATGGCTTTTGTACGCCTTCTTTGTCCATTGAAATTCATTTATGACTCAGTCTGGGCCAACCCTAATGTTATTCAAAAGTTGGTCTTAAGGGGCTGGTGTCATGCCATGTGTTAAATTGCTACCTGAAATGGAATGCTGGTTCAAATCCTGGCTGCTCCACTACTGATCCGGCTCCGCTGTTGATCCAGCGGCATCTTGGGTCATACTGAGCCAGGGAAAGCAGTGGAGGATGTAGGTGCTTGGAGTCCTGCCGGCACATGCAGACACGGAGGGAGCTCCCGGCTTCCACCTGACTCTTGCTCAGCCATTGCAGTTGTTAGGGGAGTGAATCAACAGATGGAAGATATCTCTCTCTAGCTCTCTCTCTGACTCTATCTCACTCTCGCTCTCACTCTTTAACTCTACCTTCTAAATAAATGAGCATAAATCCATTAGAAACCAAAAGAAACAAAAACAACTGCTTTTTAGTTGTCAAGCTCAGCATTCAATCACCTTCCTACCTGGCTCCTGCCCCTAGACACACGGACCTGGCTCCTGCCCCCAGACACACGGACCTGGCTCCTGCCCCCAGACACACAGACCTGGCTCCTGCTCCCAGACACACGGACCTGGCTCCTGCCCCCAGACACACGGACCTGGCTCCTGCTCCCAGACACACGGACCTGGCTCCTGCTCCCAGACACACGGACCTGGCTCCTGCTCCCAGACACACGGACCTGGCTCCTGCCCCTAGACTCACAGATGTGGCTTCCACCTCTGTGTGTGGTTCATGGGCTCTTGTGTGCACTTTCCTCCTGGACGCTTAGAGATGATGCTCAGAGTGTACAAACTGACCGCAAATTTCAGCGGCTTCTTGGATCATTTATTGTTCTCCTCTCTCTATCTGAGTCTTTCCCCTACCTTTCACCTTCAGACCAGCAGGGCGAGGGGCACAGACACGAGTGGGAGCAGACCTGCCTTACCTCTCCCCTGGGGATGGCCACACTGATGCTGCGCACAGCGCAGGTCTTCCTGAATGGCTTCCCGTAACGCTTGCTGAGGCCGTGCAGCACCAGGATGTCCCCTTCCGTCCTCCCCTCCAACACTCTAAGCCGCTCTTGTGCAACATCTGCATCCTCAGAAGACTTGGCTGCACTGTGGAGTGCAGAGGGACCCCTGGGAGGATGAAATTGGAGTCAGTTCACACCTGGAAAATCACTGCAGCAGCCTGCAAAGGAGAGAAGGTCCACAGATCTGTTCAAAAGAGCAGTGCCACCTGTCCCTGCAGCGTCGGCTCTGCCAACAGGACCACCAGTGGCCAGCAAGCACCAGTTTCCACTCCTACTTTGAAGGAGCATGCAAGTTCCTGAAGGACACCAGAGCTGCTGTTTACTCTGATGAATAATAAACTTGTGTTAATAATAAACCCTGCACTAAGCATGGGGGAAAAAATCATGGCATATAGTGCCAACTTTTTAAACTTCTCATTTATTTTCACTTTATTTGGCAGCCAGAGAGCCACAAAGATAACTCCTCCACAAACGTCCATGACAATCAGGGCCAGGGCAAGAGGCCAGGTATGAGGACAGTGGATCCCCCGCAGTGAGGACCCTGGACCCCCGCAGGACAGCATGACCCTGAATCCCCCGCAGGACAGCAGGACCCTGGATCCCCTGCAGGACAGCACAACCCTGGATCCCCCGCAGTGAGGACCCTGGATCTCCCACAGTGAGGACAGCAGGACCCTGGATTCCCCGCAGGACAGCAGGACCCCAGCACTCCAGCCTTCATCTCCTGTTTCCTATGGGGCACTTTACCAGGAAGCTGGATGGGAAGCAGAGGAGCCGTGACTCCAACCTGGGGTCCCCACTTACCCCTCATGCCAAATGCCTGTCTCCATTAAGGCTCTGCTCGTCTAAACATTACTAGTAACCAGCATTCAACAAAACAGACTATGAAAGTACCCAAGTATTGTAGGTGTATAGCATACATTAGACTTACCAAAGGGCGGTACAGCCAACACACTGTGCAACACCTTACACAGAGCATTGGCTAAGACAGATGAATACAGATCTCATTCTCAACTATAACTGGCTCTAGATCCAAGCTGCTCACTTTTCAATCTTCTTTATGATTTTCAATCTGGTGCATTTTAACTTTCAAGTAAATTTCAATTTTAATGATTAATGATGCATATTACAGTTATGCATTGTTTAACAACAAGGATACATACACTCTGAAAGTGCGTGTCAGGCTATTTCCTCATGCACAGCACCATAGATTTTACTTACACAAACCTAGATGGTCTGTCTAAGCTACTCCACCCCAAGGACACTGTTTACACACACACACGTGTGTTGTCTATATAGATCTGAGAGCCACAGGAAGCAAAACAAGATTATCCAGAAGATGAGGCACAAGAAGGATGCCAGGTGAGGGCAGGTGGCATACCAGCACGACACAGGATGCCATGTGAGTGGCAGGTGGCGTGCCAGTATGACACAGGATGCCAGGTGAGCACCAGGTGGCGTACCAGCATGACACAGGATGCCAGGTGAATGGCAGGTGGCGTGCCAGCATGACACGGGATGCCAGGTGAGTGCCAGGTGGCGTGCCAGGTGATGGTGCCACATGAGCGGCAGGTGGCGTGCCAGTATGACCCCGGGAACCAGCTCTGTGTGCGACATCGCTTACACACAAGTATGAAAAAGACTCAAGGAGCTGGAAATCAGGGTGACTGTTACAGAGAAGACGAGCAGGCATGGGAGTGTTGGGAGTCCTTGGCTTGCCAGTCCGAGAAGGGGCCATATGAATGTGGCCAAACTCTGAAGACTCCATGAGTTTTACACTTTGGTGCCTAAATGTCATTTTCCTTTCTCAGGTTAAGGTGTCTTTTGATCCAAATAATGTCATGGACATCTGTGCAAAGCCTTCCCAAATCCCACCTGCTACTGCAGCGATGTGTGTGTGTGCTTGCACTGCTCTCTGTCCTATCTTCCTTTCCTATGGCTACCTACACACCGTGGGCTTTGTCTGACTTGAACTGTAACAAAGGTGAAATAAACCAAAGCAACAGGACCTGCCACCAGCAGCTAACAGTCTTGTCATAACATTAAATTAAATTATATTATGCTATCAACCAGATTCACCTTTGCTGTAACAAAGTACCAGGAAACTGATGATCCTCAGTAACGGAAAGGCCGTCTCCCAGACTGACACCTTGTGGTCCACAATTCCTCCTGCCGTTGGGGACTTACACAAAGCAAAATTAAAGAACTGAACTGACACCCACTGGCACCTCAGTAAAACAGCATTTCTGAGGTGGTGACGCCCAAGGCAGGAGTCTGTGCCACTCAGCATGAGCCCCTGGTACTGGTCCTGATTGCAGTGACACAAGCCCCCAGCACTGACTCCCCACAGCCCTGACACAAGCCCCCAGCACTAACCCCCAACAGCCCTGATATGAGACCCTGGCACTGACCCTGACTGCCCCAGACGAGTCTTCGGCACTGAATCCGACTGCCAACGAGTCTTCGGCACTGACCCCGACTGCTCCAGCAGGTCACGGTGCAGCACAGTCCGCAGCAGCAGCAGAACCGTGCCCTGCAAGGTCAGTGCCACGAAGATCCAGCCCAAGAAATTCATCTCAAAGGGATTCACGTAGGAATCAACACCAAAGCTGTGGGTCAGGTCAAATCTGATCTGATTATAACAGAGTTCAATCAGCCCTTGACCCAGACAGAACTGGGGGAAAATCGTAAAGGCCCACTTGAGGACTTCATAGATCTTCTGTAGGTTCTGTACAGTGAGAGAAAAAAAAGAAAAAGTTTCAATTGAAAGCCATCCCTCTGTGCATAACAGGTCACTGATGCTTGTCTGACAGCTCTGCACTCCAGAGCTACCCAAAGAGAGCCTTCTGGGAATGTAACAGCTATTCCTCCCTCTTTCTCCCTCTGGGGCATGAACATTCACTATACCCACTACTCCAATTTGGCTTCACTATGTCCAGGATGAAATGCACCACTGAGTGCTACTCACATCTGATTTAAATGATATTTAGATGAACTTTAGACTGTTGAGTTGGTGCGGGGATGAGTCTTGGGAGACTGTTGATATGGCACTAACGTATTGTGAAGGCAGATACATGCATTTGGGTGGACCAACGATGTTGTGTTCTTCTTTGATCTCCACTGTGAATCTGGCTAGTAAGATGTACATGAGGCCACCGGTGTGGGGACCCTAGGATGCAATTAGCATCCTTACAGCAAGAGGAAGAGATGCTGGAGGGCTCTCCACCCACATCTGAAGACACAAGGAGAAGGCAGCCACCTGCAGGCTACTCACAAGGTTCTCACCAAGAGCTAATTGGGAGGTCACCTGCACCAGGACAGTCACCCGCACCAGGACAGTCACCTGCTCCTGGACAGTCACCCGCTCCTGGAGGGTCACAGTCACCCACTCCTGGACAGTCACCCGCTCCTGGAGGGTCACAGTCACCCACTGCTGGACAGTCACCCGCACCAGGACAGTCACCCACACCAGGACAGTCACCCGCTCCTGGACAGTCACCCGTTCCTGGACAGTCACCTGCTCCTGGAGGGTCACAGTCACCCACTCCTGGACAGTCACCCGCTCCTGGAGGGTCACAGTCACCCACTGCTGGACAGTCACCCGCACCAAGACAGTCACCCACACCAGGACAGTCACCCGCTCCTGGACAGTCACCCGCTCCTGGACAGTCAACTGCTCCTGGACAGTCACCCGCTCCTGGACAGTCAACCACTCCTGGAGGGTCACCCGCTCCTGGACAATCACCCGCTCCTGGACTGCTGCTTGCAGACTTGTCGCTTTCATCTCACCCCACCCCCTCATCTATGATAGCTTGCTGTGGCAGCACAGCTAAGACCCACTGGGTGAAAGTTTAAATGAATCAATACTTGAAGTTGTGACTGTGAGCATTGAACTCACATGACAATGCCTACCACACTCTTACCATATAATAAACATAAAATATTTGTAGTTGTTATTAAACACAGAATTCAGCATCATTACAAGAGTGTGAATAACATAGGAAAGAGAATAGGGCAAAATTTCAGAGAGAAAACTAACATAGATTGTGCATTTAATCAAACACATCTGAAAAATCAACAGCTACTTTTATTTTATTTTTATTTTACTGCCTTAACCATCTGGTGTGCATTAATTTTATTTTACAATGAGATTAAGTTTATTATAGCACATTCATTTGTCCACTGAATGCTTCCTGTAAATTACGGTATGCTTCTGGCTTTTTGCACTTTAGCACACTTCATTCCATCCGTAACAGTACAAGGGACCCAGCAGTCACCCAGTCACCAGGGGTTGATGGAAGTGCCCAAGTCACACAGCAGCAAGGCCAGGACTTCATCCACAGCTTTTCACCACAGAACCGGCTTGTGTGAGCCCGGGGCCCAGCACAACTCCATGGAATGCAAGGAATGAGACACGCTCCAACTCAGCAACTGATCTGAAGATGAGCTATGTGTCATCATATGTATACACAACAGTGCCTGTGCTATAACACAATATTAAGGAATCAACTGGTAGAACTGTCAGTCATGTATTTTATACTAGCATTCAGTTCTTCCCACACTGAGAGCTTGACTTGACTGGGATAAACGCAGCCTTAAATAATGCGGCTTGGGGGACAACAGGAATTCAATGGTCATTTTAAGGGCAGTTACTATTCTAATACAGTTTGCTGCTTTTTGCATATAGACATGGGAAAGTACAAAATTCCACTTAATTCCCCCACAGCTTTTACTCAGCCACCTGCCACTAGTCATAATTATCATCTGGCCCAAAGGGATTTATTTACCCCACTTTTTCAAAACTGCATGCCTGGATCGATGAATCTACCAATGGAAGTAGTTTCTATTACCGGTGATAGCACAAAAATAGCAGAATAATGGGTTTTTAACTCTATTATTAGGGAAATGGCATACTAATAGTGATGACTTTATACAAGATACTTCAGAAGAATCTTGAAAAAATGAAATTTAAAGTTGGTTTTGAAATAAAGTCATGGAGGGAAGGCCAGCATCATAGTGAGCCAGGTGGAGCAGTGGTGGGCTGCCTTGCTATCCCATACTGCAACACTGCTTTAAGTACCAACTGCTCTGATTCCAGTCTAGCTCCCTGCCAGTGTGTCTGGGAGGGCAGCAGAGGACGGTCTCTCCCAGCTGATACAGGTGGGCAGGTGGGTGCCAATCACCTGGAGGTGTGTCTGCAGGCAGGCAGGCAGGCAGGGGGGTGCCCATCACCCGGAGGTGTGTCTGCAGGCAGGCAGGCAGGGGGGTGCCTATCACCCGGAGGTGTGTCTGCAGGCAGGCAGGGGGTGCCCATCACCCGGAGGTGCGTCTGCAGGCAGGCAGGGGTGCCCATCACCCGGAGGTGTGTCTACAGGCAGGCAGGCAGGGGGTGCCCATCACCCGGAGGTGTGTCTGCAGGCAGGCAGGGGGGTGCCTATCACCCGGAGGTGTGTCTGCAGGCAGGCAGGGGGTGCCCATCACCTGGAGGTGTGTCTACAGGCAGGCAGGCAGGGGGGTGCCCATCACCCAGAGGTGTGTCTGCAGGCAGGCAGGGGGGTGCCCATCACCCGGAGGTGTGTCTACAGGCAGGCAGGCAGGGGGTGCCCATCACCCAGAGGTGTGTCTACAGGCAGGCAGGCAGGGGGGTGCCCATCACCCGGAGGTGCGTCTGCAGGCAGGCAGGGGGGTGCCCATCACCCGGAGGTGTGTCTGCAGGCAGGCAGGGGGGTGCCCATCACCCGGAGGTGTGTCTGCAGGGAGCACCACTGTTCATGAGTGCAGGAGCCCAGGTCTTTTCTCTGTCCACTCTTGGCGTGTCGCGATGGGAAGGTTCCTGGCTCCCTTCCCTTCGGGGACCATGAGCCTCCCTCCTTCCCCTTTCGGAGCTGCATCGCTCCTTGTGAGCAGACCTCACGTGGAGATTGTTCCCCTGCCAACACAGCTGACCCCCACTGGCCCCCAGGGAGGGAAGCCATCACTGGCTCTGCTCCTTTCTACATTCTCTCCAGGCAAAAGCCAATTAACTGCTCTTCAGACCTTGTATCAAAGCCAGGGCATATTAATCGGCCTCAATGTCAAAACAGATCTGTAAACTCCCTGAAATAGACTGTTCATTGACCTCGTAATGGATGCTTACACTTCAGTGCCTCTGCACAGACCTGCGGCACGAAGCTCAGGGATTGGCCTGGCCATCCTGAGGCCTGCTGTGCCCCTCAGGTCCTGGACTCACAGGGACTGCGCTGAGCTGCACGTCCACACTCTCCCCAGGTGACCTTCAACACCTTCTGGGGAAGAGGAGCCACAGGAACCATGGGGCATTGCACGAGAATAGAGCAGTCAGTGGTGGCAGTGGGAACGGAGAATGAAAAGGACCAACATGGAGGAGCAAGGGAAGGTGTGAAGTCTCAGGTCTAATTTGCAGGTTTCACAGGGAGAGCAGGCTGAAAGACAGGTTTAGGCAGAGGCCACAACCCACTGACATCAGCCTCCCTGTGAGGAAGGCAAGCAGCAGGGCACATATGAGACATGTTAGCAGCCATGGAAGAGACCAAAAGGGGACTGGGCAACAGGAATAGCCTCCTGGAGAAGCATCTCCCTCACCAGAGGAATGCTCCCAACTGGGGCCACTGTTCACTCCAACACTCGGAAAGTGCCCTGGTATTCCTCCAACACTGCACGCAGATAATAGCAAAGCCAAACTAGTTCCAGGGATCACAGAGAAGGGGGCAGAATGTCCAGGTCCCCTGCAACAACACACCTTGTCCACGGCCTGCGGCTGCTGCTCGGCTCTTTCTGCACCTGTAGTTGTGTTCCCTCATTCTGCCACCTGCCCTCAGTTAATCACCAGCAGACCCTCTGAGGAGCCATGGGGGCTCACCAGCAGACCCTTTAAGGGTCACCAGCAGACCGTCTGAGGGTCACTGGCAGACCCTCTAAGGGTCACCGGCAGACCATCTGAGGGTCACCAGCAGACCCTCTAAGGGTCACCAGCAGACCGTCTGAGCAGCCGTGGCGGTGTGCTGTGCCCTCACAGTGGAGCCATGGAAGCTGTACATGTGCCGTGACTCATTAGGATCAATTTCTCCTTCTGGAATCCACAAACAGCAGATTCTACCAAACACCAGCTGGAAAAGCAACCGAACCATCAAACACACACACTCTCACGTCTCTGGAGGGGGTACAGGGCGGTTGACCAACCTGGGCTTTGGACACGATGGCCAGCAGCCGGGGCATAGTGGTCATGAGCATGGTACACAGGCCAAAGATGAAATTCAGTGAGATGTAGGAGATGAGGGCCACGTCCGCACTAGAGAAGATGCTGGACACGAGGTACATCCACGGGAGCGTGGCGTATCTGAAACGCAGAGGGAGAGATCCAGCCGGTGAGCCTGTGAGCCGGACACTGTGGCTCACCCAGCGGCCAGGAGCACACCGGACGCAGCACACCACGGGCTTCTGAGGCAGGGCGCTCTTCCCTGGGGGCTCCCTGGGGCTCCCCGGGGCTCCGCAGGAGCAGGACCCATCCGAAGGCTCCTGGATCACTGCAGAGGTGCTTCAGACAAACTCTGTCTCACTTCGGTGTCAAACCACAGCTAGCAGCGACACAACACTGCCGCTTCATCGGTCTGTGCTTTGCAGTTCCTTATACAGGTGGAAGGGACACCTCTTGCCTTGATAACCATTCACAGCCCTTGTCTATTTTCCTCTGAAGGACATTTGCTCTCTTTAACTCTTCCAGTCTTTAGTTAATGGAGTAGTAAGCCTTTGACCGGAATATGAATGAAAAACATGTTATCTCCAAAATTAATACAGAAGTGGGAGGCAGCGGGAAGGTGGGCAGAATCTCTCTATTCTCAGGACTGTATCCAGGAACTACCTGAATGTGTTCTCTGTGTAATATCATATTAACATGAGAACTGTGTAATAAATACCATATTAACATGAGAACTGTGTTGTAGCAGCTTAACATGACAACTGCATCATAGCAGCTAGGAGATATTTTTTTTAATGAGTTTCTTTTCGAGCATTTTTTTTTGAAATCCATGTATAGCTATTTTATGATACGTGTTTTCTACATATTTATAAATTTTCCTGAATCAAAAAAGTTCCAAATTCCACTTTTCCATGATCATTCTGAAGTGTGCTGGCGTGAAGGCAGGAGCACGGGTCAGGCTGGCACGGGCCTGGGCAGTCACCATTGCCTCTCCCTGGCTCTGCCCTGAGACAGTGCTCCTTTGCCAGTCTCCCACCACAGGCCAGGAACAGGCTGTGCATCCAGGGCAGCTGATGGGACAGCACAGCCTGGGGGCAGCAGAGTCCCGTGGCCCTTCCTGCCCACGGTCCCTTGTGGTGGGCATGGAGTGGTCTTCTGAGCCCACGGTCCTCACTCGACAGCACAGCAGGGTTAGATCATTTCAGTAATTGTGTGGACCCAGCCATTCCCTGAGCCCTAACCGAGCACTGTCCCACACTGCCACCAGGGCCTTCCTGCCTCCTTAGCAAGCCTCCTTCCCAAGGCTGCTGTTCAGCCAGCTCCCTCACTGTCAGTTTAGTGCTGCATTTTCAGCAGTTACCTTAAAATGCGTGGCTAACATGAACTTATTAGCAAGTCCAGTTCCTCCACAGCATTTTTATTGATTTCAGAGGGATTAAACTGATTTACATGGCATGAAGTTCTTGTGTGTGAAAACAATGATGGTCTTAAATAATCCCCACTGTTTTCCTGTAATGCAGTGCTGTATCATTTTAATGACTTATCATTACCTGGAGATTGGTATGTACTCCCAACCACTCTGGAATTGATGGGGACAGCTTGTTCCTTTGAAAACTGACCCCGTTCCCAAGAGGTGAGAATTTCCCAAGGCACCATGCAGGATTCTGGAACCACACTGCCACTAGCTGTGGGCACTCAGTATACATCAGGCACGTTCTCAGTGTCTCAGCTTTTGTCTGGTGCCTTCAGCTCCTCTCATATACTCATAACGTACATGATAAATGTGTACACATCTATAAAATGCACACTATCATAAAACATCTTGATTTTTACATAAGCTATATCTTTTTACATTCTTAGGTGCCACCTTCCTCTTCTGGATGCTAATCCACCACCTTTGCACCACAAATAACAAATTTTGCTTTGTTTTGCTCTTAGGAGACGGCACTTCCCTGCCTGACCGCTTCCTTCTTCGGATCCCACATCAGCTAGCCTCACACTCAAGGCCTGAGGTCATGCGTGGCTGTCAGCCAGCCAGAGCTCTGCTGTCCACAGCCTGGGAAGGCAGGGCAGCTGCCCACATGGGGCTACTCCTGCCCCTTCACTGACAGTGCCCAAGCTTCAGAGGCATGTGCAGGGCTGCGCTCCAGGGAAGGATGCACGCCCTAGAAGGCCCCGCGCAGCCTGGTCACTGGCGCAGCCCGAGTCACCTCCTGGCATAGGCCCTGACGTTAAGAAGTCTTCAGCAGGTGTGTGGAGCCCGGTGGCCTACGACCGGCAGCAGCAGTTCTGAGACTCCAGCAACTGCCTGTGACAGTACAGTACAGCGGAAGAGATTCTTAAAGAGGCTCACAATCGAAACAGGATTAAGCCAGTTCCTACAAACATGGCTTATCAGACTGGAACCATCTCACTGTATCTAAGTCTTAGCTTTTGAAATCTGCTCTCCCACAACTCAAAAGTCAATTTATAGTAAGGGATTTCACTCACACCCCACAAAGACATGGTAATGGTTTTCATCTGATGGAGTCAATAAACAAATCAGATTACTTTCTGAGAATCAGGCAGACTCCTAACAAGTGCACAGGGTCAGAAATCCGCAGCTGAGAGCAAAGGCGCATGTCATCACAAGCAGGTGCTGCAGGTGGAGACACGGTGCCCTCTGCACAGTGACGTGTCTCTCACTGAAGCTCCATGGGACGTCGCACCATTGCGGTTCTGCTGCTGCTGGGAACTACCCAATTACATCTTCCTAGCAACAAAAAGGGAGTTTACAAGGAAGTAACTAAGGTGTGGAAAGAGAAATTTATGCTCACCAGACCACACCAGTAACGAGTGGGTGACCTCAGCATTGCCAGCATCAATCAATCATCTCTCACTCTCTTTTCCCCCACTGATCAAGTCTTCAACCACAGGATCATTTAGTCAAGCAAAACCAATAGCCGCTGCAGGTCACTGATGAGAGTAACGCCCAGATCACTGGACTTCCCAGCTGTGGCTGACATCAGAGCAGGTGCTTCAGAATGTCGTCTGGAACAAGAACCTAGCGTCTTACCTCTGGTATCCGCCACCAGCCAATATCTCTTAAACACTCAATCTGACGTGTAGGTGAGGCATTTAAACTTGCACGCTAGAAGGTTAGAGTGTTGGGGTCACAAGCTAAGGTCCCCATCACTGTGTACAAATGTGAAATTGCTAAAGTGGCTTTTCTGTTTTTGCTACTTTCCCCCTAAAGAACAGTGAGAATGGTTAGACAAATGCTGATATCCCAAGAGAGGAGAACCACTACCAGACAAGCTCAGTGTTGATGCTAGCTGGACCACAGACAGGAGCCCATGATCATGGGAGTCAGAAGAACAGAATTTTCACTGGCACAGGTTTATCAGACAGCTGGAGGTTCTTTCCAAGATGGGCCAATGCCAGCTTCTTCTGTCCCTGGCACCCTCCCCCCTCCATGGGGCACTCGGCTGTCTGCTCCGGCTTGTTCGCTCAGCGCCTCTTGGAGAAGCAACATAATTGCTGGGAAAGAAGAAAAATCATGATGCAGCCAGCGGGTTCCAAGCCAGCCTAGGGTTTTCTCTTTGCAAAAACAAACCGTAATTCTGCAGCCGCGTCCCTTATCACATACCCGAAAAGCGCCAGCAGGAGGGCCGTGGCCGCCAAGTTCTTGCGGAAAGTAAAAGCTGGTAACTGGAAGGCGACGATAATGGCTACACACAGGCACACGGAAACCAAATAAAAGAGCTGTGAAGATAGAGAAAAGCGGGGGGCCTGTAATATCCAGTGCACGTGGCCATTATCCCCCTAGTCCCAAGTTTCCTTCCTTTCAGTGGGGGTCGTGGCCATGGACCTGGTCTTAGAGAGCCAGTCTTACTGGCTGAGTGGTGATGTCCAAAGCTTGGCTGGAGCATGCACACGTTTGAAAGCTCGCTAAAAGGCAGCCATGAGGACAGACTCCTATTCCATCATGGCTGGTGTCCTTACGGTAGACACAGCAGGTTAGACACAGACTTACGCAGGGGAGGCCACATGGGAGCAGAAGTTGCAGGTGCAAGCCATGACGAGGCCTCAGGAGGAACCAGCCCTGCCCATCTTCTACCTACAAGTACAGACTTCAGTGCCAAGGGCAGCCGCGAGTCTGTCACAAAGCCTCATCCTGCAGCATTTTTTTCTGGCCACCCCAGTAATCCAATATAAGACTACATGGAAACATTCAAAGATAAATCTGGTTTTGTCCAAAAAAGAATGCTGAGATCATGCCTACTTCCACCGTCACCCATATCCATCTCCTTCAGGAAGGTCAAGAGATGCAGGCACAGCCCATAGGACAGGACACGCCCCATTGATGGGCTGGACAGTAGACCCCACCTGCCCAGCCTTCCCTCCAGGCACTCCCACAAACCCACAGCACACCTGAACCAACCAGTGACTCTTCCCAGGAAGCTCCAGCTGCTGCAGGTGCCTTCCCTTGGGGTCACCAACACAGCCGCCTCCCACTCACAGTTGAGCTCTCAGCTTTAAGGTCATCTCTTCCTTTGGCTTCTCCTACCCTGCGGTCCTCATCTCAACAGACGTCCTGCGCCAAGCATATCCTGTGCCTTTGTATTCTCCTGCTTCCTGTCCTATGGGACTGGACTGTGCTCGCTCTCAGCTCTACACGCACACCTCTATCCAGAAGCAACTTCAGAAGACTAAAGAACTGGTGGCACATGAGGCTCAGAAAGCCTCTGCCCAAGGTGTGGGGCTGGAGGTCTAGGATTGAGGCCCCTGCAGACTCAGCATCTGCGGAGGGCTGCTCCCCCCTTTCCCCAGGCCATGCTTCCTCCTGTGTCCTCACACAGCAAAAGGAGTTGGACAGCTCTGAGAGTGGAGTGGCCAACCACAAAGTGGGGAAGGGGACTGAGCAGGAGTAGAGCTGGCATGGCAATGCTCTCCACACCAAAGGGACACACAGACTCTCTGCCACCTGCAAGTGTCCCTCAGTCAAGACGAGGGGCACCAGGGACCAACACATTCCTGTCATGGCTTGGAGTCATGAGCCACCAGGGTTGAAATTCAACCTCTGGGTCCTGTGCAGTCCCATTCATCAGAGCGTGGAAGGGTCAGGCCCTTAACAGCCCCTGCTGTCACTAGGAACTCCAAGAGATGATTGTCAGCAGGAAGGGCTAGAAAACTGATTCGACTAAAGAAATTACCAAAATGCTGGTACACACTGTACTTCTGGAAATTAATCCAGGTTACATGGTAAAGGAAAACTGTAATCCAGCTAAAGGAATAGAAGCTTCATGACAGAAACAAGCTTAATGTCCTGGACTCTGCACAGAGATGACAACTCACTTCTAATTGTTCTGATCTTGCCTTCCAGAGCCTGAAAACAGCACATTAGCACGGATGGCTCACTGTCTCCCTACAAAGCATGAGCATTGCTGGTCACGTCCGTCACGTCCCAGACTGCGAGCCTGTCAGGCTTGTCTGACTCCCTGCCTCATGTAGCAGACCTAATTGGCTAAAGGGGATCGGTACTGGTGACACACCCAAGTTAATACACTGCTAGGAAAATGAGCCCCTCTTCTGTGGTTGGCCCTCTTCCACCCTCCCCTGCCCTTGAACAGATCAGAGCAAAGAGGCACAAAGGAGGGGATCCCCAGGCCTACCATGTCATAGAGGAAGTTGGCGAGCCAGTACGTCCTGTAGCCAAGGCCACTGATGTGCTGCAGCCTCTTGGCTCCCGTCACCCTGTCCCTCACCACGGAGCTCCCGAGAGATGCAGATAGGATGGAGAAGCCCAGCACGATGCACAGGGCCACGCCACACTGCCGGACACTCTCTAGGCTGTGCATAAACAAAACAGCATTAACTGCACACATGGTGTTGGCCATGAAACCCATGAGCAGCCAGACACACCGGCTGAAAGCAAGAGACCCTCATTAAATCCCCAGGCTCAGCTTCTGGAAGACACAACTGAGAGGCACAGAGTCCAGGGATCTCAGAGTGTGTCCCCCACAGAGCCTGACCCCCAGTTACCAGGAGACACCCCAGAGAGGCCTCCATGGTCACCCAGCACCTTTGCCACACTGGAACTGCCTTGCTCTACAGCAGCTCCCGTGCATTGTGGTGGCAGGGTAGGGGTGGAGGTGGGAGGGGGCAGTGTGAGGACAGGAGGACAGGAGGGGCAGTTCCTCCCTCTGCATGTCTGTCTCTGAACTCATCACCTGAACTGCCAGAAGGATGTTGTAATCAATCACGGTCATTGTGCTGACATCAACTGGACACTTGCTGGGGGATTCCACTATGAGATTCCTCCCAGCCAGCCATGAGACTCCTCCCCAGTCGGCCATGAGACTCCTCCCCAGTCAGCCACGAGACTCCTCCCAGTTGGTAAGCAGCTCTCTTCTGTGTTCTTCCCCTCTCTCTGCCTTCTCTCCCCCACAACCAGTCATCTGCTAGGCCCAGCCTTCTCTCCTTTGTATGACAGAAAGCCACTTGCTTACTCCTGGATGGTCAGACAGGTGTTGGAGACCAGGAAAGGGAAGTTCCTGGAGGTCAGGCGCAGCCTGCATCTCTGACCACAGGTGCAGCTCGGGGAGACAGGCCCATGGAGCAGCTTCGGGAGACAGGCCCGTGCAGCAGCTTCGGGAGACAGGCCCGTGTAGCAGCTTGGTTTGCTCCCACAAGTCAAGCCAGAGGAAGCGCGTGAACAACATTCTTTCATCACTGATTTGCAACAGAACATTTGCCCTCCATGTAACAGAGAAAGACCACGGGAAGAGGACGCGGGCAGGAGCCGTTCTCCATTGTGCCCTGCGGTCGTGCGCCTTTCTTCTGTGATGGAGAGAGCCAACACTGAAGTCAGTTCACAAACACTGGCCCTGACCACACAGACTCCATCTGGACAGGTGGGAGAAATGCACAGAGGTACACCGGTCTACCCACAATGCCAGGCTGACTGTTTTAGAAAGGGGCTATTTGTGAGTTCCATGGAGGTCACCCCTGTGAGCAGTTGCTGCTTAGAAACACAGTTGCCTGGGGCTGCATAAAATTGCCACCTATAGTACTGGCACCCTGTAAGGGTGCCCATTCACTTCCCACCCAGCTGCTAGCCTGGAAAAAGCAGCAGGAGATGGCCCAACTACCTGGGTCCCTGCACCTGCATGGGTGACTTGGAGGAAGCTCCTGGCTCCTGGCTTCATCCTGGCGCAACCTGGGCCGTGGCAGCTACCTGGGCAGTGAGCAGTGGCTGAAACACCTCTTTCTGTCTCTCCCTTTCTCTCAGTTTCAAATAAATGCATAAATGGCATTAAAATGCAGTTGTGTGATAAATTTGATCATTTGCCACTCAAACACTGCACTCCCTTCCTTTAACAATCCTTTCCATGGGCTTTGTAAGGAAATGTCCCAAGCCCTGTGCACTGAAAGGGCTCAGTGCCTCCTGGGCAGAACAGCAAAGAGGGACCAAAGCCACCCATAAGCAAGCTGGTTTTCCTCACAGTCAGGACGCTCCCTCCCACATCTAAACCCCTTCCACTTACATCTTGTCCTCATTCAGCAAGGCTCCTCCATATGGGTGGCTGTAGAGCGTTATTCCTGCAAGACACAGATTCAACAATGTGAGCCGTGGATCCGCTGCACAAGGAACCCCCATCAGGTCCACCCCATTGCACACAAGGTGTATCCCATTTGCTTGGCCGAGCCTTGCTATGTCCTGCAGTGCAGCCAGTGTGTGCTGGTGCTTCGCTGCAGCTATCCAACTCAGCAACAGGCACTGGCCATGACTGACCAGGCACTGACCAGGCACTGGCCATGCACTGACCAAGTACTTACCAAGCACTGACCAAGCACTGGCCATGCACTGACCATGATTGACCAGGCACTGAACATGCACTGACCATGCACTGGCCATGACTGACCATGCACTGGCCATGACTGACCAGGCACTGGCCATGCACTGACCATGCACTGACCATGCACTGACCAGGCACTGGCCATGCACTGACCAAGCACTTACCAAGCACTGACCAGGCACTGGCCATGCACTGGCCATGACTGACCAGGCACTGAACATGCACTGACCATGCACTGACCATGACTGACCAGGCTCTAGCCATGCACTGACCAGGCACCGACCATTCACTGACCAGGCACTGGCCATGCATTCTACAATGGGCACTGCACATGCTTGTCCCCACGTGCCAATGGCTGATTCTCCACGGACCCCAGATGATGTTTGTCGTATTTTATAGTGAAATAACCAACATGGGCTAAACAGTAATATGCAAAGGAGACTAGGCCAGTATGTAAAAATTCTGACATCAAGCTAGGTTTACACACTTAGACCAGTTTTTGTTGAGTATTGCTTGCTTTGTCGTATTGTGTATGCTTTCCCAGCTCAGCTCTGTGTAATGCCAGCAGCCAACATGGGGAAATTGTCATGAAGTTCACCCTAAAAGACCTTCATGAAGGTCTTTTCATAAAATCACAGAGTGACGTCCCTTCCTTAGTCAGTTCATCTCTGCTGCAGAAGGAAAGGGCTCCATGTCCCAGATGACTGATCAGGGCTTCATCTTCAAGACACTTGGAACGGCAAGGACCTTCAGCCCCCCGACGCTGGCCATGGATTCCCCTGCCTTCAGCCCCCCGACGCTGGCCATGGATTCTCCTGCCTTCAGTCCCCTGACACTGACTGGGGACCCCCATGGGGGAACAGCTCCATGATCTGGCTTCATGTTACGTCCCTGGGTTTATCCAGACTCAAAATGGAGGTCCTCCTGACTGCCCCATTCTTTACCCTACTCATTTGAGGAGTACCCAACTGTCACCCCCAGCTCACATGCATCACCTGAGGCCAGCCTCCCTGGGGGGCATCAGGTCCCTTGTCCTTATGTCCTTGCCTGCCTCCTCTGTTGGCTGGCTTCCCACCAACATCCTTGACCTAACTCATAGTCAGGAGAATGTCCAGGAAGCAGAAGAAAATGCACACAGTGACGGGCTCCAGGAATGGAATGGCAGCACAGTGAGCAGGCTCAACAGTGATGGGCTCCAGGGACCCCTGGGCAGCACAGCGAGCAGGCTCAACAGTGACGGGCTCCAGGAACAGAATGGCAGCAGATCTTATGTGACCTAGCCCACGCACACAGGGAAGTCTGCATAGGAGCCAGGGAGGTTCGTACACTCGAGTCCTCACACCCTGTGACAGGTTGGTCATCCCCATGCATGGCCTCCACATCTGCAGAGTCAGCTCATCTAATTAACTGTGGGAACAATGCTGCACCTGCACTGAACACATACAGATGCTTCTGTCATCATTTCTTGAACTACACAGCACTCATTGCATTACATCACATGGCATGTAATCCAGAGATGTGCATGCAAACATGGCATCTAATACATGGGAGTTGCACATCAGAGGAGTCTGGTGTCCTTGGGGTCAAAGAAGGGTTAAAGGTAGTCCTGGAACCAATCCCTTACAGACACTGACGGACAAAGGCTACAAAAAATAAGTCATAACCATGGCCATGGCTGCACAGCATTCAGGACCTCAGTCATTTTGTGTAAATTCATAAATGCAGAGCCACTCAGTCCCATCACCATCATCCTGCCCATTTATACAAGAGGCAGCTGGACCACAAACACGGTAAGGAACTTCCTGAGACTGGCAGCTAGCTGCAAGGTGCCAGGACGCAGGCTTTGGGCTGCACATGCCACAGCCTGTCTTCCTACCACCATTTCACACACCTCCTTTCAACACACTTCTAATTTTCTGAAGAATGTGGCCAGACTATAGTAGGGGGACAGGACTGTACCTTGACTGGCTGTGCCCTGCTCAGTCTGCTAACATTACCACACAGAGTCCAGGTTCCAGATTTTAAACTCCAAAGACTGGCTCTGCACTGGACCAGGCTGCCTAACTATTTTTGTCTGAGGTTGTGATAGAAAGCAGAATTTATAAAATCCCTGGTGATGCAGGGTACAGAGCTTGGTCACCACAAAGCCAGCTCCTACATGGCAGCATTCCTCTGATCATACTAGAACTGTATGGGACCTGCGTGAGGAGTTGGAAAAGCTTAGCTCCAACGCTGCTACCTGCAGTCACGGCCATGACTCCTCCAACAGAGCCAGAATTTAAAATCCCCTATTTTATTCTACTGTTACTGTCTCTTCCTAGATAAAAATGCCTTTTTATTTACTTAGGGACATTCTGCTTAATGTTCTGTTTTTGTTTATTTTAGTCTTATTAAGACAAGTTTCCTTTCATGTTCACTAGCTCCTATTTCTTTATTATTTAATTCAATAAAATCATGCCAACTTAAAAAGTCAAAATAATTAAAACAGCAAGTATTTCTTTTACTGTGTCTGTATCTTTATTATATACTATATATAATGGAATCTATTATAACAGCCTTATAATAATGCTAAGAAAACTCACTTAAATAACACATTTATTGAATACTTCCTATGGTAAGACGTTAGAAAACAACTGCAAATCATTATTCTTGGTGAAATATCCAGTTTCAAAAAGACAAATACGAAGCTTCCTTTGATGTGATGCAGTTAATATAGAACACAGAACAGTACAGAAATAAACAGGCATTTTGTGGTGATTGCCATTTCTAGTCTTTGTTTATATTCCTGTGGAACTGCTGCCTTCCTACCTTTTGTTTGTTGAATATTATGATTAGTAGTGAATTAAACCATGAGTATAAAGTAGGCTGACCTTATATCTCCGCAAAAACTGATGAGAGAGATGGTAAGTGTAGCTGTCTTCTTGGAGCTGTACCTATGGAATGCATTAAAGCTATTCCTATCGATAAAAGTCATTAGTACGAACTGTCCCATGGGGTGCCTATGTTCTTATTCCTAAAGCCAGGCATGTCAGCAACAGTCATGCTCTGTGATGACCCCACGGAGCCTGGAGAAGATCTGTTGCCATATGGACGTTGGCTGGAAACAGAGACAGGTTGATTTTAGAGGCTACTGTGTGCAGAAGAGGAGAGCTGAAGCCACTCACTCACACTGCAGAAGCCCAAGGAGTCCGCTGGCAGTGATGCCCAAGCCAGGCTTCAAGCTCAGCCAAAGGGGGCTGCTAGAGATAAAGGGAAGACAGTGGTCTCCACTGAGGCCAAGCAAGAAGGGCCCACAGGGAGGGTGGCCATTAGGTGTGACAGCCTGGCCCCACTAAGGGGAAACACAACGAGCCTTAAAAATCTGAAAAATAAAGACAGAGAGCAGGAAGGAGGGTGGGTGGGGGTGTTATCATGTGCTCCTGCATCAGGAGAGTGAATTCCATTAAGTTTGCCCTATAGAAGTAAAGTAATCTAAAGGCAATGTGCTGGCTGTGAACAGCAGTATTCATTTCACAGCCCATGAGCTTCTGCTCCATGCATTTCTGCATCTCATTCACCCTTGTTCTCCAATCCGACTAAAGCATAAACTCAGCCAGACTTAGGGGAAGGCTGCCATCTCCCTGGTCCAGACAGCAGCCCACTCTGCCAGTCCCTCCAGCTGTCCCGCGATGGCCACAAGGTCTGTCTCCCATGCGCCCAGTGACACATGTCACACAGCGCTGAAACAAGAACTTGCCACATGTGTGCCTGGGGCCTGAAGTTCCCTTCTAACTCTGCCTTCCACTCATCCTCTCCTCATTTCCACTTCAGCATTCTGAACAAACAGCCTGAATCCTCAGCCCTCCAAGATGTTGCTGCAATGTCCTTTCTCAACAGTTCTGAACACACAAGATACAGCCGGCATCACTCCTGTGGGTCTCACATCACTCTTTGCCAAGAATTATTACCACTGTGATGCCAGTGCGTCAAAATGCTGACCTAAGTCTATTCATGTTCTCTGGATAGTCCTTATCCAGCTTTCAAAGACTGTGTGTTCCTAACAATTTATCCAACCCACTTAGGTTATCCAACTTTTGGTGAACAGTTCTTGACACCATTCTCTTAAATCCATTTCATTTACTGTTTCCTATTCCATGTCCATTATTTGAAACATCTTATTCTTTCCCAATCATTCCAGTTAGTATCTTGTCTTTTATTTCTTTCTAGAAAAAACAAAGGTCATGGCTTTGATGATTTTCTCTTATTTTTCCATCTTCTCTGTATTCTACAAACTTTACTATTTGCTTCAGTCTTGCAACTTGTGTCAATTCTTCTTCCCCCTAGTTCTTCCTTTTCTTTTTAATATTATTCACACAGGTAAGAGGCGTTCATGCCCATGTGGGCCTTCAATTAGGGTGGAGAGGGTTGAGGCACAGAGGAGGTGGGTGGGACAAATGTTCCCTTTTTTTCTCTCTCTCTTTGCAGAGAAGTGAAGGGAAGGGCCACTCCTTGCTGTCAAACTCCATAAGGACCTGGGGATGGTGGACGGTCATTTGACAATGTCTCAGAAACCCCAGTGTAAGGGAGAGTACTGTGAAGACGTTACTTGAGTGATTCTGATAGTTCTAAGATGTTGTTAGCTTCATTGCACTGGAGTTGAAAAAATCTTTCCGAGATCTATTGGTTGAGCAAATCCACTTTAACACATCCACAGGCCCAGGAACATTTTGTAAAGCTTGGCCAGGAGAGTGGTACAACCTGTTCTGCTTTTCATCCTCTGACAAGGTACTAGCCATCCTCCACTGAGCCAGGCGTCATGTTTCCTGCATACATCTGACATCAGCAACTGAGGAGGCTCAGTGCCGACACAGGCACTCCAAGGTCAGCCCACATATACTGTGACTTATCCCTGTGGCCAGTGTTGGAGTCCAACGACCTAGCTGGGGAGTTCCCCAAGAAACCTTGCCTGGGGTGATCTCAGACTTGACTCTTGTATGCATCAGCCAGTGCAGGTTCAGGTTTGGTCCTTCACCTGCACCAGCCAGTACACATACCAGTGGATACAGCTGCCTGGTCAGCTCTGCGTCCAGCCCCATCTCTCACATACAAGTGGATACAGCTGCCTGGTCAGCTCTGCTCCCAGCCCCATCTCTCACATGAATTGGGTTCTGCAGCCCAGCCCAGCCCAGCCCAGCCCAGCCCAGCCCAGCCCAACCTGCCACAGGCCCAACGTTCATTCAAACAGCAGAGCCTGGTCGGGCCAACCCCTAACATGTCCACCAGGCCCATCGCCAGCCCCGGTGTTTGCATGTACTGCAGTCTATATGATCATCCTATCCGGCTCTCATGCACTCCATGGGTGCTGCAGCTTAGTTTAGCCCAACCTGCCCCCAGACATAAGCCAACAGGTCTCTAGTTCTTTCTCTAGGTGAAGAAGAATTAGGTGGCTGACTTAACACTTTCTTATACCAGCATTAAACAGATATAAATTTCCCTCACAAGACTGCTTTTAGTGAATTCCCTGAGTTTTGACATGTTATGTGTATATGTTCATTTGTCTTACAATGTTTTCTATATCTCCCATCTGCTGGTTCACTCCCCAAATGGCCCCAAAAGCCAGGTCTGACACAAAGCCTTATGCCTCCCCAGCTCCCCCAGGTGGGTAGCAGGGGGCTCAGCGCATGCCTGTCCTCTGCTGATCTCCAGGCACACTAGCAGTGAGTTGAAGCACAGCTGGAATAGCCAGGATTCGAACTGGTGCCCATGGGGGATCACTGCAGGTGATGGCTTAGCTTGCTGCACCACACTGCTGACTTCCTTAGTTGATTTGTTTTTTTACATAACACTCTGTAGTCATTTATAGTTCCACCACTCCATGTACTTTGTTACTGATGTTGAAAATTACATGTTATATATTGTGTGCCTATTAACATAGTTCTATACTTTTATTTTGTACTTTTACCTTGAAATGTTACAAAATAGAGGACAGAGCTGCAAATGCACATCACAATTGTGATTCTCATAATTGTGTGGGTATTTACCATTTCCACGGGAGAACAGGTGGTGCCTGTGGAAGGCTCTGGTCGTGATGCATGGCTCCCTCACCTTTTGCTTTCCCAGAAATGTCTTAATTTCTGTCTTGTTTTTGAGGTCCAGTTTTGCCCGATATGGATTTCCTGCTTTTCCTTCCAGGACTTGAGCTATGCTGCTGCTCTGAAGGTGAATGTGATGGGCCGCTCTGCTCTTGCTGCCCTCCAGAGCCTCACCTCAGCTGTGACCTGTGGCTCTTCCGGGTCCTCCCTGACAGGACATCGTTAGGACAGTCTGGAGAGCTTTTTTTCTCCAGTTGATGTGCCTGCTGCTGGGATTCGTGAAGGCGCTATTGATCTTTCTGGGGGTATCTCACAGGTCTCCTGGCTCCTTCCCACTTTTCTTTCTGTTCCTCAGCTTCCACAGTATCAACTGACCAGTTTACAAGCATACTGATTCTTTCTTTTGCATAGCTGTGTCTGCTGTTAAACCCACATAGTTGATCTTTCAACTCAGTTGTCCCATGTCTCAGAGCAAAGGTTTCTGATGCTATTGTAATTTCTTTTTTTTTTTCTACATATTCACAAAGTCTGCTTAACCCCTCTAAGTACAACCATTTAGAGAATGTTTGATCGCACTTCTATTCTGCAGTTGGGGTTTCATCAAACTCGTATTCCTTTGTAAGAGATCACCTGGCCACTGACCAGGTGTCCTGAGGGAAAACAGCTGCGATGCACTGCAAACCAGGCCTCAGTAACGTCTGCTCTCTCTGCCTCCACTTCCTCCTGAGACCTCCCCCGACCTCTGGGTCCACGTTGCTGTTTGCTCAAGGCTTTCATCTCTGTCTGTCTGCCTTCACCACCTGTTCGGTGACCAAGAAGTGTGTCTTCCATCCCGTTCAAACTCAGACTCAGCTCCTGACCCCATCTCGTGACTACCTCCTGCTTCCTGCTCCTCTCCCACCTGTGGTGTCCCTTGCACACCTAAGACCTTCTCCACGCAGGAGGTGCACTCATGGTGTTTGTCTCCATCTCCAACCTGCAGTCCGTGAGAAGACATTTCAATGTTGGTCTGTGTCAATGCCATGGAACACCCATTCCATTCAAGTCAATCCTAAACCATTAGAGAACAAGCAATGTCTCCACATTCCATCCACCATTGATACCTGGTACAATATCCATGCATCTCCTTGGCCTCAGTCAGAGTTCTGTATATCTCTGATTGCTCTCTCTGAAATATAATTTCCACATCAGGAGTTATCTATTTTTTTTTCCAATTCCTTCCTTGATTATTCCCATCTGTCTTTCTCCCAATATTCTTGCCTCTTTTTAAAAAACAGTACTTCCACTTTATGCCAAAGAGAGACGGAGGAGATCTTCCTTCTGCTGGATCAATTACCAAAGGCCTGAGACAGCCAGGACAGGGACTACTACACATTTTCATCTAAATGCATGACTTAGAGCAGCAGCTGTGACCCTGTGCGAGTCACCTTGCCTCCTGTGAAGACATCACTTGCTTCTGGCATTTTCTCATGATGCTGCTCGGACTGCAAGGAAGGTCCTTCAATCTAGGGAGCTCAGATTTGTGTCTTGCATTCCCGGATTCATCCCTATCTCCATTGCCGATATTCCAACCTTTTTTTTTTTTCCATCTATCTGAACCTCAGGATTTTCTCTGTCGCTACCTGGGTTATCTGAGAGCAGTATCGTTCCAACAGGTCAACAATTGCAACCAACTCCCCTGCACTAATATATGGTTCACATTCTTTTTAAATATTATTTGTTCATGCCATTCCTGTTCTCAAATATAGGCAAACCACTTATTGACTATTAAGGTTCATCATACTCACCTAGTCTGTCAAGGTCCAGCAGAATTTGATCTCACACAATTGTTCCTGAGAGAACAGAAAGGATCTCTCTACCCGAGTTATGATGAGGTCAAGCCGGACACCCCATGCAGTGCTAAGACCTGCAGTGACTTCCTGAAAGTAGTCACCTCTGCTCCTGCTGCACCCATCACGAGTGCCCTCCCGGTCTGACGCCGAAGCCAAGAGGAAGCTTATTATCAGCTGCGCCAAGAACCAAATCAGGATCCCATTATTCAGCGTACTCAGTCACATCTGAGACAAGGCTTTTCTAATCAGCCAAGTAGACAAATTCTGCCTGTCTCACAAAACTGATATGTAAATTAGGTGAGACTGTGGATGTTAACATATTCAATGAAATCTCTGCTACATTTTGGACACTTTAATCCATGTTACTTTGTGATCCTCCTTTGTATGACTCCTCAACTCCTTTGTGCGTCTCAGTCCTCTGCGGTTTTAATTTTTTATGCCACCCATTCTCGTTTCAAAATAATTATAGTACCACACAAAATTACATTGATCTGTCTAAAAAAAAAGAACTGGTAGATACGGGCAAACAACTGTGGAAAAATGAGGTAAGGTCGAAGTAGAATAATATTGTATTACAGTTAGTGTTTAGCATTGATTTTTATGTGAATTAAAGCTGCACCAAATGTGTTCTTGAATAAATTATGAGGCTTGTTGCCTGTTGCTGATCTTGCCTCCCAGTCCTTGAAGAAAGTGATAGTTTGATAAATTATTACTTATCCCACCAAGCAGAAGTAAATAAAGATTGCCTTAAAACAATTTTAAGTCTGTATTCCAGAAAGGGACCTGTGTCATGGGCAATGAGTCCATGACTGACACAGTAACTTGAGTGGAGGAGTGGTCTGTGTTCTCTAGCACATGACTCCACATAGAACAGACCGGCACGTGGGCTTACCCTTGTTTCTGTAACTAACTGAAGTCTTGGCACTAATCGTCTCAGGACGGAATCTCCAGACCCAGCTCCTTTGGTTCCCCTCGCTTTGCCAACGTGGTCACGTGTCAAGCAAAGACACCTCACTGAGCATGCACGTGGAGCCCGAGATTGCCCACACTCTGCGTGTGTTGACAGCCTGGGGATCCGTGCTTCCCGCAAGCCCACTCAAGGCCTGCCCCACGTCTCTTCAAAACAGCGTCCTGGACATAGGGCATCGTTAGGAATGTGCAACAACAGTACCGTATTGTCGCCAGTCCACAGCAGGGGGTAAATGGCGCCACAGCACGAGGTTGTTTAGATGGTTCACATAGGAAGGCACAGAATGAAAGCCTTTCTGGTTGTACCACACCTGAAAAGGAAAGACAGGGTGATGGGTCTCAGGGAAGCACTGTTCGCATCCAGGCTGGTGCACGGGAGGCATGCGTCCCCTTGCTTGGATGGCACCCAGCGCTCTGCCTGGCCAACGATGCAGTCAATGCCAGTGGGATCACTTTATATTATCTCAGGCATATAATTTACAGCTAAAAATAGATAGATTTTCCCCCAGAACAAATGTGGCTGCTGCTCTCTAATTATATTCTCACAGGGAGACTGGAACTGAAACCCATCACTTTGTTCTCTCCTCACTGGCAAGCTAATGAAATTTGACCTGCAAATTAAAAGTGTGGAAGATGATCAGAAAAAAATGATTACATCCAAATTAATAACTGAACATGGACCATTATTTCTCAAAATAAATTGGGCTGAACATTTGTTGAGCATGGAGAATAAAGTTGTGTGTCTGTCAGGAAGAGGGAGAGAGAAGTAAGAAAGACTATTTTTCAAGATGGGCTCTTAAGCATCATGGAACATACTCATAAATCAGCAGCAGCCATGTTTCAAAATGTCACTGTTTTAATGAAAAAAATAAATCCTTTGGAAAGCTGCTGGCTCGCAACAAATCAACCTGTGCCTTTGATCTTAACCCAATAGACAGAAAAGCCCGCGGCCCCCAATGATGCTCTCTCTGGCAACGGGCAATCCGCTGTGTACAATCACACACAGGGTAAGTTGGAACTCAGGCCTGTTGTGTCCCAAGCCAAGTAATAAAATATGGCTCAAGTGATTAAGAAACAAAACCAAAAACTTGAGATACAAAACCACATTCTTCAATTCTTCCTGAGTCCACTATATAAGACAATTCCCGCAGACGCCCTTCACAACACTCAGCCGTTTCTTGACAGATGTTCCCACATTCCTAGGGAAATCCTTGACACATCATCTCCCTCCAAGGCACAGGGATGCTGCTTAGGATCAACCAACCACAGAACTCAGGATGCTCCCGGTGATCAAGGTTGTACCCAATTAGAGTAGAACTGTGGCTCCAGGGTCTAGAACAACGTGGAGACCCACTTCTCCAGGGTAGGCAAACACACAAGTCTCTTGATTGAAGCTGACAGTGAACTGCAGAGTATGTGTCATCTCTTCCCACTCAGCGTGAAGATTCATTTCAACACAGCTCTGCACCCTCACCCCCAGGCCACCCTTCCATTGTCCTGTGCTCTTCCTTCCACCTTTGTGTGGCCACAAGGATGCAGCCAGGTGTTCAGCTGGAGGGCAGAGCTGACCCACCTCTTACACCAGCTGCTCAGCTGCTGAGCCCAGTGCCTCCCCTCACCTCCATCATTCTAGGATGAGGTTGTGAGTCACTTCAACATGCACATCCTACAGAAACACTCACAGTCACTTCCACACTGTGTCTGCACACAGCTCACAGTCATGCCTATGTTCAAGACCACACTGTGGCTCCATGTGTGCAAATGGGGCGCTCAGAAGCTTCTCTTTTTCTCCAGTTAAGCTTCTGCTGACTCCTCCCCTGGAGGGAAAGCTGTGTCTTTCCACGTGATACATTCCTTCACGTCATTCCGCCACCTATCCTCATTTCCTCATCCAGAGGAAGTCCACTCTGTCCCAGAAGCACCACTCTTGGGTAGTGGTCCCTACAAGCAGCCCCAAGTAGTGGTCACATTCTTTACTCTGCCACCCATCAGGACTTGAGCAAAACAGCTTTCAAACCCACCTGTGGAAGAAGTTCCTTCAATGAGCCTTGGGACGGTTCTCTCCATCCTGCCTCAGGGTCTCTCAAAACTGCTCTCCTCTCATTGCTTTAGAACTGCCAGGAAATGCCCTCTCTCGTTCTGTTTCTGCACATTCTTGGTGAAAACATTCCATTCTCTCTTTTGAGGGACTCTCTCCACCCCATCACTCTTGACACTCACACACAAACACTGTGACCTCATCGGGGTTTTGCATACTGGGTTTCCCGCACATGCCCTAATAGAAGGGGAAAGAGCCAGTGTTACCTTTGCCAGAGTCCTGGGCTGTGACGCGCTGGCATTCTCAGCTGCAGGGCCACTGGGGATGCGCACTCCGAAGGACCAGCCGCCAAGCCTATCAAGAGCAAGCACAAGGACAGCACTCCTGCTCAGGGCACTCCTCACCCCACACCAGGCCCGTGCAAGTCAGACATCCAGCACTCCCACACACCCGCCACAGTACTGGGCAAGGCAGGCCGAGGCTGACCTTGTCAGAGGGTACAGCCTCACTAGGAACCACCTGCTGTGGGCAGTGGCCATGGCTCTCTGCTTCAGCTGTGAGTCACTTGAGAATCCCTTGGTGCTCTTCTCTCACTTGGCTCTCTCCGCCTGCACTCACAGCTCACCCCCTCAGGGGAGCGGGGTGTCCTTAGAACTATTGTCCTTAGAGCTGCTCCTTCTCTTTCGAGTTCTCACAGCACCCACCATTCACTTCTGCTGTGCTAATGACCACCCTGGGCTTTAATGGCCTATTTGCCAGGTAATCCTTCATGCACCCTTATGATGGTTTTCTAGGTGGGAATTTTTATCGTTCATTTCCCTATCACCATGGACTGTATAGTATCTGACACCTACCAGGTTTCAAAAGTTAGTCGACATTAGAAATAAAGGTACATACTATCACAAATGGCTCTTGGTGTGCCATGTTCAAGACCCAGCGCTGCTTCTGACTCCAGTTCCCTAATAATGTCCACTCTGAGAAGCAGCAGGTAGTGGCTCAAGAGACCAGTGTCCTCCGCCCACATGGGAGACCCGAAAGGAGTCCCTGGATCCTGCTCCATGCACACAGGAGACCTGGAAGGAGTCCCTGGATCCTGCTCCACGCACACGGGAGACCTGGAAGGAGTCCCTGGATCCTGCTCCATGCACACGGGAGACCCGAAAGGAGTCCCTGGATCCTCCTTTCAACCTAGCACCAGCATCAGCTCTAGTTTGGTACTGAACAGTATAAACAAGTGCTCTCTCTCTAAGGACACACTGAAAGGTCTCTACGAGATGGGCGGCAGTAGAGAGGCCAGAGGCCACCCTAGGGCAAGGGGAGCTACCCAACAGGGGAGGAGGACACAAGTGAAGGGCAGAGGCTGCCCCAGGCAGCGGACACCCATGGGGATGACTGCATACGCCAAGCCACACAGCATCCGGGACACTGGGAATGTGACGAATGACATTGAAAGATAAAGCAAGGAGAAGCACTCGTTCCCACTGCCCTCATCTGGTTAGCCCTTTAAGGTTCCAGGAAACTCAGCACAGAATACAAGCTTTCCCTAAATCACCTAAGAGCAATTTTACCACATTGTATTGAGAGGCTCCTGTATTGAAAGCCACATAGTGGAGGGATTCTAAAAGGAGACTATTATTTCATTATGCTGTTAACTTATCTGCCTGTATTCCCTAAAGCAATAAAATTTGCTCTGGCTCCCCAGCTTCTACCACTGACAGAATCTCGATTGATGTCTCTCGGTGCTTCAAGAATGAAAGCCACCAGTGAGGAATCTGATTAGGGCCCACGGTGTACCTCCAGAATTTTTATGAGCAACAAGGTTAGTGTCAGACTTCAGAGAGTTTATGAACATTAATCTGAAACAGTACATTTCCCAAATTACAGCCAGCCTCCCACAACCACATGTTCTGCATCGGCAAAGTCTCAGGAAAAAGGTGATTGTGCCAGACACACAAGACACTGCTCTCTTAGCATGACCGCCTGAACAGCACAGAGCACCTAGGCAAACAGCTTTACAGCGTGTCAGCCATTGGAGGTAATCCAGAGAGGCCCAACGCACAGAAAGCAGGGTGGCTTGGGCAAACAGCTACAATGCTGCCTGGGGTGCCCCAGTGCGCATCCGAGTCCTGGGCTCCAGTCTCAACTCGGTGTTCAGTGACAGCCTCTTGCTAGTGCACACCTGCAAGGCAGCAAATGGTCCAAGTACTTGGGTCCCTGCTACCCATGCAAGAGCACTGCATTGAGGTCATGACTCCTGGTGCTGACCCAACCCAACCCTGGACTGAGGACATGGCTGCTGACGTTAGTCCAACCCAACCCTGGATAGAGGTCATGACTCCTGGTGCTGACCCAACCCAATCCTGGACTGAGGTCATGACTCCTGGTGCTGACCCAACCCAACCCTGGACTGAGGACATGGCTGCTGACGTTGGCCCAACACAACCCTGGATAGAGGTCATGACTCCTGATGCTGACCCAACCAACCCAACCCTGGCCGCTGCATGCATTTGAGGAGTGATTTAGCAGATTCGTGTGCTCATTCACATTTGCTCATTCATTGACATTCATTTTCTCTCTGCCTTCCAAATAAGTAAAATGCAAAGCATACAGGAGGAAGTGCAAAGATTATATGAAATACTGTATCTTCTTATATGAGGACTTTGACCATGCACACACAGTGCTCCCCACATGGGTCCTGAATACTGAGGAACAACTGTTCACAGACAACAGAGAAGCCCTGAGGACAGCTGCGAACACACCTGGGCTTTCCGGATGGTATGAGCAAGTACTTCTCCACATCAGTTCCTGAGAGATTCAGCAGGGTGTGGCCCAGGCTGTTGGTCAGGTAGGGAGCCCCCGCACTGCTGTTTGGACACCCCTGTCAGTTTCCAGAGAGAAAATAGACACAGACCTGTAATTCACATACACATTCATGGGCACTCCTTTAATCCTTTTTTGAAAAGGAGAGAGAGAAGAGAGACCTTCGTTTCACCGGTTTACTCCTTAGACACTGCCACAACAGCCAAGGTTGGGCCAGACAAAGCCAGGAGCTTTGCCCACATGCCTCATAGGTGGGACTAAGCTCACTGTGCCACAATGCTGACCCTGAATTTCAGTTCTGGATAAGAATTTGAAATTGAAGTGATAGCTTCCATTCACTGGGTTACTCCATATATGGCTGTAACAGTGCGGGCTAGGCCAGCCCAAAGCCAGTTGGTTCATCCTGAGCCATCTAAATGGACACTGTTGAGAGAGATGGGTCTTGAGGCAGTGGGAATGGTGAGTTGGAGAGAGATGTATGAGGAGCATGGAGACTTTAATGAACAAGAAAAGTTGATGACAGCATAGAAGAGTGATTCCTAAAGGTGGGAGGATGGGAGGAGAGGGGACAGAGGAAATTAGATACTGGGTACCAACACATATAGAGGGATTATGTCCAGGTGTCCACAGAGCAGCAGGGGATCAGCATCCATGACAAGACTCATTCCTTCACCCATCCTTTAACCACTGACAATCTACTCAAAACAGACCTTAGCTGTGCAAGTTACAACTGCTGCAGTAACAGAACAACCACAGGAACATGCGGAGCAAGTCAGAGCCTTCACCAGCAAATGCAGTGCCAGGAAAATGGCTGTGCCCAAAGCCAGGAGTTGGTGCAAAGCAGCACAGAGGGCAGCTGAGCCTGCTGACCATGAGTGCCCGAGGGAGCATGATGACCCCCTCGTTCTCTCAGTCAACCTTTCTGAGTGCAGTTGGGTGCCCTGTCCCAGCGAAGAAGCTTCCCAGACAAGGCGAGAAAGCAGGCCAGGCCCTCCCAGGACAAACCTTCTGAGTGTCCAGGAAGTCACCATGGAGGTGAGAGAATCCCATAGGCCACTAACCACAAAGGCTGGAAACACCTCCACCGTGGATCCTCAATTCAATTCAACTTTTTTCTTTTCCTTCCTTTCTCCAAATAAGGTTTGTCCATCAACGTATTGACTATGGCTGACATGACTCTGCCTTTTATTGATTAGCTCTAAAAATTTCCTCTGAGACCATTTCCAATCGATTTTCCAAATACATTTGAATCATTCTCTAACACAGACCGGAGGGTTGTGGCCCTCTTTTAACAGTGGAGCATCTATCTCCCCATACAACGGAAGAGATCCTCCATGCTCAGACAAGTCTGTTGACAACCCAGCTGTTCCCATCACCTCACAGAGGTCAAGTAAAAGTAGACAGGAGCGGGCCCGGCGCGGTGGCGCAAGTGGTTAAAGGTCCTCGCCTTGCACGCCCGGGATCCCATATGGGCACCGGTTCTAATCCCGGCAGCCCCGCTTCCCTTCCAGCTCCCTGCCTGTGGCCCGGGAAAGCAGGACGGCCCAAAGCTTTGGGACCCTGCACCTGCGTGGGAGACCCAGAAGAGGCTCCTGGCTTCGGATCAGCATAGCATCGGCCCGTTGCGCTCACTTGGGGAGTGAATCATCGGATGGAAGATCTTCCTCTCTGTCTCTCCTCTCTGTATATCCGCCTTTCCAATGAAAAAATAATAAAAATAAATCTTCAATAAAAAAAAAAAGTAGACAGGAGCCTGGAGGTCAGCCTGCCATGACATGCGGGAGATTCCCCCAGAGCACTTCAACTTTTCTCACCCTTGATGAGGAGGTGGGTTTAGCACTGCTGTAGGCCCTGGACAGGGGATGCCGGCATCTGTCCAGCAGCAGGTGCTGCCAGTGGTCACTTTGGGTGACAGAAATGATCTCAGTAAAGACTCAGGGATGAACATGAGCTTTCACAGGTGGAGCAAGGTCATCTGCCACTTGGGCTTTGACTTTCAAAGATCACAGCAGCCACAGGAACCTACCAGACAGCCACAGGAATCCTGGAATTCCAGGGCAGGAAAGAGATCCCGGTGCCAGCAGGAGGAGTTCTCCCTGAAAATCAGAAGGAATGCAGTGAGCTTTCCACTGACAAAGCTACCACACCCCCTGAGAGAGCTCTGTGCAACCAGCACACAACTCAGGGTTATCTCTTCCACAGAGAGGTGAGGGAAGTGGCCTCTGACACTGGCCTCACAGTGTGGGTCCTCACTCAGATGAGACCTCAATCATAATGGTATTCCCTGATGGCATACGTGCACCCTGTCCCCTGTGTGAGAGGCGCCACCAGGGCTTCTCAGCATCTCCCCAAGGCTCCCACTCCTAAGTCAGGTACCAACAAGCAATTAATAAACCCAGTAAAGGCCTGAGTGGTAGCACAGCAAGCTAATCCTCCATCTACAGCACTGGCTTCCCATGTGGGCAGCAGGTCGTGTCCCAGCTGTCCCACTTCCCTTTCAGCTCCCTGCTTGTGGCCTGGGAAAGCAGTCGAGGATGACCCAAAGCCTTGGGACCCTGCACCTGCATGGGAGACCCAGAAGAGGCTCCTGCTACTCTTTGGATCATCTCAACAATGGCTGATGTGGCCATTTGGGGAATAAACCAACAGATGACAAGATCTCTCTCTGATCTCTATCTCTGTAACTGTTTCAAAATAAATAAATATTTTTTTTTAAAAAAAGAGCTAATTGTGAAGTTCCATTTTAAAAATAGGAAAGCCCTGGAAGCAATAGGTGGGAAGCGTGCAGGAAAGTTTGCCTGCCATTTCTTGTCCTTCTGAGCTCCCAATATTTGTCAACCAAATTTGCATTACTGATGATAACTCTCTAAATTACTACAAATGTTGAGAATAAACAAAGGCATCTCACTCTGAATGACGGTCACTAGCTGCTTTTGCCCACATCCGCTCTGGCCTCAATCTCTGAAAGGACGGAGCTCTAACTTGCAAGTCTCCGGTCCAGGTTCGCCTCACGGAAGGCCAGGTCTGCCAAGCTCCCACCTCTGTGTGCTAGGGAAAGCCTCTCATCAGAGGCGAGCATTTGGCCTAGCAGTTCAGACACCACTTAAACGGCTGTGTCCCACACCCATCTCCATCTCCTGGTTCGAGCTTCCCGCTGACACCGGCAGACACTAAGGAGACAGTGGTGATGAGTTAAGCAAGTGGATCCCTGCCACTCGCGGGAAAACAGGATGAAGTTCTCAGCTCGCAGCTTCGGCTCTCCAGCTCAGCTCAGCTGTGAACTACTGCATTTATGAAGTGAAACAATGGATAGCTCTCTATGTCTCTTTGTCACATTAAAAAGAACTTTTAAAAGGGTCCAGCACCATACAGTAGTGGGCTGAGAGAGGTGTGGCCAGCAGCACAGGTCAACGCAGCCACGGATGGAGGAGCGGAGATTTCATGTGGCCACCCCTGTATCCCAGTGCCCAATAGACTCTCCACATACTTTTTACCCTTGACCTCAACTATTGTCTTCCCAAGACCCTCCAAGGGAAGCTGTCACCAGCCATGGAAGGACCCAAGCATTCCATCTCTTGAGTGCTCCCCAGGTGAGAGAACCTTTTAGAGGTCCTGGGCACTGGAATCATCAGGCCACAAAGATGAGGGACCATACTGCCAAGATCCAATGAGGTAACTGTCTGCTTACCACCACAGAACTAGGGGCCAGCGTTACAGTGCAGGGGTTGACGTCACCATCAGCAACGGCTGCTACCTGACTGGTAGTCCAGCTCCCTGCTAGTGCACCTGGCAGAGCAGATGATGCCCAACGCTCAGGCCCCTGCTAGCAGCATGGAAAGCAGCTCCTGGCTTCAGCCTGGCCACACCCCTGCTGCTGTGCTTCCTTGGGGAGTCGACAATTCCTCTGTTCCCCTTTCTGTAATTCTGCCTTTCAAATAAAACAACCTTTTTTTTTTTTAAGTCATGGAAATAAACTTCATGATTTGTCCTAACTGGCTTCTTAAGTTTGACAGAACTATAAGATTTGCTAACTACCACTTTTGTTCTTTATTAAGATTAGTAACAACAAGAAGGTCAAAACGATCATTTTGCCTCAGACAGAAGGGAATTTGCCCCTGGAGCTGTGAGCCCTGTAAAATGAGATGAAATGCACATACAGCAGTGTGCTCTGAAAGCTGGCAGTGTTAGCACCTTTGAATAATGAGATTGTGCAATACCTACAGTATGAGTAAACTCATATTTTAAATTTAGATTTACACCACAGAAGATGTTTCTGGAATCCTGTGCTGCCTTTCAGATGACAGGGAGTCAGCACAGCTCCCTCTCCGAGGACAACACCAAGCTGAGGACCACAATGCAAAGCTGTCCACAGGCAGAATCTAGTCTATTGTTCTTCAATGTTCCCTCTAACAAATGCTCAGATGGTTGCCTGAGTCTGCCAGGAAGGTGAAAAATGCAGCTATCACTCAAGTCAGTAAACAGGAGGAGTTGTTCCTATTCTAAATCAACAGTTTCACTCTGATTCAGATTCTAGTGTGCCGTGTCACCCAGAAATCAAACATGATTGAAGGCAGCAGCCCAGTACACTCGGGCTCAGTTAGACCACATGGATGCCACAAAGCAAATACCAGCCTGGGAAGACAGAAAAAAAGGGCAGATGTGTCCACACCGGGGGTGCTACGCTGGCTGGGCTGTGTCCACACCGGGCTATGCTGGCTGGGCTGTGGTGTCCACACCGGGCTACGCTGGCTGGGTTGTGGAAGAGCCGAGGAGCAAAGCAGGAAGCCCTGGTCCCCAGTGAAGAAACTGAGCCTGAAAGAAGAATCCACACAGCTACACACTGCTGGCCTGGAAGCAGCGACTGCACCTTTCTAGATGCTTCTGGAGGGACTGCACAGGCTTCTTTCTGCTCTCTCAACCGTCTTCACTGCCACGCTGGACTGGCGCTGACCACACGAGGCAGCCTGGGTGGGCTTCCCCCACGGAGAGGTGCACTTCCTGGGCTGCGCACTTCACAGGGCAGAAGGGAAAACATCACCGCAGAGCCCCAGACAACTCTGCTTCCCTACAGAAGACTACAGTGAAGCAGCATAATTCATCTTTACGGGTTCTTCCTGAGACCATTAATAGTTACTCGGTCTCTAACTAATTACCAGCAGGACTAATGAGTCAAATGCATCTCCCCAATTAGAAAACATATGGCCACTATGGTATTTTAATATTTATTACTTCAGAGACACTCTTCCAGCAGTTAGCAGACCGTTGTGGTTCAGTTGGTTGACCAGGAATAGTCCATTTCCTGAGACCAGCGCTGTATTCCTAATTAACTTCAGCTGCTCCCGTAGCCATCTTATTAATAGTTGATTCTTAGTGTATGCAACCAGAGCAAAGCAAGAGGAAGAAAACTCCATACCAAGATTTATCTAAAGATTTCACTAAAAGGCCATCATTATGTTAACCATTTTTAAATCCCTCCAAAATAATATTCAAGGTAATTTATCAAACTTGATAGACTGGCCTTTTAAGACTCTTAGAAGTTATCATTAAACGTTTCATGTGCATAAGTTTTGTCTGAAAAGCAAACAACAGGTAACACATAATTCATGTTTAACTGTTGTTTCATTCTTTCTAATTTTGAATTTCCTTAAGCAAGCCTAATGTTCCCAATGGCGTATTCTTTTCCCATGACACAAAGTTTGTGTCCACACAGGGGCGGAGCACTCATTTACCAGCTTGCTTCAAGTGCTTCTGTGTGGTGACCTCCTGAAGCCTGCTAACGGGTGGCCATCTCCCCAGGAAGCCAACAGGTAAGTCATATCCGTGTCATATTACTGTGAAGTCCCAGAAGGAGACCATGCTCCTGGCTGTGCGGCCTCAGGGAACCCTGCCTGTGGGGACCCAGGGAGCCCTGGCTGAGGGTCCATAGGGGAGCCCTGGCTGTGGGGACCCAGGGAGCCCTGGCTGAGGGTCCATAGGGGAGCCCTGGCTGTGGGTCCACAGGGGAGCCCTGGCTGAGGGTCCATAGGGGAGCCCTGGCTGTGGGTCCACAGGGGAGCCATGACTGAGGGTCCACAGGGGAGCCCTGGCTGTGGGGACTCAGGGGAGCCCTGACTGTGGGGACTCAGGGAGCCCTGGCTGTGGGGACTCAGGGAGCCCTGGCTGTGGGTCCAGAGGGGAGCCCTGGCTGTAGGGCCTCAGGGAGCCCTGGCTGAAGGTCCACAGGGAACCCTGGCTGTGGGGACCCAGGGAGCCCTGGCTCAGCCGTGTCTGTGCAGAGGGACCTGATACTCACAGGTCTGAGCTGGAGTCAGCACAGACGAGCCCTTGGTCTCTGAACTTTTGCAGGAGCACGTGGCTGAGGTCCATGGCATCATCCGCACTGCTGCTCAGGGAAGACAAGCAGGTCAAGTCGGAGGATGAGCAGCGCCTCACAGCGAGTGCAGGTCGGAGCTCTCACTGAACAAGGCAGCAGGCCCAACTCGCCCAAGCAGCAGGACCTGGAGCTCAGAGAAAGCTCATTTGCAATGTCTTACAGTAAATTCAACAAGCAATAAAATTGAGAAATTTCTAAAAAGCATGGTTTTGCTACAACAGATATGCATTTTTATATCCTTATATTCACAGTGCATTATTTTTCTCATCTTTTCACTTAATATTTTCACATGACCATTTTTCACCCATTTGCATGGTTTTTAAAAACAAATTTTAAAGACTACATAATATTGCATCATGCTAATATATTAAAATCTATAAAATTATATTCCTTTAATGCTCTATCTTGGGTTTGGCTTGAATATTTATTCTTCCTCATATCCCTGAAGCAAAACAATTTCTTGTACTTGTATATTTTTTATAAGCAAACTATTAAGTGCTTATAAAAAACATATTCATGGAGTTTGGGGGAAGATGTCAAGATAAACCCCATCCCTTGCGAGAACCACACTGACTTGAGGAGGTTTAACCAAGCCTTTCCCAGGCTGTTCCCTCCCTGCAATCCTGCGGGCCCCATGTCCTTGTCCAGGGTCCCCTTTCCTGTGCGCTATCCAGGGCCACGGGAGACTGCCACTGCTCTTCCTCAAAGTGTGGCTCTGGCCAGAGCAGCATGGAGTGGTGAGAGGCTGCTGGGAAACCACCAGAGTGGTGGGGAGTCCTGCTGTGTTTCCTGTCATCCCATCCACCAGTACATGCACATCATCCGCAGAGGCCTCCAGCTCTCCCGGGATTCTGCCTCCCTCTATCTGGCCTTCCTTGTGCTCTTCCCACTCACAGAGGAACAACTGTTGCAGAAACTACAGCTCATTTTCTCCCAACACCACCTTCTGCCAAAGGAGACTTTCCCTTGAGAACAACAAGCCAAGGCATCGCCCAAGGCTAGGAGGAAAGAATGTGGAAGGGTGTTCTCGGGATGCTAGGTGAGGGGAACAAAGGCAGGGCCATCTGTGGGTTCCATGGCCAGGACAGACAGAGCACAAGGTCCGAGAGGCAGTCAGCATTCCGTGTGTTGCTCTTGCAGAGACTTGTGGTCACAATCTCCCCCCACTTAGCACCCACTCAGAAGTGCAGATGACGCTCTGTGTCTATTCTGTCACACAAAGCAACAGAAACTTCCACTGATCGCTTCATTTCTTCCTGGACGTTTGCTCACCTCTTTCCACCAAAGGATCAAAACAAACAAGTAGGTAACCAGGCAGTAGTGCTGGTGCACAAGAAAGAAAAAGCAGGTGTCTAGGAGGAAGTTGTACACGTACGGAGAAACGGATGTCGACGTTTGGATGCTGACAGACGCCTGGTGCTGTCACCACGGCAGGAACAACATGTGCAAAACACACCAGCAGGCAATGGGTATGCAACAGCAATCACTACAAGTCTTCAGTCACTTTTAATCTCTGCCATCTGTCTGCATACCGCACAAGGATGTGCTTCCTAATTCCAAATGATTACCCTCCAGGCAAGTGGCCAAGAACATGGTCAAGTTCAATGGTATTTGAAAAGTAAATTATGGGAAAATATTGTGGGTTGAATAATTCCCCCCAAAAAGTCATGTCCTCCTGGAACGTCAGAGTATGACCTTATTTGGAAATAGTCTTTGCAAATAAAGTTAGATAGGATGAGCTCATATAAGGTCAAGATGATCCTTAAATCTAAGCTGACTGCTGCCCTTAGGGGAGGAAGAGTGGGACAAAGAGACACCAAGATGATCCCTAGACAGCAGGAGGCTGAGATGGGAGTGATGCTGATTATCTGCTACCCCCAAGAAGCTGAAGGAGACTGAAGGAACCTTCAACTTTAGCTGGGTGTGACTTCCGGCTCAGTGCCAGACTTCAGGCCTCCAACACAAGCACAGAACAGATGTGCCACTTTGAGTCAGCTGGCTGTGATGCTCTGATACAGCTATGATGAAGGTTGTCCATTTCCTGTCCTCACAGGGGAGCAGGCACAGCTGGGCTGCGTGCAGAGGGGGTGGGGAGCAGACACAGCCCAGATGGGTGCAGAGGCAACAGTGCAGAAAGTACACGAATCAGCAGTTATAGCCAACAGCCTCTTGGCAGCTCTTAGAGAACTGACTTTAGTGACCTAGCTGGAGTCCTACATTTTCTCCTGCTAGATCTTTCTCCAGTTGAAGCGCTTGGATAACGTAGATGAAAGAAGAAAGTTCAGTGGTAGGACAGCACTCAGCAGGCAGCAGGCCGGAGTGGGTCCCTGTACCAGGAGATCTCCACAGGTCTACCCAGAGGAGGGCCTCTGCCACTCACCTGAGAGCCTCCCCTCTGGCAGGCATCCAGCCACAAAGCACCACTCACAACATCAGATGTTCCCAATTCTCAGATTCAACATTATTTTGGAAAGCATGACTTCCATGAAAAATGAAAACTCTGTGAGCAGGAAAATGCTTTCAAAACAAAGCTATAATTACCAAGTTTATGATGCAGGAGAGCAAGTGAATGGCTATTTAGAACTGGCTGAAAATGTAGCAGTGAGACAAACACCGAGAATCTCTCACAGAAGAAAGGAGAAGATGAGGACAGGATATGGAAGTGGTGAAAATCCAGTACCTACTGAACTCCGCTAACGAGCAAGTACATCCCCACCGAGCAGCTGCCGAGTAAAGTCATGAGACACGGGGGAGTGTCGGAAGACGGGGCTCTCGGCTGCCCAGGAGTAGGGCCGACAGTGCAGCTGCCGTCTGGAAAAGGATCCGGCAAACTGCAGATGTGCCATCGATATTTGCTGAATAAAAGAATCAATTAGTGCACACCTATAAAGACAATTTGGCAACAATGACATGGACAAAACCGATGTCTTTGTCCCCAAAATGTCTTATAGAAATGAATGATAGTGAAAATAATGGAAAAGGCACATAAATCTAAAACAAAACTACCCATATAGCATTGCCTTTAACAGGAGAAGACACAAACGCGTTATGCCTCATGGCTGAGATCTGAAACAACCCTTTGTCCAATGTACAGCCCTGACAAATGGGCGATGCATTTGCACTGACTTACAACAGCAGGGATGGAATAGAGAGCCACATAAAACGCAAGTTACAAAGAACTTTCTGCTATGAGCTCATTGTCATAGAAACAAAACCACAGACAGCTAAAAGCATTAAATGCCACAGGAGGAAGAGGCACCGCAAGAGGCTTGTGGGAGAATCTCCGAGCAAAGGATGAATGAGTCTTTGTATTTATTTAGATGAGGTATTCTTTGTGCTTTTTTCTGCTCAGCCCATACTTTTGGAGCAAGTGTTTGGCACACACGGCAGTTACAACACTGCTTGGGATGCCTGGGGCCAGTGCAGGGTGCCCTGACTACCCTGGCCTCCTGCTTGTGCACACCCTGGGAGACCAGAAAGGACGTTCAAAGCACCCCTGCCAGCCATGAGGGTCCTGGGATCGAGTTCCTGGCTCGGCTTTAGCTTGGCCCAGTCCCCACTGGCATTTGGGGAGTGAACAGGTGGCTGGGCGATCTCTCTCTTTCCCATTTAGCACTTGTTTTTACTCTTGTGGAACTGTGCTATTCCCTCCTTTTATGTGTTGAATACCATAGTTAGTGGTGAATTGAGCCTATGCATATAAAGGATTAAGATCTGTCTTTGCGAAAACCTGTAAAAGGAGGCGAGGGGACAGAGGGATGGAGCGGGCCTGCGGTGAGGGGAGCACGGGAACTACAGTTCTCTTGAAACTGCACCTGTGGATTCACAGCATCTGCTCTTTATAATCAGAGCAACTTGAAAAAACAAAATACATCTTAAACATTTTATAAATTCAAAAGTTACAGCTCTTTCATACTTGAATATGACAGAAATTTGAGCATTTGTGAGAAAAAAAAACCTCCAGTGGACATCTACCCACCTGGCATATCCACTTTAAACAGTTCATAAACATGAGGGTGTATTAATACACTGCGTGCTACCGGAAAGAGGATCCAACCGGTGGGACAGGGGCTTGGGGCACAAGACCAAGTACAAGATATGGGCACTGCACGGCTGCAGCAGTGGAACTGCCCCTTGGCACTTAAGAACAGGCAGCAGAGATATGGGCACTGCACGGCCGCAGCAGTGGAACTGCCCCTTGGCACTTAAGAACAGGCAGCAGAGATATGGGCACTGCATGGCCGTAGCAGTGGAACTGCCCCTTGGCACTTAAGAACAGGCAGCAGATAAAGAGCAGGAGCCCAAGAAACCAGCTTAGCACCTCTTGTCCCTTTGTCACTGAATTTGTTTAAACCAAATTGCTAATTACAAGTCACTATGAATGTTGCACTAGCAAGCATGTAGACTAGCTGGCCACACATATTACATTAATAAAAGCTGGCACTGCCCCTTGCTGACCACTGATGGTCTGGCCGGGACCCCTGGGCAGTCCTGGGTCAGTGCCACTGAGCCCGCCACCCTCCCTTTCCTACTGCCAATCATGCACTGCTCTGCTATACTGTGAGGTCCATGGCTGTGCCTGGCACACAGCGAGCCCCGAGTGAGGGGCAGTGGAATCTGAAGGGAGCTGACCAACCTGAGCCCAAGGTACTCCAGTCTCTTGGAGTTGTCCACCAAGTCCCCAGTGAGCTTCTGAACGTGGGCCCCAGGAGCCTCTGAGAAGCCAACATCTGTGTGCTGAGTCCCCGGCTGCCAGTCTTGCCATCAGCAACATGGGGGCAGCCCTGGGATGGATCACCCATGGCCTTGCTTGTTTCTTGGCACAGCAGCTCCACCACCCTCACAACCTAACTGCCTGCCAAAGGCCCAGCTCTGAGCCGAAAACTAAGGACTTGGTTTGCACACTGAAATTCAGGGCTGGGCATCGGTACATGCTCGGCCCTGCAATTCTCCAGGATCCAACCAAAGAGAAGGGTGGGAGGGGCAGGAAAAGGCAGCTCCTCACCTGAAAAAGTAAGCCTCAGCGCTGTCATAATGGCCCGGGGTCAGCTGCAGGGGAGGGTAGGTGGTGGCCAGGGGCCGCACCATGAACAGGCCCATGGCCAGGGTCACAAACAGGACAGGCAGCAGCAGGTCTGAGAGCGTGTTCTTCCAGGCCCGGAGCGTGTGGCACAGCCGCTTGCACATGATGGCAGCCACCTGGGTCAGGAGGAGCTTCCGGCCGTGCACGAGTGTGGTCCTCACAGGTGAGTCACCTGCAGGGATGAAAACAAGGAGGGAGGGATGAACCGGGTGCTGCTGTGGCTGCGGCTCCCAGCACCAACCTGGGCCTGTGGATTTTTTCCCCACATCCTGGAGATGACCCTGTGGCAACCAACCACATTAGGAGCACCACATGGACGGCCTGGCACATCCTTGTACATATGAGCACCCATGCATGCGTACCAAAGCACTCTGCCCCTGGACCCACAGGGACCAAGCCCAGGTTCTCCGCCTTCCTGGTCTAGAACGATCACGGCCCTGGATGGGAATGGAATGGGTCTCACGTGGCTTGCCCCAGGACGGAGAGGACAGATGAGAACAGACTGTGTACACCTTCACCAGCTGAAAGCGAGGATTCTACAGAGCCCTGTCAGGAGGGAGCAGGTGGCTCTGTGCACCCGCCCAGAGGAGACCTGCCCTCCCTACTGCCCTGGTTGTCCTCTCCGTCCTCAACCCAAGGTCTTTCCTGGGCATTCCGCCAGTTCCGCACCGCATGGGATTCTGAGAACAACCTCCACTCTAGCCCCTCCTCACCCCTACCCACCCTCATCCTCCAGCACCTCCCTCCTCTCCTGGACCTGCCACCCAAAGCTCCTTTCTTCCCTCTGAAGGACACAGCAAATCTGAGAATGCTCAGCTGTCAGAGGGACAACATGTGACATTCGAAGAAGTGTGAGCCATGTGACACCGACGTGTGGATCCTCTGCAGACTCCACATCTGGCCCAGGTGAGGATGTCATGAGACATTTCTTTGTACCTGCCCAGGTTAGAACACCTGCAAACACCTCAATGCACCTGCTGCAGCCCAGCTGCCCTGCACAAAGCTGCGGGGCACAGTACCTACGTTCAATGTGAGGATGACAAAGAGGAAGATGGAGGCAGAGCCGTGACCTCGCCCACAGCCACTGGGAGAGATGCAGCTTGTCAAACAGCAGTCTCAGTGTTGTTCCCAACAGGCCCCCTTGTCCAAATGTTTTCCAACAAATATGCTTCAAGGAAAGACAAATGAACTGAATTTCTCTGCCACCGCCAATACTATATTGGGACCCAGTTGATAAAAAAGCAACAAGCAAGCTTGAAAACCCAAAAACAGTTGTGAAAAAGCAGTGCTACTTTGAAAGATAAATTCCTTGTGGTAGCGTCAAGCCCAGAGCTGTGGAGGCAGCACTGAGGGGTTAAGATGCTCACCTGGACTTCTCCCTCATTGCTCTCAGACACCTGCCAAGCCCACCATGCGGCCAGCACAGAGCTGCAGAGGCAGGGAGCCAGAGATGAAAGAACTGGCACCCAGGTGCGCGTCCCTGGGCTCGCAGGGGAAAGGTGGGGGAGCTGGCCCCAAAGTAGGGGTATTCAAGTGGAAGCCTGTGGTCCGACAGAGCTGACAGGCAGGCCAGAGACCATGCGCAGCCGTAATGAAAGCAGAAAAGGCAAGCAAGCACAGCCACTACTGCATCCCCAGGCCAGGGCCGGGCAGGGGGCACCTGCAGGGACAGAGGCAGAGCAGCAAATGCAGTGACAGGAACCCCCATCCTGCAGGGCCTCAGCAGCCTCCAGAGTCTGGGTCTGTGTGGGATGAAGACAGTCTAGGCGAGGCGCCACACGGTTAGGCTTGTGTGCAATACTGCGAGGTAGGACCTTACAGTGCACAGAGCAGAGCCAGAAGGTGGCTGCGGTGGTGTGTGACTACAACAGTGGTTTTAAAGCCAGACTACACACCAGAGTCACCAGGGAGCATCACGTCAAAAAACGTCTGCATCTTCACTCAGAACAAAACAAAAATATCTCCCAGGAGATGATAGCTAAGCTATAGGAGCACTGACGTAATGCACCATCAAAGGCAAGTCACATACGATTCGCACACGACAATTACTCAAAGACCCTTTGGAGAGATTGTGGCACTAAAAGAGATATGGTATTAGCCAAGTCTGATTCTGCTCGCTGACAACTGTTTGGGGTCACAGTGATGGCAGGACACGCGTGGATCCACTGGGTAACTGAGGTGTCTGGCAAAAGCTAACATCCTGGAGGTGTTCGCCCAACCTCACTTTCCAAAGGAATTCCTGAGAAAACTGCTTCACCGGGAGGGGACTGTGGGGCTCATCTTCCGGCAGGGGAGATTGCGTCTCCCTTTTAGACTGAGAAGAACATAAAGACCTCCATGAGGTCCACACCCAGGTCACCATCCACAGCAGGAGAGGTGTTTCATGGGGTGGCACTAAACTCATGTGCCCAGGGGTTGGCTTTGTAGGTTAAACTGCTGCCTGCAATGCCAGTGTCCCATGTGAGCACCTGTTCAAGTTCCTCTTGCTCCAGTTCCAATCCAGCTCCTTGCTTCGTTCAAGTGCTTGGGGCCCTACTACCCATATTATGAGACACCAGGGTAGAGTCCTGTCTCCTGGATTTGCAGTGGTACAGCCCTGGCCATTGTGGCTACTTGGGGAATAAACCAGAGAGTTTATCTCTTCTCTCTCTTTTAAAATATAAAATGGAATGAAGTGGCTAAATTTGTGAGCTCTGCCTGCTGAAGGAGTCAGAAGAGGAGGGGTGCTGCTGCTCACTGATCCCCCACAAGAGTCAGAGGTTGGGTGAGTTCAAGCCACACCCACAGGAATCTGAGTCCAGTCCCACCATTATACCATGGGTTCACTGATCCCCCACAAGAGACAGAGGTTGGGTGAGTTCAAGCCACACCCACAGGAATCTGAGTCCAGTCCCACCATCATACCGTGGGACTTCTGGAAAACCACTCCACACTCTGAATGTCACCTCAGTGGTAAAACAGATAATGAGGCCATCAGAGAAGGCATAACATTGACTTTGAGGCCTTGTGGGTGTTCGTGGGAGAGGTGTTCCTAATCTAAGAATAAATTTTCCCCACCTTCCCATACATGTTAATTTATCATAAATGAGGAAAAGGAAAGGGCTAAGATAGTTTATGGTTTTGAATCGACCACCAATCAAATATTCATGGCGAATCTTACAAAAGTATTTGCATGAATAATTTAACAGTCAAAATTAAAATGCTGGACCAAATTGTTATGAATTGTCTTATATGACTTATGAGTGTAATTACACTCAAGGACTCTGCTTACATCTATAATTACGTGCTCTCATTCCCCTGATCATCAAATCACTTAGGGGAAAATGTCCAAAAATTTTTTTCTTGGTCCAGTGATTTTACACATTCAAACATTAACACCTAGCGAGAAACTTAAAATATCAACCTCAAATATATCTACACATTACCAAGTTCATGCAAATGATCTTCAAGATATTAAAATACAGCATTATGAATAGAATACTTTCAAGTCAGTGAAAAGAATATTGCAAAAGAAAAAGCAGACACCCAGAATACCGAGCAGCTCAGCACAGATCTACCAAACAGCCAGTGCATCTGCGTGGCAGAGCAACACAGAGCAGGGGAATTGCAGCTCCTCTGGGCAACTACACTGAGGGCTCAAAGCCCTGGGCCTTCACACATGCCCACACCGGCTCCTCTGGGCGACTACACTGAGGGCTCAAAACCCTGGGCCTTCACACACACCCACACTGTTGAGGGAAGGGCAGGCTACACAGTCTTCCGTGGGACACCTGCTCCACTTAACTGTACCCCCTTGGGAGCAGACACTAAGCACTGAAAGTAAGCTTTGCTTCCAGGGGATCAGAGTGCCTGAGTCCACCAACTTCCAGCCCATCCTCCCTGCTGAAGTCACCCTCAGACAGCAGATGAAGGCTCTCAAATGGCCAAGGTCAGCCATCACAGGCACCTGGGGAGTCAATCAATGCATGTGTGAGATATTGTTCCTGCCTAATCTTTCAAATAAAATGAAAATCTTAAAAATATCATGTATAGGGCCTGACGGCGTGGCCTAGCAGCTAAAATCCTCACCTTGAACGCGCCAGGATCCCATATGGGCACCGGTTCTAATCCAGGCAGCTCCGCTTCCCATCCAGCTCCCTGCTTGTGGCCTGGGAAAGCAGTCAAGGATGGCCGAAAGTGGTGGTTTTAAAGTTTAAGAAAAAGAAAAGGCAGCTTGCCAGGATTGCCATGAACCAAGGTTCCCAATGGTGGAGTTGGGAACAGCTCTGGGAAGAGGCAGAGGATGAAGATCAACCACGGGAGATGGATGATGGATGGTCTAGTGGGCAAAGCAGAAATTGGAACCCTTTAAATCAACCACTAGCAAGACTGCTTCCCAGCACCAAAGCAGTGCAATTAAGAATGAGACAGAGGAGTCGATCATGGGAGAACAAGCAAAATTTCCCTTGAAGCACCACTGACAAACCACAATGCCAAAGACAAGCAGGCAGTCTCAGATCTGCCATGCAGGGCACACACTTCTTCAAAACAAATACATCAGCAAAGCCATGGCCACAGCTTGCAAAGCCATGGCCGCACCTGCTGGGGTCACTTGGCACCCGGTGCATCTGTGCCCTTCCACACAAACTCGGAGATTAGAGAGCCTCTGATGGCATGTTTTCTGGAGTGGGAAACACACGCCGCCCCAATCCCAGGAACACACGTGCTTCCAAGACAAAATCTGTGAAAGCCGCGTCACATTCAGCAAGTGCCTGTGTGATTCCAGAATCTTCTTTATACTAGCTCTCCTTTCTCTCCATGCAGCAGCCAGGACCTGGCCTTTTGTATAGAGCAGGGACAGAGTACACGATGACTGCTCCAGAAGTCAGAGGACTTTCCTGATCTGCTGGGAGCTCTGCAGGTGAGCCCAGGGAGCCACATGCTTCTCACAGGTGTGTCCCCCCCATTCCTCCACTCAGCAACAAGACCTTGCATTCAATGCCAGAAACACAGTGAAAAGAAGAGTGACAGCTCTAGGTGCAACTTCCTGAGCACACGGTGCTCTGGTGGGCTTGACAGGAAGCCAGGGTAAGTAACTGTATCATGCAACCTCTTCCAGCCCAGCAGAGACTGGAAGAATCCGTTGGGAGGACCCTGCCCAGTCAGGTGGTGAGCACTGTCTGCAGGAATGGCAGCGAACTAAGGACCGGGATCACCAGAGAATGGGGAAGGCACGCGGGCTCCAGACAAAAAGAGCTGTGCTGTGGGCTCTATGAGAGGCAGGGACTTGGGGTCTCAAAGAAGCTGAATGCAGCAGAGTTTGCATGTAATATGGGAAGCAGAACAATGGACGTGGCCTTGGAACATCTCAGGACTCATGAGCAAAAGAAAGGAAAACCTCCTAAGTATTCGCAGTGAGAACAGTATGATCGAGCACTTTGATTTCGGAGGAGGCTGGGGCTGCAGCACAGTGAATGTTGCAGGAAGCGAGGGACAACAGATGGCGGGAAGCAGCTCTGACATAACTGTTCGTGCATCAGGCAGAGACCAAGTCCTCGAGGACCAAGGGAAACCAGGCAGTAAAGCAGGTTTCTGGTGAAGATCCCAGGTCAGGTGCAAACACGCTGAGGTGCTCCATGGGGGTGCTTGGGGCAGACAGGGCTGCAGCAGTGAGCTGAGCTGAGGCACACTGGTGGACAACAGAGGCACAGCAGGGGCCAGTCCTGGGTGGCACGTGTGCCCTGGCCTCCAGGAGACTGGGAGTGGTGAGGCAGTTCTAGGGATGCACAATTCAACATCACACTTTGAGAAGACCTAGTTCTCTCTGCAACATGAGTGCATGGCAAGAATATGGGGCAAAGTGAGGATGAACACAGCATTTATGATGCTAAAGGAGTTTGTGCACTGCAGCCAGGCCCAGTGAAGGGACCAGCCACACCTGCAAGCCAGCTGGAAATGCAGGTTCTCAGGCCGGCACGGGGTGGAGCTGCGTAACCTGGGCCTTACTGGATGTCAACTCATAGGGGAGGGAGGCCAACCATCTAACCCAGTAGTTTATGCATGGATATATTTCAAACCCTGTAACAGACATGTGCTCGTGTGGCCTGGCAGAGGCCTTGGCAGAAAAGAGCAAGGCCCCCAGAGAGGCTGCTGTGGCAGGTGCCTTGCCAGCGAGCAGTCTCACACCAGCCTGTTCAGGGCTTGGAGAAAGCAAGTGACCCCCTGAATCTCAGTCTTCCCCTAAAACTCATAGATGGGGGCAAGTCCAAGCAGCAAAGAAGGGAAAGTGGACAGCACAGGCAGCAGGCAAGAGCACTTGGCACAGGCACTCCAGAAACAGAGCTTCTCTGGTGCAGGTTAGAGCCCTCGCAGAGGGCAGAGTCCTCACTGCACTCACAGGTTAGAGCCCTCGCAGAGGGCGGAGTCCTCACTGCAGGTGCAGGTTAGAGCCCTCACAGAGGGCGGAGTCCTCACTGCACTCACAGGTTAGAGCCCTCACAGAGGGCGGAGTCCTCACTGCACTCACAGGTTAGAGCCCTCACAGAGGGCGGAGTCCTCACTGCACTCACAGGTTAGAGCCCTCGAAGAGGGCGGAGTCCTCACTGCAGGTGCAGGTTAGAGCCCTCACAGAGTCCTCACCTCACTCACAGGTGTCAGTGCGTGCTCCCCCAACTGATGAAATCACCTACTTAGGAAGGTGGATCTGATGTGCAGAGAGGCCCCGTTTGGAGCTGGAAGAAGATTTTGCAGCATAATCGGCGTGTGCACATGATCCCATACCAAATTTGTTTTCATGTGTCTTGGGCTCATTTCTCCTTACTAACTGTAATACATCCCAACTCCAGAATCTGCCATTCCAATGATAGAATTGTGTTTTATAGCATATTTTACAGCAGCAGTCAGAAATACTGTACTTTTTCCTTCCCCCCCGGGTTTTTTCTTAAATTCAAAACACCACACATTTTCACACAGTATGCACTTTTTATTTCTAATACGTGTGTAAATTTCATAACATTCTCCGACTTAACCCCAAGAGTTTTCCAAGACCGAGTTACTACCACAATGAAGAAGTAGATGGGTGATTCCTTTTTTTGATGTAAATTATCACAACTTATTAACCTGACAAAATGTTTATGGGAAGCTGTACTTCTCCTGAATTTGCCGTTATGTATAAAAATCATCAGCTAACATATTCTGAAGGCAATAAGCGCTCAGAAATGAAACCTCTAGGCAAAATGTTAATGCCCAAAGCAGAGAATGAAATGTGTGTCCAGTTAAGGCGTTCCTATAAACACCGGAGACGAAAGCCCTGCTGATGCTGGGGACAAGCACATGGAGGTTCACAAGCAGTGAGACCAAAGGTCAGAACAGAAAGGCAGTCTCGGGTTGACACGGAGAACCTCCTTTCCCAGGAAGCTGGGAAGCAGGGGGGACATGAGCCTCCCAGGCAGGAGGCTGTGGTTCAGGGAAGATGTGGCTGGAGATGCCGAGGTGTGCCCCATGCTGGGATCTATGCCACTTACTGCAGCGGCACCACCAGGGCTAGGAAAAACTCACCATGTGAAACCACACGGCTCCCCAGCGAAGAGGAGTCACGGAAGGAGTTCAAATGGGTAACAGCCATGAGGGGTGCTTAGGCAGTGGGGCTCAGCTCCTGCTTCAAGAGGGCAGCAGCGAGGGTGGCCACCACCCAGATGACAGAGAAGAAAGAGTGTCTGTGAGGACAGAGAGAGGCAGCTGCCCTTGCCTTCTGCCAGCCGGGCTGTAAGACAACGCAGCGAACAAGAAGTAGTGTGTGGTGCCCCAAGAAATTACACGTCAGACCCAGTAATCGCGTCTTGTTTACAGCCCAAGAATTTGAAAGCAGGAGCCAGACCTGCTTCTGTATACTCAAGTATACAGCAGCGTCACTGAAAATCCTCTGCAAGTGGAAGCAACTCCCATTCCCATGCACAAATGGGTAGACAAGATGCGAGATGGCCATTGACAGAGCACAGAGGAGCTTAGCCACACATGTACATACATACACAGAATGAACTATCCCACCTTGGAAAGAAAAGACCCTGCCACACAGAATGGCACGGATGTACCAGGAAGCGATTCTGCACAAGTCAGTTGTAAGAGCTCCATTCTGTGTGGCTCCAGTCACAGTCACCGAGGCAGCAAGTACAGAACTGTGTGTGCCAGGAGCTGGGCAGAGTCAACAGTGAGGAGCTGACATCTGCCGGGCACAGGGTTTCAGCTAAGCCTCCTCCAGGGCTGCCAGTGTCCCCTATGGTACTAGTTCATGTTCTGGCTGCTCCGCTTTTGATCCAGCTCCTGTTTTATGACCTGAGGAAGCTGTGGAGAATGGTTCAAGTGACCACCCTTGAGCCCAGTCTAGGACCACATTCCTGGGCAGGCAGGGGTTGCTGCCAACAGAGCCGAGAAATCACACAGAATGGAGCTGCAGTCACACACACAGAGACCACACCTGGACCCCGAGCAGCCGCATGTCCACAGTCATAACCACAAGCTCAATGCTGAGAGAGAGAAAAACCTGGCCCGTAAACACAAGCCAGGATAAAACGACGCCTTCCCCCGTCCTGGTCGCTGCAGGACCCACTCAGACCTCCCAGCTTCACTCTCCTAAGATTCAGCATCTACAGTGAGCAAGGGTGAGGACAGCAGGAACCACAGCCTGCTCTGTGCTTACGGCAGCCAGGAGATGGGCCAGCAGGGTCGTGCTCTTGTGGCTGGGCCTCGCTTCCCAGGGCAAGGTGAGATTCCTTGTCTGAATCCTGCAGAAGTTTCAGAAACACCTTTTTGGAAACAAAAAGAGAGACACATGTTACTTGATGCTCCTTTCCATGTTGCATCCCTGCCCCGTTGCCTCCAGCACTCGACTAGGGCAGAACACCTGCTCATATACCAGTGTCAGCTGTCATCCACATGACCTGACTTCGAGGCCAGCTCTCAGCGCACCAGCTGATGGCCATGCCTTAGAATACAAAGTCAAGGGCAACTTGTCCATGAGCCTCGGGACCTGTGCACAGTGGCAGAGGCAAGCCAGGTCCACTGAGAGTGTCAGGAAGGCAGGGGAAAACTTGGAGCAGTCAACGGCACATGACTCTTTCCCCAGCAGCTCACAAACAGGTAGTAATGAACTGTGATGCTTGCCAGACTAGATGGGTTCTCATATATAAACCCCCTACTGGCATGCTCCATCCACGGGCAGGGAGCGCATGTCGGCTAACAGTTCATTGCAGTGACTTGTAGAAAGTCACTGTTAAGCAAGTTCTGGAAGAAGTCCAACCTCACTTTGCTCAAACCCAGAAACTAAACCCAAATCAGTGGAAATAGGATGAGCAAGGCCCCAGCTGCACCTGAGCCCTGGCCAGGTGCCCTGGAGAGGGGATCCCCAGCCCCGCATCGAGCAGAGCACAAAATGGGGCCACAGCACAAGTCCTTGGACAGCAGGTCCTGCCTCTGCCCGGCACCAAGACCCAGGGCTAGGCCCCAGAGTCCTGATACGCCACTCTTGGCAACAGTGCTCACCTCTCAGCGGTGGCTGAGACTAGCAGATCACAGCTGGACTCGCCCAGATGTCAGAGCACGAGGCAGCCCCTCTGCCACTCATATCTGGAGTACGTCTTCCCTGGGCCAGGCCCATGCCATGCTTCCTGCTGTGGCCCCTCTCTAGGCAAGATCACAGCCCATCAGCAGCCAGACTCCATGCCCAGCCTCCTCTGGCACTTCCCCGCAGATGGCATCAGCATGCCCATTCATCCAAACAAGAAGTCAGGCCAACTGCACGTGTTCCCACAGGAGAAGGCCCCAGGGAGAACCCACTGTCACCAGGCCTCTCCACATGTGGCTAATTAGATGGCATGGACTCCTACTGGGCAATGTCTGCCTGCCCAGCACGGTCAGGTCAGGACATCCACTAGAGCTTCCATGGTCACCTTCACCCACGACGCCTCAGGTCTCCCCTCCTGATGGTAGCAATGCCCCAGAGTATGACCTTGGGCACGTGACTCTATCATACTGTGACTGTGCTTCCTTGCAGAACAAATGGCCACAACAAGACACAAGTGCAGGATTGCTAACAGGAAAAGTCAGAGTGGTGACCACTGCACCCGGCACGGATCAGTCCATTCCACAATCTGTGGTCCTGGGAGTGGCAGGTGTGACGGGAGGCACAGGCAGAGGAACAGGGCAGTGAGGCACAGGCAGGGGGACAGGGCAGTGGGATGGGGCAGTGGGGCACTGGCAGTAAGATGCGGCAGCGGGACGGGGCACCCGTGTGTGGTGGACAGGTGCATGTAGCCCATCACGGCACAGCCCCAAGCATCAGGCCACAGACCAGCTCTGCCGGAGAACAAAGGCACGCCTACAAGGACACTGAGACTGCCGCCTAGTGCCCGTGCACCTCAGCTGTAAGCACACCACCCAGGAGTCTGGAAGAAGAGAGCAACAAAAAAGGCCAAAACGGGTCAGGTTTCTCAAAAACAGCGTGACCCCGATCGCTGTGGTCACAGGTGGGGTGCCTTCCTCCCTCCAACACACAAGTGCCATACACACAGAAGCAGTTAGATAGGACTCTGCTACAGCCCCAACAGCCTGCTGCTCACATCTCATGGGCTTGTTCCAAGCATGCTCCTCACTTTTCACTGATTTACTTGAGGAAGTCAGAGTGAGTCAGGAGCACCTGTTCCCTCTGTGAGGCAGTAACAGAACAGACCCAAACGAGAGGCTCAAGTCCAGAGACCTGAAGCCAGCATGGACACGAAGGAGCCCCCACGGGCGCGGCATGGCTCACGCCTCACAGTAATCAAGGAACCCTTGGCTCACTGACAAACCAGGAGGCCAGGAGAAAGGCCAACAGACAAGAGAGAAGAGCTCCACTCAGCCGGTATGTCATCAGAATCCAAGCTGGAGACACCCTGCAGAAATTAGCAATGCTAAGGAAAGCCCGGTGGACCTTACAGAGGTGCTCACGGCTCCTCTGCCAGCAGGGGACAGATCTGCCCCCAGCATCCACCCTGGGACATCTCAGCCACACGGAATCACGGCTGGTCTCTGCCAACCACTCTTCTGCCATCTTCAACATCATCGAGGGCTTGCGAGTGGGGGGCCAGGCATGCTGGGAGACAGTGGCAACCAAGGTAGTGGACAGCAGGCCCAGCGCGTGGCCCTGAGCCTCACCCCCTTGCTCCTAGGGACATGGCAGGACAGGGACACTCAAATGGGCAGCCTGCACAGAAAAGCCCTGGTCTGCAAAACTGTTTCCAAAGGTAGAAAAAGCATCAAAGATCAGGCCCACCCCCGGACCTGGATTTTCCCCCAAGGTGCAGGCGTGGCGCCTGATGCCCAGCAGGACAGGGCTGCAGAGGCACACTCCCAAGGACCCGGCATTTAGAACTCACTGGGCAGGGGAACAAAGCACTGGCTGACCACACTCCGCAGGCAGGGCAGAAAGGAATGCCCAACTCACACAGGCAACCTGACCTTTCCGGAACATTTAGCAGCAAACTTGCAAACTATTAAAAATGCCCCACCAGAATTCACTCAGCTTGCATTGTGCCCAAAAGTGCTGCTGTGGCTTCATGCTGCTGCAAATACACTTGCCATACACGGCCCAGCTTGCCAGCTCCCCGGTGCCCAGGCCCTCTCAGGGGGACACCGCTGCCCACCAGCACTTGCCCCGGCCCAAGCATTGGAGCAGGATGTGCAGAAGCCTATGGGAGCCTGCTAAATGCCATCAGCACATTGTAAATAACAAATGATTCAGCTTGTGGATACATTGAGAGATGATTATTTATAAGAAATTACTGTTGTTTAAAAATGAAATGTGCTTTCTGGATCCTGAGTCGGGAGAGCAAATTGGCAAGCCTTCCTCACTCGGTCAAAGCCGTCAGGCAAAACGCAGCAAAGCCGGGGAGAAGGCGTGCGGGCTGCTGTAACGGCCACGCTAATTGCAGATCTACAGCAGCCATGAGAGAGGTAAGTCGATGCTTGCCAAGCGGGAAGAGACAAAATTAGTGGAGACGGACAGTTTATAGACTGCGCCAAACAAAAGACGGCTCTTTAGAGGCACCTGATGTGTTCCCAATTTAAGGCATTTTTCTCAGAGTTGCAAACACACTGCAGACCGGCTTCTGTTCGCTCCTCCCGTGCCTTATGTGTATTCCATTTCCATTCCCTGCGGGTGTCCCAGACAGATAACATCTCTCTTAGCTTTTGTTATGTGCGAGAGAGAAAAAGAGAGGCTGGAACCAATCAATCAGTACCTATTTAGAACCATTATGTGCACACAGCACCAAGGGCGGGGCAGGAAGCACTGTGTCCTGTGCACACAGCACCGAGGGCGAGGCGGGAAGCACTGTGTCCTGTGCACACAGCACTGAGGGCGAGGTGGGAAGCACTGTCATGTGGTGAGGAGTCCCAGATGGGATGCTGAGCACACAGGATGCCACAGGGGAGTTAGGACAGCTAACACTTGGGAACCCTTTACACCTCTGAACCTAAAAGCGCTCAAAAAATAATACAGAGGTATAAATAGAAAATAGCGACACTCCAGAAGAAGCGACTCAGCCAGGCTCACCTGTAGCAGCCCCAGGCCCAGGGATCAAGGTTGGGCTGACCCATTAGGAATCTATAATGTGAATGCAGGACATGGGGTTCTTTGGGCAGTCTGAGGCACATGAAATAAACCACAGGGAAGATGTGGCCATCAGTTTGGCAATCAATTACCTGGCACTGGCCCAGACCTTCATGTGCTGGGTCCTAAGTGATTTGCCCCATATTGCCACTTGGTCTTCCCTAGCTGAGCCCATTGAGCTCACACACGTGTTTTGTTCATCCACACGGCAGACCATCAGGAGACCGGCTGATCTGCCCCGTGAATAATTATTGTCATATAACAACTCTGACCTTCAACCCCAAAGGAATTGTCTCATCCTGTATACGCAATCCAGAATGGGGACAGCATTGTAGCACAGTGAGTAAAGACACTGCACGCAATGCTGATATCCTATAGGGGCGCTGGCCCATGCCCCAGCTGGTCTACTTCCTATTCATGGCTTGGGAAATCAGCATCAGCTGGTCCCAGGGCTTGGACCCCTGCTCGCACACGGGAGACCCAGATGAAGCTCCTGGTTCCTAAACTGAGCCTGCTCCAGCCTCAGGTGTCGTGGCTATCTGGACAGTGAACTATCAGATGGAAGATTCTGTCTCCCCTTTATCTTTTAAATAAATAAATAAATCTGAAAGAAGGAGAGAGAAAGAGGGGGAAGGAAGAAAAAGAAAAACAAGTGACCCAAACTGGTAATGACTCTTGACCATGACACCTGCTGGAGTCTACAGGAACACTGTGACTCTGCCAGCCCCACATTCCAGCTCTCCTGATCACTCAGGGTCTGATTCCACTCTTGGAAGGCGGTGACCCCTCTTGTCTGGCACAGCCACCTTCTGATATGGTGCTTTACCCAGTCACCCATAAGGCCAAAATCCAAAATCTGTGGGTGACTTCACTCACATCTCAACCCACAGCCTCGGGTAGGAGGCCTGGCATTTCCTTCTCCCCACACCAGCAGACGGAAGGACACAGACCGAGTCATCTGACCCCGGTCACACATACATGAGCGTGACCACCATCTCCCCCGCCAAGCCCTGTAGAGAACCATCACCGCTGGGGTCTGTCTGCCTGGGTTCCCCATGAGGTAACCATGGAAACGATCTGTTCTCCAGTTTGAAGACCACAACTGTGAGGTCATGAGAGCTGAGCAGTGCTTGGGGGGAGAAAGATGTGGACTCAGAAGCTTCGGAACAGAGCACACCCTTTGCTGAATGCTTCTTGGGTGACGTCCTGCATCTGGCTCACTTGAGAAGGACTGGGGATGCAGCCAGCATTGGGGTGTAGCAGGTAAAGTTGCTTCCTGATATCAGCATCCTATATGAGTGCCAGTTCATGTCCCAGCTGCACCATTTTCAATCCAGCTCCCTACTCATGGCCTGGGGAAAGCATCAGAGGATGATCCGAATGATTGGGCCCCATCCACCCATGCAGGAGACCACGACGAAGCCCCCTAGCTGTTGCAGCTGTCTGGAGAGGGATCCAGGAGGTAGATCTCTCTCTCTCTCTCCCTTTGTCCAGGCTTGAAGAATAAAGACAGGGAATAGCCAGTCAAGCCCTGGAGGACACAGTAATTCTGCTACCTTTGGCTTTAGGAAACAGCTCACTTCCACAATAGATAAGTGTGGGCTCTATGTAAGGAGGACAGTGAGACTGGCACTATGGCAGAGCAGGCAAGGCACTGCCTGCACCATGGCATCCCATATGAGTACCAATTCCAGTCCCGGCTGCTCCACCTCTGGCCCAGCTCCCTGCTAACACACCTGGCATCCCATATGAGTACCAGTTCCAGTCCCGGCTGCTCCACCTCTGATCCAGCTCCCTGCTAACACACCTGGCATAGCTAGAGTTGGTTGAAGTGCTTGAGCCTCTACCCCCACGTGGGAGACCCAGAAGGAGCTCCTGGCTCCTGGCTTCAGTCTGGCCTTGCTCCAGACACCGCAGCCATTTGGGAAGTAAATCAGCGCACAAAGTCCTGTCTCTCCGTCTTGAACTCTGCCCTCCAAATAAATGAATATATTTTTTAATGACAAGGCTCACGGAGGGAAAATTGGTAGACTTCATGTCACTTGAGGGGCCAAAGGGAGCATCACTCACCAAGGCCTGGCACACATTACAAACCTGAGCTTATCATCAGAAAACCAAGATCCCAGCGTAGACCCGTAATCTGTGAGCCATGTGATTGGGGCAAGGAAATGAGCCTATCTAAGCCTCAGCTCCTCACCCTAGAAATAGGGATGATAATGTTGGGGTTTGGGGGAACCACATATTCTCAGTAGAAAAGCACAACACTGTAAATTTTTCCATGTCTCCTATTTATGAGTGTGATGAGTGCCGTATACCTAGGACTGTGAACGATGCACTTCAACACGCCCAGGGGAACTCTGAAATGACAGATGGTGCCACACCCTTTATACACAGCCGCCCCAGTGCCCACAGGAGATGGGCCAGGGCTTTCCTTCCAGATGTCGTTTGATATTTTAAAATCTACTGTACTGGGGTCACTGTTGTGGCACAGAACGCTGGGCTGCCATCTGCAATGTTAGCATGCCATACTAGAATGCCAATTCAAGTCCCTTCTGCTCAGCTCCCAACTCAACCCCACCCCTCCAACCCCTGCTGAGAATGCACTTGAGAAAAGCATCTGAGTCAGGCCAAAGTGCTGGGGCCCAGCCACCCATGTGAAAGACCCAGGTGGAGCCTTGCGCTGAACCAGCCCCAGCCAGGGCAGCCTTTGGGGGAATGAATGAGCAAATGAAAGATCTCTCTCTCTCTCTCTTATTTCTCCCCTCTTCAAATAAATATTTTTAAAATAAAACTTATAGCACTTTCTATTAATAATGGCAAGGTGAAACTAAAATTCAAAAATGTTACCCACACAGAGCCAGCCTCCCAGACACCACAGAAGGCTGGAGGCACTTGGGCAGAAATCTAGAAAAAAGAGGCCATCCCCAGGTGGGAAAAACCGAGTGGATATCAAAATATCAAATGGCATGGTCAACGACTGGAACATGATAGCTTCAAAGACCAGCTGTCAGGGTGTCAAGCTCTGTTACTGGCTTCTACCAAGTAACAACACACAAGGCCTCCATCTCCAGCCATCCCCCACAGCTCCCCAAGAGACACACAGAGGCCACACCAGCATGGAGCAGAGGCGGGTTGGGGAACTCGGTACCTCTTCCAAAGTAGTGTCGGAGAGGCTGTAACCCGCCAGGCGCAGCTGCTGCTGGTTCTGGTCCAGAGCCTGGCAGAGCCCTTTAAAGCAGGCTGTGTCTGTGCCCTTGGGAATGGTGTAGGTCAGCTCTCCCTTGCTGCTGCCTTGGAGAAATGCTTGTGGAATATAGATCTGTATCAGGGACGTGACACGTGTGATGTCCTCAGGGTCACCAGGCCCCAGAATGGAAGGCTGCAGGCAAAGAGACACCAGTGAGCAATGCCAGTCCCATCACCCTCGAGACAATCCATGGCCACAAGCAAATACCCCACCACTTCAAAGCCCAATGACACACCACACTTCAGTGGCAGGCAGCTGGACTGGGCCAAAGCCAGGCGCTTCACCCAGCTCTCCCAAATGGGTACAGGGCCCCAAGGCCATCCTCTCTGCTTCCTCAGGCCAAAATCAGGGGGCTGGATGAGACACAAACCAGCTCCCATGTTGGATGCCAACAGCACAGGTGGCAGCTTAGCCACAATGTCTGCTCCTTTCCTTTTTAAAAAATAGAAATGTATGTGACCAACCTGAAGAGGACAACCCATGTGCCATCTGTGTCTCAGGGTCCAACATGGCCAGTCTCCAGGAACCTGTGCCCATGAGTAAGGATCAGGAAGGAGATGAGGCCTCCTGACCAGACCACAGAGACGATTCCCCAGCTCAAAAGAGAAGAGCAGTCTCCAGACATGAGATGCTCATAGGAAGTGATTAAAAGATCTCCTCAGCTCAGAGGTCACCAAGGGTCAGATATGGTCAGCCATCGTGATCAAGGAGATAACACCTCACAGGCCCACCCACCTCCTGAGTCCCAGCCCAGAGCCAACATCATGTCCACAGCTGACACCATGCAGTGTAGCCACCACGTGACACAACAGGGGCTTCTCAACCCACCAAGACAAACTGCAGCCTTCTACACAGAGCGTCCTCCCAGCAGCAGCTCCTGTTACTTGCCAGGATTTTCTTCCCGCACTTGCACCTACTCCTAGCTGGGGTCCAACCATCTCCCTGTGCTCAGCCCGGTCACTCTGCAGAGCCAGCCCCCAGGCAGCTGTTGCTGTCACATCTGTGACGATGCAAGGCTCAGGGATGAGGTCATCTCCCATGGAGGGGAAGTGGCAGTCCGTACTTGCTGTGTGAGTGTCAGGTGGAGCCCCTGGCCATAGGCTTCCTTAAGGCAGACAGGAGGGCCACAGCATCTGAGCCGTCCATGCTGCAGGATGGCCACGCAGTCCCCGAGCGCCTCGGCCTCATCCAGGTGGTGGGTGGTGAAAATGATCGTGCGACCTGGGTGTGAGCACAGGGGCGTCAGAACCGTGTGATAGCCACAAGGCAGGAATACCCAACCCAACTCACTGTCCAGATCCCATCACAACAGAGAGAATATCACCAGTTCTAGGGGGGTATCGACATGGGTTTTGTAGCAAGGATGCAGATATGGCCATAGCCACTGTGCAGGTCCAAGGCTCTCACGCACATGTGTGTTCCTCCAAGGCTTCCCCATGGTCCACAAACCCTCACCTGCTTCTGCACCAGCAGGGAGTCCTGCTAGGCACTAGGGGAGAGAGCAAGGCAGAGTTCCTGCTTCAAGCACAAGCCCCTTGGGCAGGCTCCTTGGCCCTGACATCAAAGAGGCAGAGCCCTGTGTATGTGGAGAGGAAACCAGCAAGAAAGCAGGAAAGGGTGTGTGTCTGCACGGGGACTGAGCCCTCCTCATTCCCCATCAGCGACAGGGCCATGTTCCAGGAGGTGTCTACTGCAAAGGCAGAAATCCGTGACCAAGTATGCCAGGTCTGAAGTGGCCACAAGCACGCTGCAACCAACTGCGCATGTTTACTCCACAACCCGGACAGGATAAGCAGGTGCACAGCAGAGAGGAATGTTGCAGAGTACAGCAAGGAAGGAGAGGCTTAAGGACTGGGAACCAAGCCCCTGCCCACCTTCCTGGAAAGCAGCAGGTGGAACTTGGGATGGTTCTGCTATCTTACAAGAGAATGAAATAAAATTCTTCCACAGTAAAGAAAAGTTAAAAGAATATGCCTTTTCTAAACCTACCCAACAAATGATACTTAAAGATGTTCTCTTGACAGAGAAGAGGAATAGCACCCGCCAAAACCAAAGGCAAATGTGAAGAACATCCCAGTAAAATAACAGAAGACTAAATCAATGAACAGATCATTGCTAAAATAACAGTACCAAATTAGCACCCATACTTATTAACCCTGAATATAAATGACTTCAACTCAGCAACCAAATGTCATAGATTAGTAGCCTGGATTAAAAAACAAAGCACATCTATTTTTTTTCCCACTGTCACTGGGAGCACATCCCACACCCTCCCACCTCACCTCACTCTCCCATTTGAGAAGAGGAAGGCTTGGTTACAACATCTCTAGGACACATTTTCCAATAGCTGATGCTTCCAGAGCAGAGAGCAAGGCAGTGACGACAACCCAGGTTGCCGAGCCATTGTGGACGTCCAGTGAGGAGGTCACGGGCTGACACACCCAAGCACTGAGAGCGAAACCCTAACGAGTATCTCTGCAAACTCCCATAAAAGCTGTGCTTTCTTGGGCCTGGTGCGGTGGCGCAAGTGGTCAAGGTCCTCGCCTTGCACGCCCGGGATCCCATATGGGCGCCAGTTCTATCCCGGCAGCCCCGCTTCCCATCCAGCTCCCTGCCTGTGGCCTGGGAAAGCAGTCGAGGACGGCCCAAAGCCTTGGGACCCTGCACCCACGTGGGAGACCCAGAAGAGGCTCCTGGCTTCGGACCGGCACAGCATCGGCCGTTGCACTCACTTGGGGAGTGAATCATCGAACGGAGGATCTCCTGTCTCTCCTCTCTGTATATCTGCCTTTCCAATAAAAAAATAATAGAAATAAATCTTTTAAAAAAAAGATAAAAGCTGTGCTTTCTCCTAGCGCCACACGGAGACAGCTCCTGCATGCTCTCATATGTGGAATCTAAAACATCGACCTCGTGGAAGCAGACGTCAGTGATTGCCACAAGTTGGCAAGTTAAAGGGGAGAGCAGGGTGCAGACAGGCTGGGTTGCAGGTGCAAGCAAGAATGCAAGAAGAGGCTAACTTTTCATGTTAGAGTAACTATGGCTGACAACAATTCAGTATTTCAGAATAGCTAGTAGAGATGATTTCTAATGCTCTCAGCACAGAAAGCTCAAGATTGCACGCATTTATCAAAATGATACGTGTACCACACAAGCATGTACATTTATGTGTCAGTTACATTAAAATGTATATTAAAATCACTAACTCACATTTTTTTCTTAAAAATGAGATAGTGTTTAGCATCTGAATGGATTCTTCCCATGGGACTGGCTCAGCCTGGTGGGAACAGACTGTGGGACGACATAGTTCTTACCTTCTCGGTACTTGAGCAAAATGTCCCAGAGGCCACGGCGGGAGCAGGGGTCCACACCGCTGCTAGGTTCATCCAGAACCACGGTCCGTGATGTGCCCAGGAAAGCAATGGCCATGGACAGCTTCCGCCTGGTGCCTCCAGACAGGGCGCAGGTCGGTTTGTGCTGGTATTGTGTTAGCTCCACATCCTGGAGGGCTCTGAAAGCAGAGAGCCATCACTCTTTCTCCTCCCACGCACACCACACAGCTTGGCTTTCCCTCTATAAATAATGACTGATTGTGCCTGGAGGAGGCAGGCCACTGATTGAGGCTTTCCCTCCATAAATAATGACCTGCCAACGTGCCATGGAAGCAACACAAACAACACAGAGCCTGAGAGAGTAGCTGCAGTGTCTTCTCAGAGCTTCGAATGGAACACTCCACACATGGAACGCACCCACCTTGCCCTGCACTGGGGATGCACCTCGACTGTGCCCAGCCGGAACACACCCACCTTGCCCTGCACTGGGGACGCACCTCGACTGTGTCCAGCCTAGAGAAGCATCTGCTTCTTCTCGTCCAGCCTCCTGCACGCCTCCTGACAGCACAGAGTGAAGAGGGATGGCACACACTCAGCCTGCAGCCACCCAGGGAGTGCTTTAACTCCAGCCCACCAGATACTAACAGGATGATCCCACCTTCCTAAGTGAGTCATTTGGAAGTGCCAATGTAATGACATATGACAATTGTAAGCCTCCATTTGCCACGGGTCTGAGAGTATACGTATAACTTCTCACAGATCTGAGAAGTACCACATACCATCATCCCTCAATGGGGCTTGCCCCTCCTGCTGTAGACCCCTGCTCCTCACTCACATGTAGCATTTGTTTTCTGCCATTTTTGAGAGCCCTGTTAACCCCTCATGAACACCTACTTCCCACCTACTCAAACCTTTCTGTGAAAGACTCAGCTGAAGCCACCGCCCCTGCCCCCCAGGCTCCCCTCCTCCAAAGCCTTCCCCTGGCCACTCAACAGAAGGTAGAGTCCCCCTACATATGTCCCACAGAAATAGTTCAGAAGCTGCCACAGACCAGCCTTTAACACCCCAACAGCCACACCACAGTCACAGGGCCACCATGGGGCAAGGGAGGAGAAGGCTGCACAAGTACAGAACTATGAGGACTCCACAAAGTTGAGCTTCAAGAACAGACAGCACCTGGAACTTTCCAGAATGCTAAGCAAAGAATTCAGTGAATCCCAAGTAACTGTTTACTTAACGACTAAGTGCTCATGTCTCATTCACCATTTATAGGAATATCCCCATCCTGAACAAGCCAGTTTCACAGTGTCTAGTTGCCAGCCCGTGTACTTCACATTTTGACCATGACGACCAAGACTACACTTTAACCAAGAGTGTACTTGCTGCCCTCTATGCCTGAACCTAGGCCCATGCCACAGTGCAGACCTCTGCCTCCTTGGAGGAGAGCTCTATGCCTCAACCTAGGCTCACGCCACAGTGTAGACCTCTGCCTCCTTGGAGGCAGCTGCTCTGTCTGAGCAGCTCTCTGGTCCTGACACATAACATTCCTTTCCCACCTCAATGGCCAACACAACAGAGCAGCAACGCTGTCCATTTTAGACTCACTGACAAGAGCTCAGTCAGAAGGAAGGGAGTGGGGGGAAATTAGCAAGAAAGTGACGCAGACAGGCAGAGATGTCTTGGTTATATTGTAGGGTAAACCCAAACCCGCCCTTTCTTGGATTCCTCCGTGAACAATCACTCAATGTTGTCACTTCCCTCGTCTTTCCCATTCAACCTTGACTGCCCATCCACCAGGCACTGTGACACCCATGGAGACACCTGTCGATGGCTTCCCTCGTCTTTCCCACCCACCATGGACTAGGTTTTCCCAAGTCCACAGGTTACTAGGCCTGTTTTCCCAGACTCAAGCATGGAGGCAAATAGTGGTCAGAGCTCACAGCACTGAAATCAATGAATGGACAGGTACCAGCAGAGCTCAAAGGGTACAGGATGCATTCCTAGGACCCTACAACACGGGGGGATTATATGGGACCAGGACCCCTCCCGGTTCAGGGGAACACTGTGTAGCAGATCCCATCATTTCTACCGAGTTCTGGGTGTCAGTCAAACGCACAGATGTGACGTAACAATCAAAATACCATCTATGATGTTTCTACCTGCTGAATCCTTCCTTTAAAGTCCAAAGTTACTGGGGGTTAGTATTTTTCCAACAGTTGATCCTTAACATGCTGAAAAGGAGACAATTAATTGCAAAATCAAACTTTCAGCTTCCTTCTCAAAAAGACTCTCACCTGTGAACATTTCCAGGCAGCAGGAAGACTTCTCCCCACCTGGTCCCCAGATGTGTCCCAGAACATACTTCAGATGCTGCTCTTCTATCACCCGTTCTTGTAGAGAACAAGTCTTCATTGAGCCCTCACAATGCATGGTACCTGCCTCCTGCCAGGGCTACAGATGGAAATCAAACCTCATCTTTGATCCAAAGGATTTAGTCTAGTGAAAACGATAAACCAGAAATTATAGTAAAATACGAGGGAGGTGCTCTGGAAATTCCCTCCAACTCCACAGAAGGTAATATGAGAAATAACAGACGGTGGGAGTCAACGGGGTGGGGACTTCGGGCCAGCACGTTCCAGAAGTGGTGGCAAAGCATTCAGCAGGACTTGGGGGAGTCGCGAGGCCAGGAAAGAAAAGAGCCTTCTCTTGAATTTCAGGAAAAAGCATTCAGTGACATTGCATGGACGGGGCAGAGCAGGGGGAAGAGCCCGAACACAGCCCCATCACAAACCCTGTCTCATGCCTGTGTTCTCCCTGCTCCTGGGCGGGACGTCGGCCGAATGGCTTCCGGCATCTCCTGTGATCTTCACCCCATCTTTCCACATCACCTCAAGAACCCCAGCCTTGAGTCTCTGGCCACCAGAGCTAACATCTGCTATCCGTGTTTGTACCACCCACCCATCCTTGGAGCTCCACCGCCTGCCCTGCTCCCTTGGGTTCTATTCCTGTTCTGACTCTCAGTATTTGTGTCTGACACAGCACATCCCTCGGCTGCACCAGGCCCATTCCCTCCCCAGACCGTGGCGCCCCACAGCTTCTCACAGTCCCCACCTGCTGTATTCTCTACAGACCAGCACACCTGCCTTCCTGGCAGAGCCCTGGTCCAGCACTCACTTGACTGCACAAAGCTCACTTCTTCACTGCCCGCCCCACATCAGGTCCTCCTGCCTTGAGTCCCAAAGTCTAAAGTCCTTGCTCATTACAATGTGTTCACTTTGTGCATGCACTCTACCCTCCACACACATTAGAACTTCACAGATTTCACATATTCTCACAGTCATCCTGCGATCTTAGGGGTCTGTCTGGATCTCCGGAGCACTGGAGCTCACTACCGGTCTAAGTCGCTCCCACTCAGCTGCCCCCAATTACCCCTATCCTGTCCCAGCCTCATGCAGCTGAGCTGGCCATGAGGATCCCTCCTGGTTAAAGAACTCTCACGAGCATGCAGCTCAGCTGTGATGGGTTCTGTCTCTGAGTTTCACTTCTTTTGACCTCAGTTTCTCCTTGGGAAGATTCCCCATTCCTCTCCTTCCCTTCTCCCCTCCTGTAACTCCAGGGAGACCTTCACAAAGCTGAACCCCTCTTCTGGCAGCCACCTGTGACCTCTGCTTCCCTGGCCCTCCCTGAGGCTCAGCTGTTCCCCCCAACCTCACCCCTGCCATTGAGCGCACTTGGCTCATGGCCTTGCTGTTCTCCTTGCTACCCCCATTGCTGGTTCCTCCTCCTAACCTCAGTCCTCCCGCAGAAATGGCCAGGGCTCAACCCCACATCATCTTCTTTCCCTTCACCTGAAATATGATCTCAGCCCATGCGCTGGTAACTATAAAGAGCCACCTAGCTCCAGACTCACCTGGGTTTCTCAGTAGGGGGTTGGAATTCCAAAGGGCAGCATTAAGGGCGTGGTAATACTTCACTGCCTCACAGGCAGGACAATCTTCCTGTTCTTACCACTGTTATCTTCTCTCAGCCCAATTAAAGGCCAGGCCATAATGACCTGACTGCTGACAAATGTCCCCACTAGACGCGCTCCTAGAACTCACACTTTAACGAAGCTGCACATCAAGGAACACAAATGGAGCCACAGGGCACTGATAAAGAGCCTGTTGACATCAGATGTTTTTGGTCCTTCTAACAGAGAACTGCTGTCCTAAACCGTGATCTCGGTCTGATTGCTGTTCTCCAAGTTGTGTTGTTGCTAGGGAACACACCATGAGCTGACAATCAGCAAAGCTGCCTGGCACCAGATGAGAAGGCGAAGCCCCCAAAGCATTGCACATCAGCACAACAGTCTACCTACCATGTCACCATACCTACCATGAGAGCTTCTTTCATTTTTTTATTAAAATAGGTGAGCTATAATTTTTTAGAAAAATTGGACTGCATACAGCAATTTGCTGTCTCCATCCTGCCTACCATGCCTAGCCACTTCTCATCAAACTGCAGGCAGGCATAAACAGTCCAGTAAATGTTCCCTCCATCATTCATGCCATGGCCAGCACTGGTCACTCTGAAAACATCACAACACGTGGCACAGCCCACTTTGCAGTAGACAGTGCTCCCTTCCCAGCCAACAAGGTGAGTGCCACCGCCCACCACTTCACACAATGGACTTCTGTCCCTCAGGATTCTCCCATGCGTTCATTTGGCCCTGACATGTGAGCATCTGTCCAGCAGAGGATTCATGTTCTGTGCATGTACTTGTCATAGAGCTGGTCTCTAAACACAGCCACCTGTTTCACCTACAGATCATCCAAACATGTGGCACTGCCTTCCAGGTATGGAAAGACAAGGCACAATGCAGCGGCGCATGTCAGATGCAGGGGCTCCCTCTCCCAAAAGTGTCAGGGTGCCTGCACACGACGTCCACCTGCAACTCTGCTTCCAGGCCCTGGCCTCCAAGGAGTCTGGGCCTCCAGCACTCTGGGCTCAAAGTCTCCTCCCGCCAGAGAACATCTGTCACACCACCTAACTCGGCCCCTCTAGGACTCCATGTGCAGTGGGGATGCATCTCCATCCACATGAGCTCAACCGGATGCTAGTGCTCCGAGGCAGCTTCCAGAACGATCCAGGGTCACTTCACCCCATAGCAGGGTGCTCAAGCACCACTTGCCCATTTCTAAAGCCTTGAGAATGTCTGTAAGCCACGGTCACTGGTACTCACTAACCCCAGGGACAGCAACAGGTAACGAATCACCTTCACTTCTCAGACCCTTGCAATCCCCTGATGCACGTCCATGCTGCAGACACAGCCACAGTCCTGGAAGTGTCCCAGATAGCCCCTCTTCCAGAGAGTCGCCTCTCTTGCAGTGACCAACTCAAAGGAAAGGCCACTGTTGTGGTTCTATCATTATTTAGCTCCCAAAGGTAGGTGAACTTTAAGTCCCAAAGTCACAAGGACATGTACTAAGAGAGTGGAAACCTAGTCAGGTACAGCATCCAGTGGAGGTCAGCCTCTGGAAAATAGTTCTTAGGTGCTGGCTGCAGGGAGAGCCTGGGCTTGAGCGTAGCCTCTTTCTCCCTCTCCCTTGGCTCCCAGGCTCACTCTATGATCTGTCTACTAACAGACTTCCCCGGTCGTCCTCCGCTACCTCCATCAGAGGCCCAGCTGACTAGGGATCAAGAAACCTCTTCTGTTTGTAAATTGGTTGCCTCGGGAAGTCCTTTAGAGTAGTAGAGTACAGTGCATACAAATACCCTCTCCCTGAGATGGGAGAATCTTCTTAGGCCTTGCTAGACATCTTGAGCATCTCTCCCCATGCAAGTGCTATTTCATCTGGATGGAAGGAGCAGTCTTCCCTAAGGACTGACCAAGATCCTTCCCACTCACCAGGGCCTCATCCGAGTCCTTCACTCCCTTCCAGTATAACTTGGTCACACAGGCTTCATCCAACTTGGAACAGTCATTGGATATGAGTTTCTTTCTTCATCCCACTGCGTGATCACATTTCCCAGGGTGCCCACAGCAGCCATGGACTCCTTCCATCCAAGGTGCCCACAGCGGCCATGGACTCCTTCCATCCCAGGGTACCCACAGCGGCCATGGACTCCTTCCATCCAAGGTGCCCACAGCGGCCATGGACTCCTTCCATCCCAGGCTTCCCACAGCGGCCATGGACTCCAGACACACCAAGTGTCCACTGACAGTCTCTGCCACAGTTTACCACACTGACTCAGCTCTTGCCATTTCAAAGTCAAACCAAATTAAATTCATTGTCCCTGATAAATCTTTTCTGAGACACTCACAGTCATGGGCTGTGTCATCATGTCACAGTTAAGAGCCATTCAATATTCTTTTTTCTTACCATAAATAGAGTCCTAAATGACTCTCAAATGTCTCTTTTGTAATCTTCATTTCACATCCTGCAGAGACAGAGAACAATGAGAGAACAGGTCACTTACTTAGCCACCTGGTGCTGCAGCTCCACCTGAGTCCACCACGGAGCCTTTATGGAGGCAAAAAGCAGCAGATGCTCCCGGACTGTGAGGTTGTCAAAAAGGACGTCGTGCTGTGGACACACCCCCAGCTCCCTTCGGACCCTCGACAGGTCCGTCTGCATGTTCTTGCCATCAACGATGATGGTTCCAGAGGTGGGGGGTCGGAGCCCCGTCAACAAGGATCTGCCGGAGAAGGTGAGTCAAGCACAGAACACATACCTGCTACATGGTGTTCACACAGCCAGGCAAAGTGGAGCAGCTTTTAGGGGAGGGAGGTGGCTGTCTGGGGCGTGGTTTCCACTGCCACAGGGCTGCACAGAGAGCCTGGCCCCTGCAGCGTGGGAAATTGGGAGGTGACAACATCCTATTTTAGTTGCACAGATACATGTAAATTCAACTTTTTTTGTACCAAAAATAAACTCACCTTTCAACTCTGCTCTTCTATAAACTTTTGTTTACCTAAGTCTTTATATGAGGACTTAAATTTATCTAAGTCCTCATAATTAGATGTAACCAAAATGGACACGCAAACCTAGATGTTCCAAACTTCCGCTGCCCCAGGCCATCTGTGGATATTTGTCATAAACACGCATCTCCCTCCCCAAAGGAACTCTGGGGGTTCCTCCTCATTCCTACAAAGTTAGTCAGCCCCAACCACAGGCTCCAGCCAGTCCACTCAAATATTCATGCAAGAGAAGTCAGGGTCACTGGAAGCCATCAACTACCACCCACAGAGGGAGACATGAACAAACCAGGGAGCCTCTATGGAGTGGACAGTGCCCAGGCACCCCCACTGGGTCAGAGTGGACAGTGCCCAGGCACCCTCAGGTCCACCACTGGGGCAGAGTGCACAGTCCCCAGGCACCCTCAGGTCCACCACTGGGGCAGAGTGCACAATCCCCAGGCACCCTCAGGTCCACCACTGGGGCAGAACCTGCTGCAGGAAAGGAGCTGGACGCAGCCCCAGTTACACAAAGTTCCAGGAAATATCAACTAATTCATGGTGAGGAATTGCAGAGCAGTCAACTGAGGGAGCTGGGTTAATGGAGGTCACAGGAAGGAAACAATCTTTCTGTTTGTTGAGGCACCTGTCGCAACATTAACCAAACCCATGCAAAACTCATTACACTACACAGCTCTGCTTATTCAACCGCAGCTTTCCCTCATTAAACTCCATCAACAGCTCTTTGCCATATGATATTCAAACTAATTTGATGAATTTCATAGGACTCCTTGTTGGCTGTGCAGTGTTGCCTCCAAGACCTCCACAGATAACAAAACATGCAAGTGTTCCAGTCCTTCATATAAAACAACACAGGAACCCAGGATCACCCTGAAATACACTTTAAATGCTCTCTAAATTACCTATAATGCAATGCAAATGCTATAAAAAATAGCTGCACTACATTGTTGGAGAACAATCATGTGTTTACCACGAAGGCAATTATTTCCAAACACTGTTGCTCTGGGATTTGTTGAATTCACACACCCAAACAGGTAGACCCAGAGCGCCACTGGACCCACTCTGCATCAGTCTCCAAGATGTTTGTTTCAAGGACAGGACCATGAATTCAACTCTCAGCCTCCCATCTAAGAGCTGACAAAGCCAGCCATTTAAAAGGACTCAAAATGCACTTCACACACCCCCAAAACAACATGGACAGAGCCCACACGGAGTCCTCCAGGCTTTCCATGTAAAACAGGTCCAAACAGAGCACGGCAAGCGAGCTTCTGAGCCGTCTTTGACTCAGCCTTCCTCACTCTGCAAACACCACACACGCAGCCAGGGAGCTCTATAGGCCTGCGTAAGCCACCACGCAACAAAGACAATCACCCTGCATTCCTCCCTCTCTCTCGAAGCTCTGTAGGTATTATTTTTATGCTTTACCTTAGTGGCAAAGCTCTTTCCATGGCTTTAATAACCAGAATTTAATCCTATTTATTTAATAAAAGAAAGAAACATGATGTCTCAAGAGCAATGTTCATGATTTTAATCATTCACCCCTAAGCAAACTGTGAGCTCCACATCTGGCCACAGATGACCTCCCTTCTGGTTTCTCTGGAACACAAGTTTTGATGCCCTGTTCGAATCTGGACCCATTAGGTACAAAACCAAAAACCAAGCCTTAATAAGGAAATCACAGGAACCTAAAAAGCAGAACGTGAGAAACCAACTGTATGCTATCAAAAGCACACATCTGCCTGGCGCTCACCCTGCTGGAGACAGCAAGCCAGAGTGGGCTGGCTCCAGGCTCATCTCCTCCCCCTGCAGCCCAGCTCCCTCCTATTGCACACAGAGGGCAGTTAATGACAGCTCACACTCTTCGGGTCCCTGCTACCCACACAGGAGGCCCACACTGAATTCCTGGCCCTGCTTTCAGTTGGACTGTTGCAGGCATTTGAGGAGTAAATTAGTGTGCCACAGGCAGTCTGAAAAAGGACAACAGTTGACTCGCTAAGGAAAAACAGAACAGTGTGCCTGGAATCTAGAGTTCGCAGACTGCTAGTGCCAGAGTCCAAAGTCAAATTCAGTGGGCAACTGCCCTCGAGTAGGCAAAAGTGCAAAACCAAGGTCAAGGCCTGCAGGCAATGGTCCCTACTTAGGCAATGGTTCAAGTCCACAGAACTGTGTGCTGTAAGAATATGCTTGAGACAGTCACACACTGACCTCTGTAACTGGGTCACACTGCTGCTTTCCGATCATGAAACACTGGCTGATTAACACCAATATGAGCCATAGCTGTCAAAGTTTGTGCCACACCAACTAGTGTAATTTGGCACGCCAAGCAATTCAATAAAAGGTTGAAGCAACAAGCCCTCTGGGTGAACTTCCTTTCCTTAGAGGAGGAGGCTTCCCCCTGGTTGCCCCGTATCTACAGCCTTTATTTAATGTCTGTCACATTTTTAGTTTCTCAGTTGCATGTCATCTCCCTCTCCAACCCTGACCACGGCACTGCACACAGCAGAACTGCAGATACCAGCAATGTCTTGGTATGTCTGTTATCCGCTGTCTTGTCTCTCTGCCTAGTAAAAGCAAAACATAATTTTCAATAAAAAAAAAACACACTGAATTCCTTTTAGGAAAAAGAGGATAAAAGATTTTAAACCTCTATCCATACCACCCCCTTGACTCTATCCCAGGCCTCAAGTCCAAGAGCATGTTCGAGCACGTGTGCCTCTTTCTTTCCCAAAACTCTGTGCTCCAAACAAAGAGAACAGAAAAGCAGAGCCCAGCTCCATGTTCCTGACTGCCGACACCAGTAAGGAACAGCCGCCCTGAGCCCAGCTCTGTGTTCCTGACTGCCGTCACCAGTAGGAACAGCCTCCCTGAGCCCAGCTCCATGTTCCTGACCACCCAGCATAGGTAGTAACAGCCACCCTGAGCCCAGCTCCATGTCCGGACCACCTGACACCAGTAGGAACAGCCACCCTGAGCCCTCCACACACTGCAGGGACGCACATGATGGTGGTCTTCCCGGCACCGTTGGTCCCCAGCAGGGCAGTGATCTGGCCTCTGTGGAAGGTGAGGCTGAGGTTCTGGATGGCCATCTTGTGGCCTTCATACTCCTTGCTCACAGACACCAAGGCCACTCCCACAGGGCCTCCTTCCAGCTCCTCTTCTCCACTTTGGGATGACAACCCTGTAAAGAAGATGCTAATTCATCAGGAGAACCAGGAAGCAAGGCTCCACTGGCACAACAGAGGTCCCTCCAGAGCCAGTCTCAGCTCTGCAAACAGGCACAGTCATTCAAGCTCAGGGCTTCCAGGACAGCAACAGCCAAGAATGTCAACAGAGTGGTGGGGGAGATGGAGGGGGGACGTAATCTCCCTCTCTCTCCCCTCTCTCCCCTCCTACTCTCCTCTGCCCAACCCAGCATGACTCAGCAGCCTGTATGCAAAGACTCACACGCTTGCCAAGGCATCACATCCAGTAGCTGCCGCTTGGCCACAGCTTCCATTTTTACACATACTTTGGACTGATGCATCAGTCTCACTGAACCACAGCATGGAGCCTAGAGCAGAGTGTCCTGAGAGATGAGGGGACCGCCTGGGGACCGCAAAGTGCACATCCTCCGGGCTGCTACCTGCAATGTGGCTCCGAGCTGGCTTTAAGCTCGATACAGTGTGGAGGTGAATATCCCAGAGCCTGCACATCCAGAAAGGCTCCGCTCCAAGTGGAAAACCATGCATCCTGGGGATGCCACGCCCACATACCTTTGAAGCCGAGGTTCTCACTGCTGACGGGGCTGGAGCTCTCAGGATTCTGCTGCTTCTCCGGGACATCGCAGAGGCTTTTCCAGTATGAGGCCGTGACAGGGAAGTACCAGGGCTTCCTCACGCCAAAGCTCCCTAAAGAATGAGGATGCAACAATGAAGGTTCTGCAACAGACCATTTAGAATTCGGAGCCAATGTCGAGGTGATGCAGATTAACCCACTGTCTTCGAAGCCAGCATCACCAACAAGGACGCTAGTTCGTTCGAGCCCTGGCTGTTCCACTTGCAGTGTAGCTCCCTCCTAATGCACCTGGGAAGGCAGCAGAAGATGGCCCAAACCCACACAGGAGACCTGGCTCCTAACCCAGGGACCCAGGCCCAGCCTTCTCAGCCATTTGGGTATTAAACCAGCAGATAGGAGACCTTGTTCTCTGTCATTCTGCCTTTCAAATAAATAAATCCTTTAAAAAGGCAAAATAAAATGCTAAAATGAACTACCTTAACTCAATAATGGAAAATGTGGCTTCATGGCAGTGTTTCTATTGTGCATCTCCTATATATTAGTCTGGCTGCTGCCTTGTCCCAAACTACCTCACATCCACATTCCCGGGCAGCCTTGGGGTGGGTGGAGATAATGTGAACAATCCCTGAACACTGAGGAATGCCCTGCCCATCCCACACCGCCCTGCACGTGGCTCCTGCTCTCTGCCCATCCCACACCGCCCTGCACGTGGCTCCTGCTCTCTGCCCATCCCACACCGCCCTGCACGTGGCTCCTGCTCTCTGCCCATCCCACACCGCCCTGCACGTGGCTCCTGCTCTCTGCCCATCTCACACCGCCCTGCACGTGGCTCCTGCTCTCTGCCCATCTCACACCGCCCTGCACGTGGCTCCTGCTCTCTGCTCATCTCACACTGCCCTGCACATGGCTCTCAACTCCGGCACTGTGAGCTCTGCAGGCACTGCCTGCCATTTCTGTCAACCTCTGTGTGACAGAGCTGGCACTGCACTGCCCACCCCCAAAACGGATGGTGACTAGAGAAGTCCATGAAATCAATGTGAGCTCTGAGAGAAGAGCCTGCAGGAGTAGGTGCCTGTAGGGAGCCCTGGGGTGGAGCAGGAGGCCCTGCAAGCTGCATCCACGCAGGGCACAGAGCCTGCACATCATTCTGCATCTGGGAGTGGCATTTCCTCACGCTCAGAAGCAACCAGCACAAGCCTCTTCCGTGCAGATGCAGGGGCACTGTCCAGGGTGCTGACCAGTGTCCCACACCAGGAGCCGGCTCTTCCTGTCCTGCAGCTCTGTGTCTCCACACTTGCCTTGGTACTGATTCCCGTGGTGGCCACACCCATTCAGGGGCCCCTGGCTGCAAAAGCTACCCTTCGGTCCCAGCTTCGCTCGCGTAAGCTGCACCGGGCTGAGGAACTGGCCTAGATCGAGGAAGGCGTTATCACCTGTCCGTCTATCGCTCCATTCCTCTATCTCTCCTCTCTGTTTCTTTGATCATCTCTCTCTCCCTTCCCCTTTTCCCTTTCCTGAGCCTCACTCTGTTGGATCAGAAGCAAGCCTAGCTGGTGGGCATGCTCACTGGAGCGCACAGCAACCTGTGGGAGCTGGCTCCGCTCTGTCCTAATTCGCGTCCCTTCTCTGCCTCTGCTTTGAAGGCTGGTGGAACTTTGCATCAGTGAACTAGAGTTCACAGTGAAACTGGAGAAAACTCTAGCCTCAGGTGGGGAGCTCCTTTCCTGATATGACATACGAAAATGTTTCTCCAGCTCCCCACGTACAGGGTCCTGATGGGGAGGGAAAATAAGATTGCAAGCCTGGACACATCTGTCTGGCCCTCAGCAGTGCCCAGGGCCAGCTGCTGCTGCTTCTCCTTGTGGATCTGTATCCTTCGCATGGAGACACCTGCCATATTACTTGGAGATCCAGGTTATCATTCTTCTATGATATGGGGAGCATTTACTTTGCAGATCTAGGCTTTCTTTGTTTTGGCAAATGACCGTCCCTTTGCCTCCTGTTTCCCCATGGGCAGTACTGTCTGTCCCCAACTGTCCATCCACCCCAGGCCAGGGTCTCCACCTCTTCCCCTGCAGTTGTCCCACAGCTCTATGCTGCTTCCTCATGTATCATAAACAGACTGCACACATGTGTTTCAAAATAGCTCTTTCATTACTCAGCCACCTTCTCTTCCAGTAGTCTCCCAGAGCCCTTGGCATTTCCAGTTCTTTATAAAAACAAAATCATTCTTCGCTTCTTAGAACCCACTTTTCCTTGTATTTTACTCCACAGCCAAAGCCAAAGTGGACTGGTTACTGGGGTAAACCACAGCAAGAGCTTCCGAGACCTTCAGTTCTCAAGAGCTGAGGGATGATAACACCTGCGCATCAGGAGTGTTTGAGACACTGAACAGCACCGTCTGCAGCGAGACACCTGAGGACCTGCCCCAGTGAGCCCCAGGTAACAGCAACACTGCCACTCACTCCCCTCATCGCACAGGGCTTTCTGTTTCCAGGGGAAGCCTACAGATTCCAACACACAGTCCTCCTTTGAAAGCAGCTCCTCCTGAATTTCTTTGTGTTTCCTAATCTTAAAATATCTTTAAGGTTACCCCTTTCCCTTCAACTAATAGCATACACAAGACTACAGTGGCCTGGCTGAATCTGCAAGGCCTCAGTTCTTCAGAAGTGCACTAAATGGCTGTTATCACCAATAAGAAAGATAATTTAAATTGGTGAGGTATTTTTTGAAAAACACATCTTACTTTTTTAACATTTATTTTTACTGCCATTTTTCTATGCACAGTTGAAGCCCCCTGCTATATAATTTGAATCACTCTCATTAATGCTATTTTAAATGTCACTTTTTAATCCAAAGTCACAAGTAATTTTAAGAAAATAAAAGCACCACGAAAGTGCTATTTCTTAAGAATGAAATATAACCATGTCTGAAAAACAATTTCTGTTCTGCCTGACCTAAATTTAAAAAGTAAAAGTGCCCCTGTGTCTTCCCCACCTGACACAGCAGGAAAACCACTGTAACTGGTGGTCTTGCTTCTCCCCGGCACGCCTGTCACAGGGAGGAGGCACCTCCAGGGAGGCCCCTGCACTGCTGCTAGCCCTGTCTCCAGAGGCAGCACCTGGACCCCAGCCTCACGCCATGCCTGGCCCCTCTGCCACCTGCTGACCTGTGGCCAGCTGGGAGACGGGGCTCTTCACTGTGCAGGCTTCCTTGTCGTCTGGGAATCAGCAGTATTGTAGACCCCAAACGCTCCTGCTCCTACCCGCCTCTCTCACCTCCGCACACCCCAGGACCCTCTCAGGGAGCAGCAAAGGGGACCCATACTCCATCCAGGCCCACTCCTGAATGGCCTTTAACCTTTACCCCAGAGGCAGGACACCAGGTTTTACTCAAAACTCACAGCTCCTTTAAAAACATATCCAAAGACATCCCCTTTTTGGCATCTTCTTTTATGAATAAACAATTGTTTTCATACCACTGTATATTGTTTAAAATTTATTTTGCTGTTTTGTAAAGTGTTCAATTCTTACCAGGAATCAAGTTGCTGAGGTACCATCCACATAAGAAATAAAGGCTTGAATCAAAGAGAATCATCCAACAAACCCAGCCAAACGCCATGCTCCCATGTTCTGGAGCTTGGTACAGGTTACTCCACTGGATCCCTGGCAGGAACAACAGGGCCAGAGTCAGAACCATGCAGCCTGTCCCGGAAGCCCCTCTCCCAGAATCCCCTCTCCGTGCAGCCCCTCTCCCTGCAGCGCCTTCCCCTGCAGTGCCTCTCCCTGCAATGCCTCCCCCTGCAGCCACTCTCCCTGCAGCCACTCCCCCTGCAGCCCCTCTCCAAGAGGCCCTTCTCCCTAAAGCTCCTCTCCCTGAAGCCCCTCTCCCAAAATCCCCTCTCCCTACAGGCCCTCTCCCTGCAGCCCCTCTCCCTGAAGCCCTTCTCCCTGCAGCTCTTGCTGAGAAGAGCTGATGAGACCACCCACCGCCCACAATTCCTCAGAGGAAAGGCTAACTTGCAGAATTGCATCTTCAGCAGTGAGGTCAGGTGGCATAGCCATTAATGACATTTTAATATCCAACACTTAAACACTTTTAAAGGTTATTTGACCTATATCTATTTTACTTACTTAACTAAATAAATTCATTTGGGGTGACACTAAGTATATTTTTAAGAACTAAACAGGTCTCCTTGAGAACCCAGAGACTAACAATGTATTTGTGGGTTGAATGTAATTAAAGGAAAACATTCTTCTACTCTAAATTGTCCTATGATACAGGTTTGAAGCCAAAAACATACACAATTTAATCACTGAGTATTTGCTGCCACCATTATTTTCTGTATTTTCTTGATCAAACCGACTTTGAAGATGAGTTAAAAGGGCACGGTGCCACGGTATACTGAGTTAAGCCTCTGTCTATGGTGTGGCATCCCTCCATGGGCACTGGTTCAAGTTCCTGCTGTTCCTCTGCGGAACACGTGTGTTGATGTGCCCGACCCAGAGCCAGGGGATCTGCAGGAGGCTCCTGGCTCCGCTGCAGCCACTGCAGTCACTGGGGAGTGAACCAGCAGGTGGAGGATCTCTCTCTGCCGCTGCTTCTCTCTGTACATTGGCCTTTCAAACAAACCTAAGCAAATCTTTTTTAAAAAATAAATGAGTTAGAGGAATTGAGAGGAAATCACTAAAGATTACCCATCTTTTAATATATTTCACAAGGAGAGACCAAGACAGGCAAAATCAAAGCAGATTAACTACTGATGTAATATTTTCACTTTTGGATTGTGTTTTCCTATAAATATTCACAAATGCACACTCAAAAATTCATATAAACATCTAAGAGATATGTGTCTAGGGAGGGATTTTTGTTGTCAGAACCTCATTGTAAGGAAGACTCCCTCCAAACATAAAAATCATCTTTGGCTGCGTTATTAGGGATAAAATCAACAACCGGATAGACAGCTGTGCTCTGTTCCCTGCTGGTTAGTTCCGGGTCTTGATGCTGATCAGCCTCGGTTCAGGTTGAGGTCTGACAACTACATGAAGAGCCATGATGTGGAGATCGCAGCGGCCACCCTGGCACTACTGCCCACTAGCAGCTGGCATGCACGCAGGCACCTCACTCTGGGGAGAGTTTGGAGGGTCCCTAAGGTGACCATGTGTCACGTATCATAGAGATGCTCAGACGCCAGCAGGGTAATGGCTTGGATCCACAGCCAGCCGGGGGTGCCATGGTTGCTCTTCATTGTCCTCAGACCCACAGCAACCAGCCAATGAGACGTGCGCCACTAGCAAACCCACGTCAGGTTTCTTTCCAAATGTGCCACTTGGCAACTGAGGATTTCCAATGAATTCTTCACGACACAACCACAAATTTCTAAAAAACCTGAGTTACTAAGTCACTTTTTAAACCTGTATCCTCTTACCTGCCTCTTGTCCCTCCAGGAATGTAATGAAAAATACTCCTTGTCCAAAGGCTGTTGTCGAGAGCAGGCACTGCCCGGGATAGAAGGGATGAGAGAAATCCAGCACGTTAGTGTGTGGCTGGGACCTCAGGAAACGCACAGCACTAAAGCCAAAGGCAGAAGCAGCACACCTCGGGAACCTGGCAGCGTCACGTCACCACTGCAGGAGGTCGTTTAAATACGTGAACCTGGAAGACTGTGCAATGTCAGCCCACTCGGAAACGTGTGTGACAAGCTGGTCTTTAATGGCACAGGGAATCGTTTCTCTTTATTGCAAGGCTTGGAGTGTCACAAATCCAAAGAGCTGTGCAGACAACTGTGCAGCACCAAGCAGCAGACAATGCAACAGGGCAAGCTGCTATTCTTCATTGTGAAGCAAACACCCTGGAGCACAGCACGGGCAGAGCCATGGGACGGAAGCGCCGTTCCACACGAGCAGGGGAATGCTCTGCAGTAAAGTGCCAGTTTATCTGCAGTGGATACGTTCTGTGTCAGGAAAGAGCCCACTGTTCAACAATTCCACGCACCAGAGTTACAGGAAACATGTGAACACGTATAAAGGAGATCACACTTTGCAGGCACAGTCTTTAGACATAACGAATACCAAATATTACATGCAAAGATAAAAGCAAATGGACAGTGCTGAAGCTTCAGGTCAGATCATCAACGACCCTCCTCACATCAGGGGTCCGTGGTGGAGGAACACTGGAAGACCACGCTTGCATTAGTAATCCCATCCACGTTTGATTAACACAAGCACCATGTTGCCGCTTAAGAATTAGCACAGATGTGACACAGGCAACCAAAACCAATAAGCACGTGTCCACAGACAAAATACTAGCTGAGTATCTATCCTGCATATGGCTAGGGGAAGCATCCCTGTGGCTCCTGAGTGGTGACAGCCTGCGCCCAGCGCCCTGTGGCATCAGCATGGTGACAGTCTGAGCCCAGCGCCCTGTGGTGTCCTGCGTGGTGACAGCCTGAGCCCAGCGCCCTGTGGCATCAGCATGGTGACAGTCTGAGCCCAGTGCCCTGTGGTGTCCTGCGTGGTGACAGCCTGTGCCCAGTGCCCTGTGGCATCAGCATGGTGACAGTCTGAGCCCAGCGCCCTGTGGTGTCCTGCGTGGTGACAGCCTGTGCCCAGCGCCCTGTGGCATCAGCATGGTGACAGTCTGAGCCCAGCACCCTGTGGTATCAGCATGGTGACAGCCTGTGCCCAGCGCCCTGTGGCATCAGCATGGTGACAGTCTGCACCCAGCGCCCTGTGGCATCAGCATGGTGACAGTCTGCGCCCAGCGCCCTGTGGCTTCTTCATGGTGACATGGCATGTTCCTGCTACATGCACTCCATCACCCACCACAGGCTCTCACGAAGGCGCCACTGTACTGCTTGGCCTTCAGGCTCTACAGCTGTGCACTAAGTAAACCTCTTTTAAGTAGCCTTCCCCAGGTGCTGTGTTAGAGTAATAGAAAACAGATCTGATACAAATAATCCAGCGAGGCTGGAGAAAAGCTCTCACTCACTCACCAGCTCCCGAGGAGCAGGGCCAGGGCTCCACCCAGGGAGTGCACGTGCTGTCACCGTATGAGACAGCCAAAGCTGGCCTGAGTCCTGCGCCATATTCACAGATTTCTGAACACAATCGGCCCTTAGCCATTGTGCAATTCTGGCTCCTCAATACCTCTCCATAGTGGCTCCAGGTACACTGCCAAGGCTGTGGGTTGGGGCAGTTGCCAACCCTGCTGCAGGAGCCAAGCCTCAGGCACAAGGCAGATTCTCACAGTTCTGGCAGCAGGATTGCAGAGGAGACCCAGTGCAGGCAGTGCACATCAGCCCTTTCCCACAGAGCCCTCTAGATGGCAGGCTGGAGCAGCTCAACCCTCTTTGAGAGCTGCATTTTAAATAGGTGAGCCTCTGACATTGCTAATGAAGAGAGCTTCCCACTTAATGCACTATAAGTCATGACTGATAAGTCATGCTCCAAGAAAAATGCTTATTTTTTACTTCTGAAATAGCTTTGGAACTAGTTCAGCCCATGCATGAAACCAAGAGAAACTAAAATTGTATGCTTTCTTAAGGAAGCTGCTGATCTCCCGAGCCTCAGAGAGCTTCCACCCACACCCACCATAACACATGTCCACTCTTTAGCAGGCTGCCCTCGGCACTGCCACCACTGGCATGGCCATCGGGGTGCACTTGGGGAAGCCAGTTGGCACAGAGCCTATGCAGATCTGAACACAGCAAACGGGCCAGGGAGGACCCGGGCTCCGGGAGGAGGAAGGCACGAGCAACTCACCAGAAACGTCTGCAGGCCCAGACTCAGCTGGTTACGCATGACCATGAGGACGATGTAGGGCAGAAAGCTCATGAGGTACAGCAGGCTGGTACAAAGGGCCGCTGTGTTGGCACGGCTGAAAAACGCACTCAGCAAGTAGCTGAACATGACGATCGACACCCCGAAGTCCAGCAGGAAGAGGAAAACGACAGAGGCATCGCTGTGCACAAAGATGCCGCTCGCTTTGAGAACGGCGGCCAGGACGGCACTGCTCACGGCCAGCACCGCCATGTTCTCCAGGAACCAGGCCAGGAAGTGGGTCGTTGGGTGCAGGCCCAACATCCGCAGGTACTGTTGAGACGGAGGGGCTGGCGTTATCACAGCAGCAGAGACAGAGGAAGGGACAGATCAGAGCGAGGAAGGGAAGAGGCAGACGACAGCGTGGCTGGCCCAGTCTGCACAGAGCTGCAGAAAGGACACCTGCTCCCAGAGCTGGGCACCAACCCTGGGCACACTTCACAAAGCAGGGTGGGCACCTTGACAGAAGCACAGCTGAGACCGGGGTGTCCCATGGGCCCCATTCCTTAACAAGGCAGTGGGGGGAAAGGCGTGGGCGCCTGAGGCCTCTGCAGACTCCGCTGCAGTCTCGGCGTGTTTTCTGGTTTGTGTTTGCCCTTCGTTTGGGTGGATTTCGCCCGAGAAGGAGAATGAGGGGCATGGGGGGAACTACTGGTCCTGAATGCCCTCAACACGAGGTCAGTGCCAAGCTCTCAGACACATTGGCAGCCGGCCTCTCCCAAGCCACTAGCTCAGCCACTGGATGCTCCACTGGCTCACCCCCAGGGTGGAACCTACAACGTGAGGACGGCACGCTCTGAGGCCTGCACCCTGGGCAGCCCCTGGCAGCAGTGAGACTGGGAACCTGGCACTCTGTCCACAATGTTCCTACACCCAGGGACTCAACTGAGTTGCAAGAGCACAGGGACCACGAGTAAGCAAGCTGGAAGCAGGGAAACACTGTGCAGGCACAGTACAGGTTTACACAGCACTTGTGAAATAAGGTTTACACACACACGTGACATTCCCAGCCATTTCCTCACATCAACAAAGCTCCAGCAGGCAAACCAGGCATGCACCTGCTGTGCACGGCGAGTCGAGGCTTTGCCTGGGACTATAAAACGAACTTGCACTCTTAGAAGCTAGTTCTTATAATTTTTTAATTACCCATAAACTAAGATGGGAAATGTTACTTCTTGTGGGCTTTGTATAAATTGATAAATGAGTAACCCTGGCTGTGTTGCTGCAGCGTCTTGTGCCTTTAGTGGGGGAGGTCTTCTTTTATCTCAAGGAAATATGTTCAAGGCTCTGCTCAGACCACAGTCTACACGGATGCTCCTGGGACGGGGGCCTGGCTGGACCAGCACAGCACATGGAGAACAGCGCACAGAAGTCAGAGGCAAGTTACCTCTTCTATCTGGATCTCCCGCTCATAGACCAGCTTCCGAACCATGCTGGCCACAGACACCATCCAGGTCAGCATCATGATCAGGGGGAGAAAGAAGCCAACGTTGTTCAGGAATCTGTAAGGGCAGGAGGCAGTCAGCACCCACAGCCAGCGAAGCCTTCCTCTCACTCACGTTCAGGAGGAGCACTGAGCCTGGGAAGTTTTCTATAACTTCTTACAGGCTACGATGAACCGTCAGCATAACTCTGGCCTTTTCAACAGGCCTGTTACGTGAGTGTGATGGATGTGCTCGCCAGCTGTCACCAGGGAAATCCGGCCGGAAACACAACAGTTTCAAGGCGCTAACACGCAGAGCAGGCTGGAGCAAAGCAGCAGCACTGAGTCACAACTGGAGCTTCCCTCGGTATACTGGGACCACTGCCTCTCTTCAATCAACGACCTCTCTACTTTTTAAAAAGCTGCTTATTTATTAGAAAGCTAGAATTATAGAGATATCTCCCCTCTGCTGCTTTACTCCCAAGATACCCCATCTTCTGCTACCTTCCCAGGCCATTGAAGGGAGGTGGACTGGAAGTAGAACAGCCAGGATTCAAACCAGTGCCTGCAGAGGATTCCATTCCAAGTGCTTGGGCCATCGCCACCCATACAGGAGAAGCAGATGAAGCTCCTGGCTTCAGCCCGGCTCAGCCCTGACTACTACCTCACCTTCAGAATCAACCAGTCCACCCTGTCCCAGCTCCCCTGCATGACTCTGAGCCAGATGACCATCTCCTGTCCCTGCCCTGACTCTGGGCCAGATGACGATCCCCTGTCCCAGCAACCCTGCGTGACTCCGAACCAGATGACCATGCGCTGTCCCAGCTCCCCTGCCCCGACTCCAGGCCAGATGACCATCCCTGCCCCTACTCTGAGCCAGATGACCATGCCCTGTCCCTCCTGTTGATGGCCATCAGCCTCCAAGGATTTCTCTGCTTTGCCCCCGATTCTTTCCCACCCAAAAGCCTGAGCTCCACTTTTCCATATGTGTCAGATAACATTGCCCCATGCCCTCGTGGCACTCCTAATACCTGCAAAGGCATTGGCTGGTCAGCTCCAGCCTTGCTTCTGACCCACTTGACCTGGTCAGTGTACAGAAAGCGAGGCACTCTGACCACACAGCACGCAGCCTCTACACTGATCCCAAAGCTGCACAGGGCCACCTTGCTCCAGGTGCTCCGCCGTCCCTTCGCAGTGCTCCCTACCCCCTCAGCTAGCTCCTCCCCAACTCGGCAGCACTTCCTGCCTTCTCACATTCAATGCCATTTTCCTCCTTAATGCATTTTAAACTCTCTGCTTCCCTGGACAGTAAGTGCCACAAGATGCGCTTCTAACTACTCTGGCTGCTGCCTCTTCCCGAGGGTAGAGGTTGACAAACAACACAGAAAGGTCAATGAATGCACCGCAACATTAATGAACGTGACTCCTTCAGGAAGCAGTAGGAACCCACAGGGCAATTTCCAATCACTGTGGTCTCCAGAAACCGTGCTTTCAGATTTGTATGCAGGCGGCTGAGTTCCTGAAAGGTCTCAGACTGTGCCTCAGTCACTGCGGGCCAGCAAAGAATCAGAAAGTGTAGGCTTCTTGAAACTTGCTGTGAGGAAAAGATACATGGTATCTTTCAAGAAGCAGCTCAGCTATTCCCACTTTCAGAGAAGAAAAACAAACCTTTCCAAGGAGTTGAATTGCAGTATCCCAGCGAGCACAGGAGACACCATTCTAGGTTGAATATTTCTCATGGAAAAATCTACCTTCTACGTCACCCAGCCTCCTGTTCAGTCCTCATGACACCTGCTGACCACCTGCTGGAGGAATGGAAACCAGTCCCCGACATCCCTCGGCGCACTGGCAGAAGTGAATGCTGTTCATCCCAGGAAATGTTCCATGTCAGGGGACAAAAGGGACCTGGCACTCTTCACTCACACAGTGGTGCAGCCTCTTAGAGGAAGGAGGCGGTCAGCATGTGTGCTTCCTTTCAGAGTCATCTGGTTAAAAAGCAGCACCACAGAACATTGACTCTGCAAGGTGCAGCCCAGGGCAGCAGCGCTCGCAGCGCTGAGGCTTCAGGCAGATGCTCTCTTCGCTCTTGACCTTCAGTCGGCCACAGGAGGCCGGGACAAGCCCCTACCCCAGGGGAGGTTCCTCCTGTAACACTGCTCTGTTCTTCCTCAAAAATTCACTAAGGACTTGTCACATGTGGAACCTGTCACCAGACAGAACACAGGGAGAGACCTCACATCGCCAGTCCTGAAAGACAGTCCTAACTTCTGCACACAGACCACGGCCCTGCCAAGGGAGCGACGCACCTTACACCATCACATACAGCGTCCTGATGGGCAATAAGGTAGTATCATCTAAGCCAGCTCGTCACAGCATGTCACCAAGGCCAGGGCTGCAGCAGGACGCTGCTAAGGACAGCATGTCACCATGCAGGAAGGATGACCCACAGAGACGTAGCTCACCTCCTTCGGGACCCATTCAAGTCCTGTTGCCATTGGCCACACCTGCATGTCCAAGCTCAATGTCCACTGTGAGGTGAAGGTGTCCTACACATTCCCAGGATCTCCCCAGGGCACCCTGACCTGTGCTGATGGCCTGGGGTCTTCCTGAACCTTTCACCTGCACTCCCCAGGGCAGCCTGACCTGTGCTGATGGCCTGGGGTCTACCTGGATCCCTTTCACCTGCACTCCCCAGGGCACCCTGACCTGTGCTGATGGCCTGGGGTCTTCCTGAACCTTTCACCTGCACTCCCTAGGCCTCTGCTGCTGTGGATCCTGCCATCCACATCAGCCAGCTCTCAGATTACACACCCTGCACAGTGTCTGGCCCAGGGCCTATTCTTCAAGGATGAGTCCTGAAGAGAAAATAATTTCCTGTGTCCTCCCATGCTGTGGATATTGGTCAATAGTGCCATTTCAAGGGCATGTGAGCCCTCATACACCACATGGGGAATTCAGCGACACCTCTGTATCCACAGGGGACACATCCCACGACCTCCATCAGATACCAATGTCCCTTACGTCAGCACAGTGATGTCTGCACAGAAGCCACACAGTCCTTACACTTTAAATCCTCTCTACGTGGTTACATCACACAGTGCATGATAACCATTATATAAATGGAGATTCGCCATGTTGACTGGGAGATAACGGCACGTTCAAGTCTGTGTGCTCAGTAGACACAGCCACCGCTGGCCTCACCGAGGGGCTTCAGATGCTCGTTGTCTTTCAGTTCCACTTCCTGTGGGCTTCCCTCAAAAGACAAGTGCTAGAGAAATTCCAACAGGCTCAACAAAGTGGGCCACAGCAGCCCTCCTTTCGTGGAGATTCTGCTTACGGCATGGCACACCAAGTTTTGCCTTGGGGAGTTGCTGGAATGGTTTTTCAAACATTTTTCCTCTGCAGTTGGTTAAATCCTCACACACAGAATGTATGGATGGGAAGGGCTGACTATTCCTCAACTATGACATATCTCCCAACACCTCATGCACAAAACAAACCTTAAGAAAGTTAAACGAGAAGCGATATTTATAGGAAGTGCCGTTTGGGGAAACCACAGACAAGTTCACGTCTTTGGGGTGATTAGGAAAAGCTGAAAGGCATTTTCCTATGCAAGGACCCTCCCACACCATCCTCTAGAGGCCAGCCTGCCCTCTGCCCCAGGCTACTCACAGGTCGCTAGTGTGACAGGGGTAGGGAGCCGCCTGTGTCTGGGCAGCCGGCTCCGGAGCTTCGTGTCCCGTCTGCACGGCGATGATGGCTCTTTCGATCATGTCTTGCAGCGGGACAAAGATGTAGTTATACTTGAACCCATCCGCTGGCAGGCTCTGAGGATGGAACTTCCAGGAAGGATTCCTCACCAGATCTGTTCTCATGCTGTACAAGACACTGGTCCGGATTGTGTAGGTGACGTGGGGTGGCAGCTTGGGAGATGTCAAGGAACTATTGAATATGACACCTGGCAACAATAAAGGAAAACACAGCGTCACCGCAGCCAGTGGGCATAAGCCTGGCAAGCTGGCAGGACCAGGGAACTCAGCCCAAGTAGCAACGTTAATGCCACACTGCACAGGCAATTGAGGGAAACCTGAACCAAGATCACCAATTCCCAATTCAATACTCCCTTTGGCTGCTAATAAAAACACAAAGAAATGCTACTGGTTCTGCATTTTTTTTTTTGCAGGACAAAGAAAAGTTATATAAGACTGCTCAGAGGATCTGCCTTCCTTCTCCCATTGTACTTGCAACTCAGCACACAGAATTCTTGACTTGGGGTACTTATAACTTACAGTGAAAATACAGGTGTTTGGTTTTCTGCCCTATGGATTCCTTGGGTTTCATCCTTAAATTATTAGGACTTATAATATGTCCCCTGTAAAATGTGCAAGTTGGAGTCCTAGTCCCCAGGACCTGTGAATGCAGTTGTATTGGGAAATGGACATTGAATGTAATGAATGTAGTGAAAACTACTATGAATGCAGTTGTACTGGGAAATGCCATCTTTAAAGAGATGATCAAGCTAGAATGAGGTCACTAGGGTGAGCCCCACGCCACTATGACAAGGTCCTCATTAGAGGGAGAAAAGTGGGCAAAAACAAAAACGAAGGGCAGAAGATGGAAAGACACACTGGAAATCTTTTAGCCCAGGCTCCAGAACAACCATTTCTACTGTTGGTTTGAATTAGCCAGGCTATGTACTTGGTCAGGGCAGCCCTTGAAACCCAACATAGAGCCTCCAGGAAAAGTAGCTAATGGAAGCCCATGTCATGCAGCAGTTTAAAGCACCGCTTAGGACACTACACCCCACATCAGAGCACCAGTCTGAGTCCCAACTGCTCTGCTTCTGATCCAGCTCCCTGCTGCTACGCCTGGGAAAGCAGCAGCACATGACCTGGATTGAGCTGCTGGTCCTGGCTTCTGCCTGCCCAGGCCTGGCTGTTGCAGCCATGTGGGGAGTGAACCAGCAGATTTTCTGTCTTCCTCCTGATGCCTTACTCTACCCTTTTAGAACACGGTGAAACGTTTATTTGAAAGGAATACAAGAGATCACACCGTGTTTATCTTGAACAGGAAAATTATTAACGGTGATGAGTCAGCCATCATCTCTGCTCTCCTTGCCCAGGAATATCAAGAAACAATGAGCAAAGGGAGGAAGACGCTAGCGTGTATGCTTACTCTCTAACTACGGGGAGACAGAATTGATCGTGAGATTCAAGCAACGGAAGCAGGTGCAGTGAGCAGCACTGCCCTGTGTGGTGACACGCGTCCATCGTGACAGCTTGACGTACGTCTCCTCCTGAGTGTGGAGTTTCTCTGCTTATTTGATGCCTTGTCTGGGAGGTTGTGCTCTCCTTCTGGGCCAGCACAGGACACCTTCAGGCAGAAGCCAGCCAAACCGTGACCTACTCGAGCCAGTGTAGACGTCTGCACGGAACACTTACTGGCCAAGAAGCTGTTGTGCTTCATGAGCTCGTGTGCTTCTGTCTCCAGAGCACCCACAGACTCCGCAGCCTGGAACCGGTTCAACGTCACGCAGGAGGACAGGTTGACCAAGACATGGCCCAGGAAGCGGATATGGTCGGCCCCCGCATTACTCAGCATCGTATCCAGCATGCCTCCTGAGAAAAGTGGACAGCTTAGGCCATGCCAAGCTCTGACACACCCTGGTGCTTCTTGTTCACGTAATGAAAACTGTGCAAATCAGTTGGAACAGGAAAACAAATATATTCACTTAAATGCTGCTCAAACAGGGGCAGGCATTTGGCACAACAGTTGAGATATGCTGTTACACAGGCCAGAGATCTGGCCTGGCCCATACACAAAGTACCCAAGGGCCAGATCCTCCTCCCTGAACCAGAAGCCATGGATGTTCAGGTTTCAAGGGTTGCTCTTGGTTCAGAGCTCTGAGGTCTGCAGGAGGGGACCAGGAGCTTGACGGTCCACTAGGCCATGTGAGGGGCCATGGCTGTATAATCTGCATCCTTTCCAGGCAATGGAAATGGGAATTCTCCTCTCTGGGTTTCTCTAAAGATTAAGTGAATAAAGCATGTGACCTGTCCAGCACTCCCAGGATTTGGCACACAGCATGTCACAGATCAGCATTTGCTGGAATTGTGGTTAATAATGTACAACACTGATTTCTAGAGCAAGCATTTGGTCTACTCCCACATGGCAGAACCCGAGTTTGACCCTGCCCCTGGCTCCTAATCGCATCCTCTTGCTACTGCAGGTCCTAGAAGGCATCCATGATGCCTCAAGTAATTGTGTTCCCGCCCACGTGGGAAATCTGGACTGTCTACTCCCCGAGGCATTGTGAGCATTTGAGGAGTAGACCAGAGGACAGGAGCTCCTCTTTATCTCTTCCTGCCTCTCACATAAATCATTTCATGCAAATTGTCTGTGGTGGAGGAATAGACAAAATGCATTGACTTCAGCTTGCTCTAAGACTTAGATGTTGGTGCAGGTAACAGACCAGTTGCAGTGATGTTTTACAAGTGCATTTCCATATTTCTAACCCTACTCTCACCCCAACCAAGACAGAAAGCTCAATACCCCGGTTATTCACTGACACGAAAGGCAGGACCTGGGAAGCAGTTTCCTGATGCGGAGGCAGAGCTGATGGCAGCAGGCTTTAGTTCTCCCTCCCACTGTCTTCTTTGACACCCTATGATGGCACCGTGCCTCTGAAACCAGCCTAGGCCAGGAGGTCCGGAGGACAGTGCTGGCCTTGCTGCATCACACCACGCCTCTCCAAGGCGTCCATCACAGGTGTTTGTTGGGGAGGAGGACAATGAACAAAGGTGGGCAGCACATGGAGAGCTGAGCGCAGTTAAAATACTGCGGAACGATTGATACCGTGTGTTTGAACGATTTATAATGCATTAGTCTTCTCCTCACTTGTTTTAGTGTAAAAGGATGACGTCTCATTTTCTCCAAAGTGTTGAGGCAAAAGCAATGCTTTTGAATAATACATCACATTTCCTCTACAATTTTCAAGGGGCCCTGGCACTTGCTACATTATCCCACTGTCAAGTTTGGAGACATCACCTTGCTGTGAGATGTGCATGGAAGGGGATATTTGTGAGACAGAGGTTGAAATGAATCTCCGAGGAGGACCCAGTTGTTTCCTAATGAGTGTGGGCAGGGGCAAAGTACGGATCTCTTTGCATGCCATAACAGCTCTCTCTCTGGAGGCCATTAAAAAGCAAGACACTCCCAAGGGGTGGGCTGTAGCCACCTGCCTGGGTGCAGGAGGACCCCTGAGGGGACGATGCCACAAGGGGTGGGCTGCAGCCACCTGCCTGGGTGCAGGAGGACCCCTGAGGGGACAACGCCCCAAGGGGTGGGCTGCAGCCACCTGCCTGGGTGCAGGAGGACCCCTGGGGGGACGACTCCCCAAGGGGTGGGCTGCAGCCACCTGCCTGGGTGCAGGAGGACCCCTGGGGGAACAACTCCCCAAGGGGTGGGCTGCAGCCACCTGCCTGGGTGCAGGAGGACACTGGAGGGGCCGAGCCCACCCACAGCAGTTCCACCAATGGGCTGTTTGCTTTCAGACTGTTACTAACCTGTCCTAGCGTCATGTTTCTGCTCTGTCAGTCACCCACGGGGTTGTCAGGAAATTAAATCAGGTTTATGTGTATAGGGAAACTTCGAAGAGCTTGTGGAAATGGAATCAGAATTTTAGCTTGGCATAAAAAATCCTTGAACTCCATGCATAGTTATTTCATAACACACATTTTCTATGAAATTCCTGAAATCTTCTTATGTGATTATATTTTAAGATCTTTGCACCAAACTAAATTTACCTTTTAATTCCATTCACCATGAACTTTTTGAAGTCACCTAACACACACAAGCACACACATTTACATAGTTTGATGTCACCATAAACACTTATAAAATGCCAACTGTTGCCATAGGTAACAACCAATTATCATTGTTTGAATCTTATAAATGCAACTACCAAAAATGAGACCGTTGTACACTATACACTGCGGAGTACAAGATGGGGAGCTGATTCTTTTGGAGGAACTGCAGAGCACTGAACCCCGCAGGCTGGGGCAGACTGGGTATGTTTTTCTTTGCATTTTGCAATCGCTGACCACTGGCCACTCAGAATGTGCTGCTCCATTAGCGGGCCTGGCAAGCTTGGTTAGACACCTTCACTGCACATAATTCCAAATGTCAAACACAATAAGGAGTGAGGTGGCCTCCCTCTGGCACAGCTTTAATTATCTTCCAAGAGAAAAATAAAAGCTTCTTTAAAGGATCAAGATGGCAGAGAAACACTAGCCAGTGTGAAGCAGAGAGGGCAATTTCCTGGAAATAGCAGAGGGCAGAAAAACAGCAGAGGGGTACCTGGAGACTGACAAACACAGGAAAGCAGCGGACACAACAGTGTGGTGTTGCAGTGACTGATACACCAGCAACATTCAGCTAACGGGCGATCTGAACTCCACCAGCAGCCGGAACTCCACCAGCAACCAGGTAGGAAGGGACGTTCACCAGTAGCTCAGCAGGGGAACCCAGAAAAGAACGGCTTGTCCTGCTGGTCTGTTAGGAGCAGAGACAGAGCAGCAGATCCCAGACAGGCAGTACAGGAACAGGGTGGATTTCACAGACCAGTCTGCCCCACTAGTGCCGCATCGGGTGCCATTTTGTTTAAGGAGGCAAAGGTTTAAAAGGACTGAGCATGCACTGGGCTGATAGTGAACTCATTCCTGGATCAGTGAACTGCAACAACATGGCATCCTACAGGTTCCACCCAAGATAGGTCCAGTTAGTCCCCAGACCTGACAGACAGCAGATCAAGAACTCTAGCAGTGCCACATCAGGCACCATTTTATATGGTGTGGCATAGGCTTTAAGACTGCAGGAACAACAGTGAGCTGTACATCTGTACATGTGCTGTGCTTGGCCAGAACTCACTGAGCTCAGTGCATTTCACTGATCCCACAGGAAAATAATACCAGCTATAGCATCGTACGGGTCGAAACAGGTCTATGTGGACCTCAGACCTAACGGCCAACAGGTTCTGGCAAGATCAACACCAACAACAACCTAACTATATAGGACACCTGATGTCTTCCTAATCCTGGGACCTGCTTGAACCAGAAATGGGAAAAAGGCTGTACAGACAATGGTGCAGCCTCGGCATGATATCACAGGAAATGGAAACTGGTGAGCCAGGGGCTGGAGCTATAGAGACCACGGTGGACATCTAACATAAGAACCCAGACCTGGAACTTGCTGGAGGGAGTGGCACAACTGACTGCAAACAAAGAGCCCTGTATCAACTGCAATCAGTAAAATCAAAGTGTAGACCCCTTGGTGACACAGCTTAGAAGCCTGCCCCAAGGAGAAGACTCGGCTAACCAGAAGCACAATGACCCAGAGCAAAATAAGAAGCAAAGGCACAATGAATATTACTGAATACTCCCCTGCAAAGGAGCAAAAGCCTTTGCCCACCTCAGAGTTAACTGAGGAAGACACTGAGAAAATGAGAGATACAGAATTCAAAACACTTGTTATAAAACCTCTTATCAGCAATGAGAAGCACATAAAGCAGGCATTCAAGGAGTATGTCATACTGGAAATGAAGCCACATGGATCTCTGTGGCCACAGAGGTGGGACCCGTGGCCCGGCCACGCTGGCATGCCACCAGCACACCTACCATTCATCTGGAGTTGTCTGATTAGGTCGTCTACATCAACGTGCAGATGGGCCTTGATAAACCTTCTGATAAATTTGTTTCGCAGGGCCTCCTGAAGGAAAACAACAAAAACCACTCTATCATTTCCCCTTATTGAATAAACTCCTTAGGTTTACTGAAAGTATCGTTACACAGGGAGAAGACACCAAGGAATCCATTGAAAAGGAGTTTTAAATATCCCAGTACATAACAAGATAATGCAATTAGAAATTTACCTTAAAAAAAAACAGTGTCAGAGCTGAAATGATCCACTGAAATGGGAAAGAAAGTGAATTTTGTAGCGACACTGGAGCACAATTTCTAATGACACTATACGGCAATCCTGACTTTACGTGAGATCTTTCTCCTTTCCTTGACATTCCCTTGGCCAAGGGTCAACTGTGAAAGGGATCATTTTATGCAAAAGCAACTAGAGCAGGGTTGCAGCAGTTACCACACCCTCTCTCCATCCTTGGACACCAAGACTCGTTTGGAGAACATACTACCCCTTTTATTTATTTGAAAGGCAGATTTTCAGAGAAAGGGGGAGAGAGGGAGAAAGAGAACTTCCACCTGCTGGTTCACTCCCCAAATGGCTTCCAACGTTGGAGCCAGGACAGCGTAAAGCCAAGAGCTTCCTCTGGGTCTCCCACATGGATGAGAGGCCCAAACACTTGGGCCATCTTCTGCTCTTCCAGGTGGTTGGCAGGGGGCTACACTGGAAGGGGAGCAGCTGGGTCTCAAGCCGTATGGCTCTCTCCTGCCACGCCACATGAGTCTGCAAGTCCTTCACACCGCTCTCCTCTAACCGTTGCTGTTTCCTGCTTGGCATCAGCAGTGAACGGTTTTATCACAGAATTCTCCAAAAGATGTACAACGTGTCACAAGCAACAGAGGAAAAGTACTGATGCCTAGAGAGGCCCCACAGCAGGACTGGGACATCAGAAAAAAATCTGGAATGTTCCATTCCTTAAAGATCATCTCTGTGTTCCCCAGAACATACAGCCTCGGTTTGCAACAGCCCTTTTCCAACACTCCATTACCAAACCCTGGACTGCTAGGTTGAGGGACTCTTATTTCTCTTCTCTCACCAGATGTTAGTCATTTGCCAGTCAAAATACAGGGGGCCTTTATGGTGCTGACGCCATTTAGCCCCGGGGAGACTCGCCTTGCCTTTCACTTGCAAGCAAGCAGGGCACGGGGCCAAGCTCGCCACCTGGTGGCACAGCCACGCTTTGCACACAGACCTCAGGCTGTAAACCCCAAGAACCACAAGCTCATTGTGAAATTTAGGAACTTAAGACATTTCAACCTATGGAAGGTCTCCAAGTGATTGAAACTTGGCTTTTGGTTTAAAAAGGTCACATTTTATTGCAGTTTCAGGGAAACACAAGATGCACATAAACATACAATATAATGACCATTTAGATGATGTTTGCCCAGACAGCATTTCTGCAGACCAAGGAGTCGGGTCAGTGCAACGAAGTGCATGGCAGTGGCTTTCACCTCCAACGTGATCATGCAGTGTTGGCACTCAGCTAAGTCTCAGCAGGTGCCCATCATCACCTCCTCAAAGCCCCAACTATTCTCCAGCTTGCCCAGGCAAAGTCTAACCACTGCCCTGACACAGAGTTAACCTAGGAGCAGGCAGACAAGAGTCGCGGAGGCAGACAGTAATGGCCACCTGAAGACCAGCGCCAAGGAGTGGGCGGGAGTGGACACCCTGCAGGGCTCAGCCTGGCTGCCAGGTCGGTGTCCACCACGGCCAGCCCACTCCTCGCAGCTATGGCTCCATGACCCCCAACAGCCTCAGAAAGGTGTTCTCCATCACAGGCCCTAACCTCCCGCTCTCCTTCCCCCCACCCCCAAGCCAGATGTGCGTTACCACATAAGCAGCTCATCCCCAGCTTCCCAGGCTCACACCTGCTCCTGCAGGGAAATTCTTGCCCGTTTACCCCCTTGGCAGCCTCATGATGCAGAGGCCATTCCTCCACCTGCCTCGTTGTTCTTCCACATGCCTGACACACCCAACTCACTATCACCCCAGGATCTTTAGGGTTTCCTCGTTCCATGGGCAGGAAACCCAAGACACCAGGACGCTCGATGACCAACTATGAACACACAGCTGGTGTGGCAGCGCTGGGATGCACACCTGGCCCACTGTCTCCTAACCCAGGTTCAGAACTTGGTGGGTAACAAGTCAGCCAGGAAAGAATGTAGATGGGGTGTGGTCTCCCCTCCCAGCAGGTGCCCAGAGCTGCACAAAGCCTAAGATTTACCAGGTGACTTGCCTGGAACAAAGTGTCACAGCCAGTAAGTGAACTGTGAAGGAATTGGAACACTTGTCTTGTCAGGATTCATTTCACAAAACAGAATATTAGAAAATGGCCATGAGGGCAGGCATTATGGCACAGTAAGAAGTCAGCATCCCATGCGAGTGTGAGCTGCTTGTGGCCCAGCTGCTCCATTCCCAATCCAGCTCCCTCCCTGCTCAAGGTCGGGGGAAGAAGTAGCAAAGACAGCCCAAGTGCTTGGCCAGCTGCCTGTGCGGGGGCCATAGCTGCCCGAGCAGGGCCCACAGCTGCCCATGCGGGGCCATAGCTGCCCGTGTGGGGCCCACAGTGGCTGCCCATGCAGGGCCGTAGCTACCCGTGGCTGCTGACTTCAGTCTAGATCAATGCCAGCCCATTTGTAGCCATTTGGAGAGTGAACCAATGGATGAAAAATTCTGTTTCTTCCCCTCTCTCCATAATTCTGACTTTCAAATAGATAAATGTTTAAGAGAAAAAAGAAAATAATAATTGATCATGATAGACCCATAATTGAAAAGTCTACAAATCATACATAAAAAGTATGGTTTCATTTAGAATTTAACAAGTCATTATCCATTCTCACAATAACACCATCTTGCATGAACAAAACCCTGATAATCATGAGATATTTCCCCTTTTCTGTCAATTTCACCAGTCTACTGTGGAAAGTCGCACCTGCCCAGGGCGTGTGGACTGGATCAGGCCTAGCAGGTGGTCCTCAGCCCTCGGGCCTTGGCAGTCACTACCCACCTGGAGCTGGTTGAACATCTGGCCATTCGTGCTTCCCTGGAACAGACTGGACATCTTCAACAGCATTTCCAATAAAATCTTTAGGTTGTCCACAAAATGAAAGGTAGAATTCGCCTGTAAAAGGAAGCACACTCAGGCCTGTCTCTTACTCAGTTGTATTGGGTTAGGCAAACACAAAACGGAAGAGCAAGGTGCCTGCCCCCAGCAGGAGTCTGCAGCTGCAGGGTGGGCTGGTGAACCCCTCACCCCTCAACAGGAAGGACCCCAGGCCCTCTCTCTCACTGTTCCTCTTGGCTCCTCCCACTTGGGACCTGCGTGCACACTTGCCTTGGCATCAGCCCACTATGTTGGGCTCAGACTCAGCAGCAGGCATGACCCGGTACACGCTGGTCAAATGCCGTAGGCCTCCCTGACACTTCCTCCTCAGAACGCGTTCTAGTCAGTGGGGCCCAACACCAGCAAGCAGAGAGGAAAATCGCACCTTTATTCACCTGCTGCTGCTGGCAGAGTACACTAGCGTAAAATGCAAAAAATCATAAAAATATTCAGTCACATGCTATTTTCTCTCAAGATAAAGACTCTATCCTGGGGCTACAGTTTAAATGAAACCAAGCTCTCCTGTGAAGACGTCTACTGCAATGTTACTGTATTTAATTCTGAGAAGGGTTTCAGGCCACGGGAACGATGGTGGAGGAGGGCCTCACAGTCCAATGACGTCTTCCTGGGGTCACGGGAGCCGACAATAGGTGACGTAGCCCAGAGAGAAACCCTAAGCCCCTAACTTCCAAATGCAAAGCCAATGGGGACAGTAAGAGGTGGGGTGCTATAAGCATGCAGATGCATTAATATTCCAATGTCTTGGGACCAGCCTTGGCACAGAATAAATGTTCAGTAAATACCAGCCATGCAGCTCAAAAAGAATCATGCAGATACGTGAAAGCTGAAGGATGATGTTATTAACATGGCCAAATCAGAAATCTAGAAAAGATTTTAAATCTGCAGATAGAGAATGTATACATATCAGTGTGTGCTTTACAGAACCATACAGATACGTACCAGTTTCTAACATTTAAGTGAACAATTTATCATATACACACACTCCCTTACCTTGCAAATGCCCTGAAATGTTTCCCACAATACACTAGTGCCCAAAACCAGAAAGTATATTCATTTACAGATGTATTTAAAATCATAAATTAACAAAATCTTGCGCAGACTTTAAAAATATATTTATTTATTTGAAAGTCCGAGTTACAGACACAGAGAGACATGGAAAGGCAGTTTTCCGTCTGCTGACTGTACTGGCCAAAGCCAACGGGCTGGGGCTGGGGCTGGGGCTTCATCCAGGTCACCCAGAGGGTGGAGGGACTCACGCACTCACACAGGGCTGCCTTTCCCAGGCCGTCGGGATGGAGCCGGACAGGAAGCGGGAGAGCTGGGACACAATCCACGTCCTGTGGGGTGCCGGCACCTGTGGGGGTGGCTTCACACACTATGCCACAATGACAGCCCCATGTACACACTGTTCAGGAAATGACTTTACAGGAAATATGTTAAACTATCAAAAAAATATTGCATCCAACCAAATCACATTCAAGTTAATTAAATAAGTATTCACTGACTATGTCACTAGGAATAAGAAAAAATACATGCGCTATTTCTCCAAATAACAAACATACATGTCCCTGGGAGTCTACTTTAAGTTACTTCATATTCACTAAAGTATTAGGATGCATAGAAACTATCTGTGGTTGATAACGTTAATTGTCTAACATTATTTTTTCAAAAATTACTTAATTTGAATACTTAAATGAACAAAACAATTTAATATTAGAAAACACAGTTATCGGGGCCAGCACTGTGGAACAGCAGGTTAAGCTGCTTCTCTGGATGGGCTCCAGTTTGTGCCCCAGCTGCTCCACTTCCCAGCCAGCTCCCTGCAAGTGCACCCTGGAAGGCAGAGGAGAATGGACCAAGTACTTGGGTCCCTGCACCCACGTGGGAGACCCAGATGAGGCCCCTGGCTCCCGTGTGGCTCGGTTCTGCCCACTGTGGCCAGCTGGGGAGTAAATCAACAGAAGGAAAATCTGTCTATCTCTGTCTCTCTCTCCACATCCCAGCCACCAACTCCGCCATTTAAATAAGTAAATAAATCCTACAAATAAAAGTAAATTAAAAGGGTGATCGATGCCTCATGGACCTGGAGGACAACAATGACAAGCACAGCACGGTGTCAGTAGAGTCCCCAAAGGAGAGCCAACAGAGGAGGACGGGAACATCAGGAGAAGCGACGGAAATTGGTGACATTCAACATCCTGCAGGCAGAGGCAGCAGCACAAACTCCACGTCGGATACACAGAGGAAATCATGCCAGGCCACACGGAAAACTGAAAACTGAGGCCAAAAGCGTCTGGGACACTGACAGCGGAAGACAGCCATTCTTTGTCTTTTGGTTTTTGTTTATTTGGAGCTTTGTTGCTGTTTTTGTTGCTTCACTACTTAAGAAACACGAAAAGCTCCCACCCTCTGGTTCTGTCCTCATCGGCCACAGATAAAACAGGAGAAAAGCACTCAATACAATTCACAGGTGTCAATACTGAATACACAGGTGTCAATATTCAATACTCAATACACAGGTGTCCGAGTCTTCACTGACGCTCCCAGAGTCTGCTCAGCACGTTGCTTGAATGGGTACAAGGACATCTTAACTGAAAACTATTCTGAGAATTGGAAATACTAAAAACTGGTCCACAGGAAGGAAAGAACAAACACAAAGGTAACAGCTGGAAAAACTCCAGATGCCTGATGATGAGCGAGCAACAGCCTACAGTCCATCCGGTCACGAAGTTACTCAGGATGGAAAGGAACGAACAGCTGATGTTTGCATACTGCAGACACGGCTCTTTTAGGATCTGGAAGTCTTCGCCCATTGCTGTGTTGCAAATCATCAAGTGAAAGTTGTTCAGACAGACACTAAGATACAAGTCCGAGCAGACAGCATCTAATTCCACAACTAGCACTGCCTGGTAAACACAACAGGACCTGAGCCTCCCCAAGCCCTTCTCCCCAGACCTGCCCAAGAGTCAGGAGAATGCTAACAGCATTTTAACCTACTTTCCTTCAGCAGAGAGGAGCTCAGGGACATGGGTTTGAGTCCTGATCCAACCCTGGCCAGTCCCAAGACCTTGAGTAAAACCCAGCTCCACTCCTTGGGCTCAGAGTGGTCAGTCCAAAAAACCTAAAGCAATACGTGCCCCATAGAGGGGCTGATGAAGCTGTCTGGCGGCTTGGTTCTTTGATTGCTACTCTTCCTGGCATGGTTGTTAACATGAGGTGCTGTAAGTTGGCTTTGGAAGACAGAATGACAGAAACTCACAGACACCCAAAGTCTGTGAAAAAAACAACATCCCACCCACCCCTCTATGCCGTCCTCAACACCCTTGGCAGCCCTGATTCTGAACGATGCCCCCACTCTCTGCATGCCCTCCAGGAGTCACTGACAGTGGTGGAGCAGAAACCCAGGCCGAAATGAATGACAACTGACACAAGACATTGTCAGCAACCCAACGCACGCGGCACCTCTGCCTTGCCTTGTGAAGCTTGGCTTGCCAGCGTTGCAAGTGGGACTTACCTTTTGGATGACCTGGTGAATCTCGGGGGTGTTGGGCGTGTACAGGATTTTTCCGTGGAGGACGGGTTTCAGGAAGGACCACACCAGGGCACCATTTGGAGACTGCAAGATCTCCTGATACAGCTTCAAGCAAAATGGAGCTGTTGCCATTGAAAAGGAAACAAAGGTTACGGGGGACATATACTCACACAGCCACCCTGCCCCATCGTTCAGGGACTGTTTCACTTTTTGTGACCAACACTGACTTAGAAAGTCAGCTAGCACAGTGCATTGGGCTCACACTGCCTTGTTCCCTCCAATGACTTCACAGAAAGAAAAGTGCGACCCTCGTGTTCACAGAGTCATTTGGCAATAAGGACGCAAAACGACGACAAAGACTCAAAAATGTTAGAGTAATCATAATGAAATAATAAATAAAATAAAACAGCCTTCTGGAGAACGCTTCCATTTCAACAGTCACTGAGCCTGAGCTGGAGGCGCCTCTCCAAGTTGCTACTGAGTTTTCTCTGATGCGCCTACATGGAACCACCAAGCTTGCTACTTCAGATATAGTCAGTTGTCCAACTTGCACTCAGATGACTCATGGTGACTCTTAGTACCATTCAGTGCCTCTCAGTTTCAACTAGGAATTTACTTAAATGGTCTAACTCAATAGGAATTTGATAAAGGTAGAGATTTCATCATCACAGCGGTTAGTAATCAGATATTATAATGTTTTAAACTAAGGACAAATATTTTACTGCAACTTTCATTTATCTGTAATAGTTTTGCTTTGACAATGATTCCTAACATCCAAGATATGAAGAACTGTAACCCTGTGATGAATTTTGCTTCACTTCCCCCAGTTCTCCACACTCACACACACACTCACACACACAAATTCTTTTTATTTGAACTACAAAAATACTTCAAGAAGCTTATGAAAACAGAATTAGAAGATAAGCTTGGGCTGGGCATTGGGCCTAGTGGTCTAAACGCCTATACTCCCCAGCAAGAGGCTGGGTTTTACTCCAACTCCAACCTGTGCCAAGCTTTCCACTGGTGTGGGACCTTGCAACAGCAAGCAGGGATGATGGCTTGGGTGACCGGATCGCTGCTCCCTCACGGAGCACCTGAATTGCATTCCTGACTCTTCCTCCATCCCTCCATCCAAAATACAAAAAATCAAAGCACAACTGAGTCTTGGTGCCAAAAATCTGAAATTCAGACCAGATGTTTCACTCAGTATATGTCCATCATCAAAGTTCCTGGCTCTAGTTCCTGAATAACCCCATGCTAATGTGAAGAGAAGGAGAGAGCAGTGATGACATCTCTCACATGGGAGACATACACTGAGATCCCATGGCCCAGCTCCTCCCTCAGGCACTGTGTGTGTGTGTGTGTGTGTGTGTGTCTCCCATGGCTCAGCTCCTCCCTCAGGCACTGTGTGTGTGTGTGTGTGTGTGTGTCTCCCATGGCTCAGCTCCTCCCTCAGGCACTGAGTGTGTGTATGTGTGTGTGTGCGTGTCTCCCCCATGGCTCAGCTCCTCCCTCCAGGCACTGTGTATGTGTGTCTGTGTGTCTCTCTCATGGCTCAGCTCCTCCCTCAGGCACTGTGTGTGTGTGTGTGTGTGTGTGTGTGTGTGTGTGTGTGTGGCTTCCATGGCCCAGCTCCTCCCTCAGGCACTGTGTGTGTGTGTGTGTGTGTGTGTGTGTGTGTGTGTGTGTGTGTCTCTCATGGCTCAGCTCCTCCCCTCCAGGCACTGTGTATGTGTGTGTATGTGTCTCTCTCATGGCTCAGCTCCTCCCTCAGGCACTGTGTGTGTGTGTGTGTGTGTGTGTGTGGCTTCCATGGCCCAGCTCCTCCCTCAGGCACTGTGTGTGTATGTGTGTGTGTCTCTCTCATGGCTCAGCTCCTCCCTCAGGCACTGTGTGTGTGTGTGTGTGTGTGTGTGTGTGTGTGGCTTCCATGGCCCAGCTCCTCCCTCAGGCACTGTGTGTGTATGTGTGTGTGTCTCTCTCATGGCTCAGCTCCTCCCTCAGGCACTGTGTGTGTGTGTGTGTGTGTGTGTGTGTGGCTTCCATGGCCCAGCTCCTCCCTCAGGCACTGTGTGTGTGTGTGTGTGTGTGTGTGTGTGTGTGTGTGGCTTCCATGGCCCAGCTCCTCCCTCCAGGCACTGAGTGTGTGTGTGTGTGTGTGTGTGTGTGGTTCCCATGGCCCAGCTCCTCCCTCCAGGCACTGAGTGTGTGTGTGTGTGTGTGTGTGTGTGTGTGTGAATCTCTCTCAACTTCTCTCTGTAAAAATTGAAACTTCAAGACCCAGCTTCAAAATGCTTGTAGAAAATGTGCATTATGAAAAAACTACACATTACCAATTTTCCCATAAAAATACACTTATCTCTCAATGCCATATTTTCATGGACCTTTTGAAGTATCCTCATACAATAAAATTAATACAAATAATCCTGTAAATAAAAGCATAACTATATAAGAACATTTTAAAGCACTGATTATAGAGGTTGCTCTAATATTTTAAAAACTCTCTAAATTGCAAGCTTAATATGGAAAGCAGTAATTTTTATTCCAGAAAAGACAATCATTGCATGAAGAAAAAAGAATTGCTTTAATTTTTCTCCATGTATTAAATTATTTGTTTATTTGAAAGGCAAGAGAGAGACAGACAGATCTTCCCATGTTCATAATGGCAAGGGTTGGGCCAGACCAAACCCAGTAGGCCAGGATCCAGCACAGGTCTTCCATGCAAGTGGCAGAGCCTGAGGGCTTGAGACATCTCCTGCCACCTTCCAGGGCACACAACAGCAGGACGCAGGTCCCGGGCACTCCCATCTGGGCCGCAGGCTTCCCGAGCAGTGTCCTGCTGCCCCGGGCGTCCACCCCAGTAAGGGAAATCTGGAACTTGGATTCCTGACATCTCCCTCTCCTGAGCTGTGTGTACTCAGACAAGTAACTTACTATCACTTCCTCTGGAAAATCATGGCCAGCATGACGGCCATTTGAAATAAATGCATGCAAGGGGCCATCCCAGCTTGGTCTTCACCAGTAGCTGAATGAATAGACAGCCAGGCGGATGGACAGGCAGTGTGGGCAGATGTGTGGGAGAGTGGTGGGCAGAAGTGTTAGCAGATTACCCACATAAACCAGCAGCTCTCAAGACAGTCAAAGGCACAGAGAAAGAGGGAGAGACGGAGGAAATGAGTAAAAGTGAATCAGGCCATCAAATCTTCCTGAAAGCTGACAGGTGTTCAGTTTCTGCATCAGCTGATACCGTGAAGACACTGCTGCCTCGCCTCTCACCAGCAGCAGCTAGGGATGGCTCCATGTCGCTCCTGCTCCCAGCACCTCCACTACCTCCACTACTCTTCCTGACAATCCTGGCAGAGTGCGGCTGCTCCTATGTCCCAGATGAGACTGTACGGCCCCAGGAACCTCGCAAGCAAAAGTATGCAACCTGTTATCTGTGGGGCCAATGTGTCTGAAGCCAAGGGGTCACTCGCGGCTGGGGTCATCTGTAGCTAAAGCTCACATGAGACCATGCTCAAGTGCCCTGTGTCCAGCAAGACAGCCAGGAATGGTGAGTGTGGCCTGTGCCTGGGCACCAGCCTGCCAATGAGACCCTAGGTGCAGGTGCAGTATATACTCAGACCCACTCCTCAGTGACACAGGAGAGACACAGCCCGCAGCCACTGAGGTCTGCCAAGCCAACTGCCAGCGAGCACTGGTGACTACTCTGAAATCAAAGATATCTACACAGAATGTTTAGTATAAAGAGAGGCCAGTGAGCAATACACGTAAATATGAATAACTATTGTCTTACTTGAATCTTCAGGAATGTTGAATTTTTCCTTGTCTTCCTCCAAAAGCTCATTAACTCTGGGCAAATTAATGAACGTGTTCGAGTCGCTGAGAAAAGGTGCTTGGTCCTTGCAGACCATCTTCATCACAGACTGGAAAGCACCGTAGGCTGAATCTCTGACCTGGCCACTCAGTGGAGCCTAGGCACATAAAGACATCATTCAAAGCAATTCCCTGCCTACACCCCCGGAAGGGCCTTCCTTTGGTTGCACACACAAACCTTCCACAAAGTCGCAGAACGGAAGCTTTGGAATCCCATTCAGTTTGCTATCGTGTTTCTTCTGGTCAACGTGCCAAAAAGAAAAGCAAAATGCCATGCCCCTGCACACCTGCACATGTGCATACGGCGTACTCACACGAGACAGGCAGGATTTACATGTATACACGCACACACGTGTGCACTATACACATGCATGTGTGTGCATGCAACGTGTGTACCTACACAGGTGCACATGTGTGCAGACACCCACATGCAGATACCACACACAGACACACATTCACACACCAGCAAGTCCTTGACGTTTCTTCAGTAACAAATCATTAACCCACTAAACAGCAGAACGCAGACCAATTCCTAGACTTTCGCGTGTCCTTGCCTCTGGCCACCTAGTGTGTCAGAGCTCTCCAAGCGTGCTCAGCAGCTCCGAGGCCGACTCTGCAGCTCCTCCCTGCACTCTACGGTAACCCGGTGGGCTCCTCCCCGGGCAATCCCATCCCAGTCAAGGAGAGTTCATGCACAAATGGATATCAAGCTGCTAACCTCATTCAGGTTTGTGTTTGCACTTTCAGCAAATGATCTGTAATTTGTAAACCAATTATTTATATGTAAATAAATGTTTTTAAGGTTCTTGAAAGCAATTTGCTCTGCAAATGAAGTTAAACAGGCCCTTGAAAACTCCTCTGTACTAATAACTGTGCTGGTGGTTTCCACACCACAGACTGCCTGCCCTCCATGTGGGCAGGACGTGGGACCACTCTTCTGTCACACTGCCAGTGAAAAGTGACACCGGATGAGGCCTCTTCGTCCCAGCACCTCCAGAGACGACCAAAGCCATCCAGACTGCAACGTGCTACTGTCTGATGCAAATTCAGATATTCACAGAGAAAAGCCAACAGGAACAAATGCAAGGGAAAAGTCAAACACTCCCCAGGGGCGAGGAGGAGCCACGCACCTGCTGCAAGCTCGACGTGTCCAGCCAGGCGTCGATGCTCAGGCTGTGAAGAAAGGAAGGAAGGTGCGGAAGGACATGCTGAGCTCTGTGCATCAAGGAGCTGAGGCTGGACACCACGTCCAGCAGGGAGTAGAGCAAGCCCCTGGCTTGAGGCGGCATCAGAGCCTACGGGACAGGAGCACGACGTGAGACCCTCGCCCCTGCACCCTGACTCCCACAGGCGTCCTCCGGGAGGGAAAGCCTGGTAGCAGATGTGACAGGTCTGATTCTTCCCATCTCCGTGCCCTCCTTGAGGAAGAACATCTATCAGAACAGATGCAGCTCAGTGTCTCTGAATCACATTAAATTTCATCAATAACAACAAAATGTAGGCCAGAACAAGTGTGTCCTACTGTTAACATCTAAATAATTCCTGGGATATTTCTTTATATCCTTGGATGTGATCCACAAGGAAAGCTGAGACTCACATCGACCGGCTGACTTGCCGTCCTCACAGCACACACGTCAGTCCAGGCCTTGCGGAGCCTGGGAGCGCAGTGCCTGCTCCATGCACGGGCAGCTTGGTGAGCTCACGGCCTTCCTGAGGCCTCCGTTAGAAGGCCACGCCTGCCTCCTTACAGGAGTCCTTCAAATCCCACCATGTGCCATGCCCGGGCACACCAGGCATTGTTGGCATTGTTCGTGGGTTCAGGAATGTGAACTGCACAGAGCCAGGGGTTTTGCCCTCATTGATCGTCCTGCGGCTGCTAGGCACAGGGCAGCACCTGGCACTGATGCTGGCACAGAACTGGCTGGATGGTGGGTAAGCTTGCCAATGCCCTGTCTTTCCATGGGGTGGGGAAACGCAGGCAATCCCCACCTCTGTATGTGTCATTTACAGACCGAATCTTCAGTTTCTGTGGCTGGAGCAGAGGACCGGGCTGCCACTGTTACGTTACACACTGGGGTTCTGCTCTCACTGCCTGCCTGCTGGCTCCATGGCTGACCTGTGGGGCCCCGAGATCACAGCTCCCCCTCCGCAGCCAACACTCTGCCAACAGGACACGGCTCTGTCCCTTAGGACAAAGGGACAGCTCACACAGAAGTGGCCTGTAGCTTTGTTGGTTTTTCTATTCAATTACAGCTGCTTTCTAGAGACAACAACAACAGCAAGCCCTGGCATGTGGTACTGACAGGGACACACGCAAAGGAACATCTGAAATGGCATCTTGCCAGGGCTGGCAGAAGGCATCAGAAGGCACGAGGCCATAGAGCTGAAGTGCTACCTACATGGATTCATGGACCTGCCCTCCATCTGAGCAGCATCACACACCATTCCCCTTTCACAGAGACATACCCTGGGCACAGTCCGACCAGCAGCAGCTGTGTTATTCACCCTGGCATCATTTTCACTGTGCCACATGATGAAATGGATGCTAAAACACTGGCTCACCAGCAGAGCCATGCCCACTACCCAGCAGGCCCAGTGTCACCTTGGGCAGGGGGGCTGTGGTGAGCAAACACAGAACTGAGCCTTGCAGCAAGATGGCCCCAAGACTGCTCCATCAAGGTAAAGATGAGTTTGCAAGTGATGGGGACACTCAGAAACATGTTCACCTTCCCCTCTTAGCACTTGAATGCTGCTCATCCTGGAAATTCACACTTTGTGCTTAGAATGATGGTGTGTGTGCCAACATTCAGCCCGGGAGTCTCAGAAGCCGAGGACAGCAGGAAGGGCAGCAGGAAGGGCAGCTCCGACCTCGCCTGAGGAAGCCCTAAGCAGCCCATTTGGCAAGATGCATGCATGTCCCTGAGGGGAAACACAGGACTGATGGCCAAGGGTGGGAGGGAGGTTTCTGCAAGCAGTCGGGATTTGATCAGCGGGGCCCAGAAGGGGAAGCCTCTGGAAGAGGCAGCCTGAGAGCTTGAGCCCAAGGCTGGGAACTAGGTCGCCCATGGAGGGCGGGGTCTACCAGCGTTGGGCTGGGATTTCCACGCTCTAGTCACCATGCACTTGAGCTCTTTCCCACAAGGAGCACCTCTCACACTTCCCCCCGCCTCTTCCAAAGTGGTGGAGTGTGCCGGGCACAGGTAGGAGCTGGCACACACAGGCTGGGGCTTCCCCTACTGCTCACCGCTCTCCCTTCCCTTCAGAGGCCAGGGGAGAAGGCCCCGGCCACAGAGGGGTGGGGGCGACACCCTGCTTGGCAGGCCTCACCCCACATACCCCAGGAAGGAGGTTCCTGACGAGGGGGTCGTGGCATGATTTTCTAGTGGTCCCCCCTCTGTGTTCAGCCCACAGACCACCATGCCAAATGCCCCGAGCTTTGCTCCTCCACACCCTCCGGGACCACCATGCCAAATGCCCCGAGCTTTGCTCCTCCACACCCTCCGGGACCACCATGCCAAATGCCCCGAGCTTTGCTCCTCCACACCCTCCGGGACCACCATGCCAAATGCCCCGAGCTTTGCTCCTCCACACCCTCCGGGACCACCATGCCAAATGCCCCGAGCTTTGCTCCTCCACACCTTTGCGAAGGTGCTGCACGGCCCTTCATTCCAGTGACGCCTGGGGCCAAGGGACACTAGAGGTCGCCAAGGATCTCCTACTCTTGTACTCAGCACCAGGCCCTCCACAGTCACAGCGTTCACGCCTCCAGACTCAACCAACTCAGCCTGGTCCTTGTCACTCTTCCCCACGTAATGCAACATCACAACTACACAGAGAGAGCTTACACAGCAAGAGGTGTCATGTAAGGATGGCAAGGGCAGGGTTTCTGGGATTGCCGTGGCGGCCCGAGTGGCTCGGGGGTCCTGCCCCAGGACCTGGCCACTTCCCCAGGGCATGACCCTTAGACCCCAGCAGCCAGTCTGCTTACTTTGAAGATGAAACGCCTGAGGTCCAGGTTCCGTCCCACGGATACCAGCAGAGGATACACCCGCGACCCGGGCAGGCCACACAGCTCCTGGGTTGCAAGCCGAGATTTGTCATCTGCAGGGAGCGTCAGCAAGAGGGACAGGCCTTCCTCCTCACACTCACCAGCCAGGGCCACAGCGAGGACACTCCAGAGACTCTGTCAGAACAGGAGGACCCAGTGAACACTACTGCCCACCCAGGCACCCCTGGGGGCCCTGAGCCTCACCTGCCCACCCAGGCACCCCTGGGGGCCCTGAGCTTCACCTGCCCACCCAGGCACCCCTGGGGGTCCTGAGCCACACATGCCCACCCAGGCACCCCTGGGGGCCCTGAGCCTCACCTACCACCCAGGCACCCCTGGGGACTCTGAGCCTCACCTACCACCCAGGCACCCCTGGGGGCCCTGAGTCTCACCTACCACCCAGGCACCCCTGGGGTTCCTGAGCCACACCTGCCCACCCAGGCACCCCCTGGGGGCCCTGAGCCTCACCTGCCCACCCAGGCACCCCCTGGGGGCCCTGAGCTTCACCTGCCCCCCCAGGCACCCATGGGGGCCCTGAGTCTCACCTGCCCACCCAGGCACCCCCTGGGGGCCCTGAGCCTCACCTACCACCCAGGCACCCCTGGGGGCCCTGAGCCTCACCTGCCCACCTAGGCACCCCTGGGGGCCCTGAGCCTCACCTACCACCCAGGCTCAGCTCCCACCTCCTGAAGAATACTGCTTAGGAGTCTGCACCCGGTTACTAACATGTCATGAAACTGGCCCTGGATGAGATGCCAGCCCATGACACTCTCTCTCTCTCTCTCTCTCTCTCTCTCTCACACACACACACACACACACACACAGATTCATTTTAAAGAACTGACTCACTCAGGCAATTGCAGGGGGTGACAAGCAGCCTAGGGACCTAGGGAGGGAGGAGCTGACAGGGCATTGAAAGGCAGAACCCCCATTTCCTTACGGGGCCTCTTAGTGTGACGAAGCTGGGTCACACTAAGGAGGTGCCTGCTCTGCACACCCACTGCTATCAGCGTCAACATCAGCAGGGACAATCATCATGGGGACATCGAGGCAGGGCTTGGCCGAGCATCTCAGGGCGTATCTCCGGGCTCCCCAGGGCTCAGAATCTGGTCCCGGGGTGTTACACATGGAGAACCCCATGCCCGTGAGTGCAATCTCCACAATCAGAAACCACTAGCATGGCTGCCCACCTGCTGCCCCATCCCCCCAGCCTGCTGTTCCCATTCCCTCAAGCCTGTGTCTCCCTGGATTACAGCCTGCTGTCCCCAATTCCAACCCCCTCCCCCAGGCTGCAGCCCCACCCCCAGCCTGTGGTGCTCCAGATTCCACTGATCTTCGGAAAACCTGACTGTGCCCCTTCCTCCTGCCCAAAGAGCGCCCAGAGCTGGAAGTGAGGATGGGGCGCAGGGTGAGGAACAAGCAGAAAAGGTGCTGAGCTGCACTTGGGGCTAATACCAACTGTGCCTGCTCTTCAAGGCAGCACAGGCATGTCAGCTGGGGCTCTGCAGCAAATCCCCAGAACTAGGAGAAACACAGAGGCCAAGTTCAGGATCTTTCCAAGAGTCCTGGGCCAAGGATCTCCCATCCCTGAGAACCCAGCACACACACTCGGTCACTCGAGAACGACTGGGGTGCTGAGCTAAGTACCTACACAGAGCCCTGCACACACACTCGGCCACTCGAGAGTGCCCAGGGTGCCCTCGGGCCGTATTCCCGTGCCCCCTTTCCTTGCAGCAGCCGCAGGGCAGCACTCGGCCTTCTCGTCTTGGGGAAGTCACAGAGAAACCGCAAACCACCTCAGTTTACTTGTTTTGTTTTTGTTTTTTAAGATTTATTTTTATTGGGAAGTCAAATCTACAGAGAGAAGGCCTGCAGGCTCTCTCCCCAAGTGACAACAATGGCCAGAGTTGAGCTGATCTGAAGCCAGGAGCGTCTTCCATGTCTCCCACACTAGTGCAGGGTCCCAAGGCTTTGGGCCGTCCTCTACTGCTTTCCCAGGCCACAAGCAGAGGGCTTGATGGGAAGTGGAGCATCTGGGATATGAACTGGCACCCATATGGGATCCTGGGCATGCAAGAAGAGGATTTAGCCACTAGGCTATCATGTCAGGCCCTCAGCTTACTTTTCAAAAGCATATTTTGGAAGACAACAACAACCCTGGGGGAATCCAGATCGTGGGGTTGCCAGTGGAACCAGCCACAGATGAGGCAGGGACACCAGACCAGATGAACCCCTGCTGTCACTTCCTCTCAGAGTTCAGGATGACCTGCCCCTGGAAGGAGCTCTCTGCACACATGCTCCCCTTCCTCCTCAAGAAGGACAGAGTGGAGAGGAGGGAAAGGGAGAAGGCAGGCAGGCTCTAGCAAGTGTGCCTGGCATCCCAGCACTAAGTAGTGTTCTCTGCAGACTGCCAATAGCTTGCACTAAGAATTCCAGGTGATAAAACTGCAAACCAACCATGAAGCCACAATAGAGAATCCCAAGGAGAATGACAATGAGGGTCCAGCCAACCCAGTGTGCTGCCAACTTGACCATCCAGAAAACACCAAAGCCCAGAGTGCCAGCCCCTAGGCAGCACAAACCCTGCTGGAACTATAGTATGAACAAACGTGTGGCTCTGTGCTCAGCGCCAAATGCTGCACTGTGCATTTCAACAGCGATATTGCAGTGTTTAAAAATAGCCTTCTCCATGGCCTCACTGCCCAGCTATGTAGGTGACTACGGCGGTTTATGCTGCCAAAGGCACAGTGAAGACACAGACGGGAACACGCAGGCCTGCAAGGGGAGCATGACGTCAGACTGCAAGTCCACTCGGAACACAGAGCACCAGTGACACCCAGAGGCAGCTCGCTGACCAGGCAGCGACCACCAGCCACTGGGGCACTCAACACAGGAGGAAAGGGACAAGGAAGTGAGCTGGCCCCACCCTTCTCAGAGCAGCCCACAGCCTGTCAGATTAACCCAATCCCCACTCGGTTTCCCTGTTACCTAAAGATTCCGAAGCCTTTACAAGCTGCATGCGGGTATGTGGGAGAAATCTCACGTCTCCCTGATCCCCACAACCAGCACTCTGTGCACGCCAGTGTTCAGCAAGCTGAACTCGACATCTTACCCTAAGTAGCTCAGTGTTACTGCCACTTGGGTTCCCAGCTTTTGGTCTACTCCTTTCTTGATCCGATCAATTCGTCTCTCAAGCTTGTATGTGTGTCAACTGAAACGTTCCCATGTGGGCCAGTCTCAAACTTGCCACTTCCAGGAAGCTCCAGTACAGGAAGTGCCGAAAGTGCATCCCAGGAACCACCTGCTAGGGTCCCCTTTGCGTTATCTCTTGCCACTGTGCAGCTTTCCTGTCCCCTCATCCATGGGTGAACCAAAGCCTCCCGCGTGGGCTAGTCCACTCTTTGAACTACAAGAGCGCAGGTCTGCTGGTTCACTCCCCTAGTGGAGCCACTGTGGTTCATGCTACCCTCTGTCCAGTGTCCTCGGCCCTCACCCCTTTTGGAGTGGACACAGCCTCTCATTATGTATCTGCTTTCACAATAAGCTACCTGGAGCACAGTCAGGCTCAGCAGTCACTCCCCCACTTGGCAGAAATCAAGGCTGATTCCGTCACGGTTGGCTGGGTTTGCCTTTGCAGCATTCTACACCACCTGCTGAACTCCATGATGTCACAGACTGGGGTCAAGAGTCACTGGAATAAATATCATGTGTTTATGTTATCCTTTTTAACCCCAAATGAAGGCAACTTGATAACTTTGAAGAACCTGACACTCCTGGCCTGAGTGAGGCTGTGACATCCTTTGACTTCCCGCCTCGCATGATCTCACTGGCACAGAACCCCTTCCGTGGCCCAAGAGCAGGCAGGGGAGAGGAAGAGGACCACAGGGACACCAACAGCTTCAGGCTGAAGGCGCCCAGGGCCAGCACAGCGCCTGAGCAGCAGCACCTGTACCTTGGGGTGCGACATGTTTGCTTCCAGGATGCTCTCAATGGTTTCACTAGAGATGTGAGCAGAAGACCGAAGCTCTTCAGTTAACCTGGAGACATTGCTTATCAAATCTTTGATCTGCACATCTGGAAAATGAGGGAAGAGAGAGTGCTCTTGAATGCTGTTGTGCTGTGAAAACAGAACTTGATGCTACAACCTGGCAGATAGCCAGCCCATCATAAACTAGGGTTTCATGAACCCTATGAAGCAGCCATGAAATGGGATTCCATTTGCTCCTTGAGAACTCAGACAATCTACCCTCCAGCTAAAATAAAAGCCTACATTTGTGACTTTTCATTTAGGAGTGTATTTATTGAAAAGCACAGTTACAGAGTGAGACAGAAACAGAGTGCTCCTATCCACTGGTCTACTTCCAGGGTGACTGCGGCAGCCGGGCCTGTGCCAGATCAGTCAGGAGCTTCATCCAGGTCACCCATGCTGGTGCAGGGGGCCAAGAACTTGGTACATCTTCTCCCACTTTCCCAGGCTTGCTAGCAGGAGCTGGATGCCAAGGGGAGCAGCCAGGAGCAGCCAGGATTCAGGCCGGCACCCATGTGGGATGCAGACATGACAGGCAGTAGCTCTACTTGACACAGCACAACACCAGCCTCAAGTTTACTTCTGGAAGAACTTTTCCTTCAGGAACACCCACATGCCAGAGGAAACTCCCTTCTCTGCACAAATTTTCTCTGGCTTTGTAAACAAAGGGAGTCCCACTGAAGCACTTGGCCAGAATTCTTCAGACTTGGTGTACTGATGCTATGGAGGTTTCATGAATGCTATGTGCAGCACAAGCAAGGAAACAGGAACCCACACGCCAGCCACCTTGACCAGGCAGGCGGGCCAAGGCCAACCCCAGGCCACAGGAGTGCCTCCTTCCTCTGCTTGGTTTTCGGACTTCCCTTAGAAACCTGAATGTGTCAGACCAGACGAGTTCTGAATTGTGATTTATCACATACAGCACAATGTTTCCTCTATGAATTTTATTTTAACAACATATCTGTGTGAAAAACCTAAGCTGATTTTTTTATCCTGCAAACTTGGAGAACCAAACACTTACCCTTGGACACTGCAAAATTGCTGAGAAAAGTCACAACAGGATACCGTGACAGCCAGGACCCTGCGAGGCTTTGGGCCAACCTAAAACAGCAGAAAAGTAAAGCTGAACTGGGCGAGACAAAGCCAAGGTGGCAGTGAGCAGTGCTGCCTCGTGCTTGGGAGGAGAGCTGCGTGTGAGACCACAGGCCACAGAGCCCCTGCCAACACCATCGCTGTGCGGGCCCCTTCTTGGAGCCTTCCTGGAGCCCCTGCCACGCACAAGGAACTGGTGATAAGGACGCTCAGTACGCAGCCTCTCACTGATGCAGAAAAAAAAAACAGAAACAGAGCTGCCCTGGAGCAGAAAGGACTCGGCGCAGTAACACTCAGACCAACGCCCCTCTATCTGGACCAACGCCCCAACAAGGACAACCTACAGCCAATGTTGTCACATCTGCCACTGGAAAACCCAGTCATAGAAAATCCTGATGTCATTTAGAAATTGTACATACACACGCACATTAATGGCACATGGTACAGACTGTTGTCTGAAAGTCATAATTCAAATCCACTGGGATGACAGTCCTGGCACACAGGCTGCCCCACCATGGGCACCTACCTGTGCACATGCTGCTGGACGGTGTCCAGCCCTGGCTGGCAGGCGCAGTCCTGCTCGGTGGCATTTTCCAAGTGGCTCTTGAAGCTTTCCAAGGCACTGGACAGGTTCCTGGCAAGGCTCTCACAGCTCAGCTGAGTGGGTGAAGACCACAGCTTCTCAAACTCCTACAAAGCAGAGCAACGACAGCCGAGGATGGAGACACTCTATGAGCACGCACCCTCAGCAGGAATTACAAACGTTATTACTTTGGCAATTTATTTTACACATTTTCTGGCAGGAGGGAACAGTCATGCAGGAACCCTTGCTTGGGAATCAGAGTCCAGGTTCTATTCTTTGTTCTGCCACTCACCAGCTGGATCATGGCAGAGTGAGCAGCACCCTGCAAAGGAAGCTAGCACTGCCTCCCTGAAGATCAGCCTCAGGAAGTGCAATTCAATGAAGACAAAACCTGTTAAAGGGCAAGGGCCTGAACCTCCCTCCAAGCAGCAGGAAGTGCCAGGGAGCGGCAGGTGGTGTCACTGCCACAAGTGGTCCTCCTGGCAGAGATGCTGGACCCGCCCAGGAGCAGCCTGGCACAGGGGTATCTGTGCCCACGGGCTCTGGAGGAAGTGAGCGGCTCAGGCAGGTTCCCTCATCCCAGCCTGCGGCAGGCTCCAGGCAAAGTGGGCACCTCTCCTTTCCTCACATGGTCTCCTCTGCCCACTCTGCCCTTGGACACCCAGATGTCTCCAGCTTCCCTCCCTCACCGCCCCAAGACACAGGGACACAGCCCCCATTCATTGTCCGGCTATAATGCCAGGCAAGCAGGAAGGCAGCATGACCACAGGCCATGCATCTGTAGAATGGAGCAGTGTCCTGGCCAGCCCCAAGGCTGCCATCTGCCCACTCCTAACGGTGCACCAAGAAGCACTTCAGGCCAGAGAACCTGGCACAGTGTTGGAATGCCTCCCAGGCCTTGTACTGGCCTTCCTGCACAGAGTCCCCACCATGTCACACAGTGTGAATGTGACAACCAGACCAGAGTGGGCGGCTGTACATCAGTGGCCCCGTGGAGGCTGCCTCACTCCTGATTCCACTAGCTGAATAAACCCCTTCTCGCTGAGCTCTGCCCGTGGAGAGGATGCTCTGGTTTATGGCTTGTAATTATGTGCAAATGAAATTTAATCCAAGGCTTTTAGAAGATTCCTGCTGTGCTGTTATCCTAAGCTGCACAGAATCACCATTTTGCACGGCCAGGGTCTTAAGCAGGAAAGTGCACTTTCCCTCCCTCCCCTCCTGACTGGCCAGGTCCCCCGGGAGCTGAGCCCCGGCTTTCCTCTGCCAGGCTCTGCGCTACGCTGCTGCGTTTCAGGATCTGGATGGCCAAGTATGCAGGCTGCAGATTTGGGGTGCGGGAAGCCCCCAGTGCATCCTGAAGCTGTGGTCACAGTTCCCATCAGCGTGTTCCACCTGTGCTGAGACTTGCTGGCCGTCCAGCCACCTCTTTGGATGTCCGATTGCGGACCCCTTTCAGCTACACCCTGCCACTTTCCACTGGGACAGAGGGAAGAAGGCAAGCAGTTGACATCCCGGGCCAAGCCCAACATCACATGAGTTCAGTCAGTGGACTCTTTCCATGGCAGTGGGACCGAGAAAATGATGTGTCAGAAGGTACAAATACTGAAAAGCCACGGGAAGTCTGTGTTGGTACTGAGAACAGGGTGTGTCAGAAGGTTCTAGAACTAGCTCAGCTCCTGTCTGTCTGAATTGGGCACAGAAACTTCAGAGCTCACTGAGTGGAAGATGTTAACAGTGCCTTGTGCCTCAGACCTTCAAACCACAGCCGCATACTAAAAGCTGCACACCCTGTCTTTGGCAATGTTCTTCTTGTCACCAAGGTCGGGAACTTACTCCTTATCGAAAGGGGACAGCCAGAACTGCTGCCAATCATCCTAATTCGAACCATGAATACAGTCTTTGAGCCAGTTCTCAAGCTTCTAGCACTCAAACAATTGTGCAGTTGCTGCTGTTGCAGTTTTCATTTTATCCACACTTAGTGCAAGTGGTGTAGCCCTTAGCCAAGAAGCTAGCACAGAAGCATTTCCAGTTTCAGCCGCTTTTTAGACCATGGCTAATGACACGTGCTGCAGAGGGGATCCAGGGCAGGCTCCTCTCACACACAGAGCCCCGAGGTACTGGACACAATAGCTGCTGCACACCTGCGCTTCCACAGTGACTTGTCACGTGCAATCAGAGTAAGCTTTTCACATGTGGGGTCTTCCTGGGTTGGACAGTCTAGGACTTTGGACGTGGGGTTCAGGGTGCTTGTGCCTGACGAAGACCAGCACAATCTAGAAACAAGAAACTAATGGTCCTGGCACATCAAGTGGCCACTGCAAACTGAGGAGCTGCACGTGTGGTGATGTCGTGGATTCCTCAGAGCCTCCACCCACTGGGCTACTCCTCCTCAGAGCCTCCACCCACTGGGCTACTCCTCCTCAGAGCCTCCACCCTCTGGGCTACTCCTTCTCAGAGCCTCCACCCACTGGGCTACTCCTCCTCAGAGCCTCCACCCTCTGGGCTACTCCTCCTCAGAGCCTCCACCCACTGGGCTACTCCTCCTCAGAGCCTCCACCCTCTGGGCTACTCCTTCTCAGAGCCTCCACCCACTGGGCTACTCCTCCTCAGAGCCTCCACCCTCTGGGCTACTCCTTCTCAGAGCCTCCACCCACTGGGCTACTCCTCCTCAGAGCCTCCACCCTCTGGGCTACTCCTCCTCAGAGCCTCCACCCACTGGGCTACTCCTCCTCAGAGCCTCCACCCTCTGGGCTACTCCTCCTCAGAGCCTCCACCCTCTGGGCTACTCCTCTCAGAGCCTCCACCCACTGGGCTACTCCTCCTCAGAGCCTCCACCCACTGGGCTATTCCTCCTCAGAGCCTCCACCCTCTGGGCTACTCCTCCAAAGGCCCAAGAGGCAGCACTGGGCCCCTCTCTCCCTCCCTTCTCACCCCCACCAACACCGCAGGCAGGCCTTTCGCCTCCCCCGGCCTCACTTGTCGTTGTTGTCTGTGACACATGGTGGGCAGAGTCACCACAGACAAAATCAACAAAGGACACTGAGGCCAGGTGTGGAAGAACAACAGGTGCTCATCCCAGGGCTGGGGAAGCGTCACTGCCGTCAGGCCTCTGGAGTGGGCTGCGGCTGCTGCAAGTCCTGGCTGATGAAGAGGCCAGGTTACGGCCATCATATTCGATTTATCACCAGCTGAGAACTTCCCCACGTGGGGCCTGCCAGACCACCTGTCTGAATCACCAAAGCCAGCTATCACCTCTTGGTGTTTGCTGGTGGACTGGGTTGGATGGAGCCAGGCATGGGATGGAAACTTTATAAACGAGCCTTCCAGAATGAAAATTAGTTGTGGCAAACGCCAGTTTCCTAGGTGCGAGTGCTCCCTTGAGGACTCACTCAAGCTGCCACCGTGATGTCACCAAATGTCAAATTGGGAAGAGCTACACATTTGTACACAGTTACTCAGCATCTCCAACACACATACAACACGTAAAGCAGTCCCGGGGGGACACATCACATAAAATGAGGGAAAATAGGAAACCAGGATGCTTGAGTGTTTAATCCCCTCAGTTTCAATACAATGCCTTTAAGTTCTCTGTTTACAGGCCTCGGTTTTCAGGACATCTGTGTCTGACAAACAGCAAGCCCCTCTCCCAGGAGTGGGGGAGAGCTGGGCGCTGAGGCAGTGCTGCAGGGTCACCGAGAGGCCAGCTCGCATTCCGAGTTGCACAGTGCATCACTCTGGTCATGAGGACCAAGCTGCAAGCTTGAGTAGCCCAGAGCCTTGTGTGGACCAAAGGCCATGAGCATGGAATTCTGAAACCCAAAGGATGACAAACCTGAGAGTGGCCATACACCACAGCAAATGCTTGGACAGCAGAGAGAACGAGGCACCTCGCACCACCTTGCTTGCAGCTCAGAGTGGCACACAAAACATCCTGCGTCATCGAGGGATTTTCTGCCAGAGGAGACACAGAAATAATTCAGTGTCCTCGCCCAACCTCACAAAACGGCTTCTTTTTTCATCTTAAGGTATTTATTTGAAAGGCAGAGAGAGAGAGATCTCCCATCTGCTGATTCATTGCCAAATACCCACACAGCAGGGCTGGCCCACACCACACCAGGCATCTAGAACCCAGCATGGGCCTTCCATGCAGGTGGCAGGGACTGAGACACAAGTCATCACCCACTGTTCCCAGGATGCACTGCTTCCGGGATGCACTGCTCCCAGGACGCACTGCTCCCAGGATGCACTGCTCTCAGCATGCACTGCTCCCAGGATGCATCACTCCCAGGATGCATCACTCCCAGGATGCACCGCTCTCAGGATACACTGCTCTCAGCATGCACTGCTCCCAGGATGCATCACTCCCAGGATGCACCACTCCCAGGATGCACTGCTCCCAGGATGCACCGCTCCCAGGATGCACTGCTCCCAGGATGCACCACTCCCAGGATGCACATTAGCTGGAAGCTGAGTCAGAAATGGCCTCGCTCATATCCAGGTACAGCTTCACACACAGCCTCTCACCCACTGAGCCGTAGGCCCACTCCACAGAATCATTTCTTACGGCTCAAAATTAGACAAATTCCTAGAGTTCCTAAATCATCAAGATGAACATTCAGGTGATGCGGGCACAGTTATGGCTGAGTTCCACAGGCAAATGAATAAAGATGTCACTCCTTCCTGGTTCTGATTAGTGAGAAAACAACTCCCTGGGGCCTCAGTGGACGGGGCCCGTTCCTAGGACAGCTCCATCTGTCACCTCCATGCTGAGGAAACGGGGACAGTGCTCCATGTGACACACTCACAGGTCACCTGGAAGCCCCAGCTCTGCCACGTTTGGGTCCTCACAAACCAACCTCCCCAATCCCCAACACCAACAGACTCTGCCTTGCAGCACGCAGCCCCACCCCTCCAGACACTGTCAGTTCCCGAAGAGGCCTCATGCCCATCCCACCCCTGCAGCCCACCCTGCCCTGAGCTCGGCAGGGGTTACCAGACTCCTCCACGGCTCCCACTTGGCATCCACAAGCCCTGAGCTCGGCAGGGGTTACCAGACTGCCACGGCTCCCACTTGGCATCCACCTGCCCTGCATCCTTCCTGCCTTCACAGCACCTACTGCACCTGCTGCCACAAACCCCTGCTTCTGGAACTCTGCCCCAGGGTGCTTGCCTCTCCCTCCCGCTGCAAGATTCTCACCTCTGCACTCTGTCACTGCTGGCACCTAGCACAAGGCTCTGAGCCTCAGCCTGATCTTCAAAGAAAATGAAATCTCTTTTAGTTTCAAAAAATTCTTTCAGGACTGGCCTGATAGCCTAGTGGCTAAATCCTTGCCTTGCATGCAATGGGATCCCACAGTTCATGTCCTAGCTGCTCTCCTTCTTACCCAGCCCCCTGCTTATGGTCTGAGAAAGCAGTCAAGGACGGCCCAAAGCCTTGAGACCCTGCACCCATATAGAAGATCCAGAAGAAACTCCTGGCTCCTGGCTTCAGATTGGCTCAGCTATGGTCATTGTGGTTACTTGGGGAGTGAACCAGCAGATAGATCTTTCTGTCTCTTTTCTCTGTAGAACTGACTTTCCAACAAAAATAAATCCTTAAAAAAATCATTTCATTTACTTTTGTAATCAACAAGAGACCTAGTCCCAATCTAGACAGACATTGCTGTTTCTCACAGGTGCTTTAAACAGCATGTGCCCAACAGCAGGCAGAGGAAGCCACCCTGGGATGGCCATACATGGCACACTCCCAAAAGCAGGGCACCCTGGAAACCATGCAACTACAGAAATGGCAGGAAGATTTGGGGGGTAGAGGGGGTGGGATCAACAGGGGCACAGGAATTCAAGGGCAGTGGAACCACTTGGCAGCACCCTATGCCCTCGTTACGTGCCTGTCCAAACCCATGGAAGGTGCACCAGCAAGGGAAGCCAGCGTGAACAGCAGCTGGGAGTGATAACATGGGCCGGCGGCATCCCTCAGTTCTCACAGCCTGTTTGAGAATAGGGAAGGTAATTCAGTCATAAATGGCCCCACAGCACTTTGCAGAGATGGGGACCGCAGAGTGAGCGTGAGCTCGGGCACACCACTGGCTCTCATGAACCTTGTCTCTGACCGTGCAGACAATGGTGTCTCACTCAGCACCTGAGCCCTGTCCCATAGTAAGATGGGACAGAGGGTCCAGGGGTCACTGAGTCTCACAGCACTTGTCATGGACACAACAGGCCCGCCTGCTCCAGAATGACACAGTCATAGATTCAGGCACTTTGTAGTTCAGACCCAAGAGCAGAGACCCTACCTGGAAAAGCTAACACAACATGTGGAGTTAGGCAAGTGTGGGCTGGCCAGCCTCTACTTCCTCCATGTGAAATGAATGCATGGACTCCATGCCAGCCCTGTCAAGCAAGGTCAGCTAACAGGTGGCACTGCCTCCCTTTGCCTCCTTATCTGGCCTGGCCACACATCCCACCCTCACAGGCATACCCACCAGGACGTGGGACAGGGTTGGCGGCTGCCAAGAGCCTGCTTTGGGCCTAGGCATTCCCAATTCCAGGGCACTCTCTTCCTCTCCCTTCTTCACATCTGATGCCAAGCCTCTACCAGCTTGGCCCTGCTTCTGGCCTTCGGGGTGTTCCTCTACGCACCAGCGTCCCAGATCTGCCAGCTTGCCCTGCCCCCACCAGACCCAGGGACTCCTACACTCCCCTCAACTGGAAAGAGCCACCAACCTTCTGGTTTTGAAGCCATGGGCAACCCTGCCATCACCACGCGCACACACACACACACATACACACACACACACACCCTATGGGCCTCAATTCAGCAGTTTGTGAATCTAGAAAACTGGCATGGACACACTGGCAATTCTGGTTCCAGGAGCCCAGCAGGCCCTGTAAGCTCATTGTTGACACATGGGAAAACATGCAAAGCAGGGGAGACACCCCACTCAGCTGGGTTCAGAAAGCACCTTCCTTTTCTAAGATAACGGTAAGATCTGCCTACCATGCCTGGGGCACACCAGAAGAAAAACCATGCAACCAGACCCCCCATCAGGCCTCTCCCTCCCCAGGCCTGTGGAGATGCAGCTACTGCAGGGCGGGGAGATGCGTGGGTGAGGGGAGTGAGACAGCAGTTTAGACATGAGACAGGCTGGCACTTCCTTAACATGAAGTATAAAAAGCAAGAATTAATGTTCCCCTGATTTCAAGCATGCCATGTTAATTTAGCAGTTCCAGTACATGATGCAAAACAAACACAAACGCAGGTGTTACTGAGTGCTACATTCACTTAAAAGCTGTTACAGTGGCTGATTTTGAAATGCCAAAGTAATGACGCCCCCAGAAATGGCTGAGCTCAATACACCAGAGGCAAGAGGCAGAGAGGCCGGCCTTGACTTCCTTCCCGGCTGCTTCTGTATCCTGACGTCATGCACTCCTCACCCTAATGTGCTGTGATTTATAGAACTGTATAGCTAACAGCGTCACCAAGGGCCCATCATCTTCAAGTGGATAGAAAGATTTCCTTTAAAAAAAAAAAAAAAGCAACAAGCACTACCTGACAGGATTCTTTCTGCTTCTTCCATCCCCCTCTGCTCCATGCTTCTTCATCCAAAAGATTAACCAACTACTGGGCTCAGAGAAATATTCCAAGGGACTAGCAGGAGAGGCATAGCAGGTAAAACTACTGCCTCCAGCACCATCACCCACATACACCCATTCAAGTCCTGGGGCTCCACTTCCCAGCTCAGCTCCCTGCCAATGCGCCTGGGAACACAGTGGAAGATGGCCCAAGTCTTTGAGCTGCTGCCCCGCTGGGAGACCAGGAAGAGGCTCCTGCTCTGACCAACGCAGCCCTGACCACTGTGCTCATCCGGGGACTGGACCAGCAGACGGCAGATTCTCATTCCCACCCTCACCATCCCATAACTCTGTCTTTCAGATAACTAAATTCTTAAAGTTTTATTCATTTTTATTGGAAAGTCAGATCTACAGAGAGGAGGAGAGACAGAGAGGAAGGTCTTCAATCAGCCAGTCCACTCCCCAAGTGCCCTCAAGGGCCGGAGCTGAACCAGTCCAAAGCTAGGAGCCCGGAGTCTCTTCCAGGTCTCCCACACAAGTGCAGACTCCCTAAGGCTTTGGGCCATCCTCCACTGCTTTCCCAGGTCACAAGCAGGGAGCTGGATGGGAAGCAGGATGGCTGGGTTGTGAACCGGTACCCATATGGGATCCTGGCACATGCCAAGGTGAGGACTTTAACACTAGGCTACAGCACCAGGCCTTCAAATAAATAAATATTTAAAATTAAAAAGAAATATGTCTAACAAAGAAAGAAGTGTGTGAACAGCGTAAAACTTGCCAAGCACTGAACCTTAAACTGCCAGTTTTCACTTACAAATCCACCCCTTCTGGCCGCAAGCCACCCTTCCCAGCAGCCTGCGTTGAGTGCTGACACCAGGGAAAGGAACCGTACTGACCAGGCCCCTCGCCCCAAAGCTGGGCTCTTCCGGTGCCTTGGCCCTAGGTCAGCCTGTCAAGTGGTACCCACTCCGTCAGCAGCTAGCCCCATGTGGCCCAGCCTGATCCAATAGCAGAGGACACCAGCAGGGATCCAGACCAGCAGGACAGTGGGTCCACGCCAACAGAAGGACTGAAGGCTCAGCAAGAAGCACACGGGGATGAGGCCAAGGTCGCCCAGTTCACCTCTCACTCCCCCTTCTGTTGTGATTTCCCCATTCTCCCTTCTCAGCCCTTCCCTTCTGGGCTCAGACCCTCCTACCCAGCACTGCTGCCATCGGCCATCACAGGCCTCTGTCCAGCATTGCTGCCATCGGCCATTGCTGGCCCCAAGAGCCCAGAATGGCTCTGTGCAGCCGTGTCCTGGACACCTGACTACAGAAAGCAGCAACTCGTGCAGGCTGACTTAGACAAAAGCGGTCCCTCTCAGGAGCTGAGAGGAGGGCCTGAGGAGAGCCTAAACAACTGAGCTACCCTACAGACTGAAGGTTCAGGTAACTGAGGAAGCCCGAGGCTCCAGTTACCTTCAAGGTGGCCCATGCGCACTCCTTCACCTGTGGCATCAGAAGAAGACCACCCTCAAGTGTGATTTCCAACCACGCCTTAATTCATGCCCAACATATTCACTCACTGTCACTGGACACGGTGCTCAGAAAAGGTGCAGACCACAGCAGGAGAGAACCCGAGACGAGATGGCAAGTGGTGAGGGCCATGGCCACAGGGCACTGAGGTGACCACATGGACCCATCTGGGGCATTGGGAACGTACAGACCATGACACAGCGCTGACCTCTGGAAACTGGACTCTAACAGAGGTGAGATGCAAGAAATCAAAGAAGCGAGTGGAAACCTTGAGCTCCTCGCCAGCACAGGAGACAGGGATGTCCTTCTGGTAGCAGGTCCCAGCCCCAGGTCACAGGCAGAGCTGGAGTAGGCACAAAGGCACAAGGCCAGAAAGGCATGACCAACTGGGCTGATGCACAGTCCCGGTGCAGGAACCAGGTGAGGCAGGGACAACATACCAAAGGCACGTGCAACAGCCCGATGGCAGTGCTGCTTTGCAGAAACCCTCAGGAGCCAGATGAGTGTGACTCTGATGGCCATGCCCCAAAGTCCAGCCTAGGCAATGCCACAGTGGCTCCTGGACGCACTCACCTGTCAAGATTAGCAGCACACGCAGAGCCACCAGGCTCACTTTCTGTAGCATCTCAAGGGCTTTCGAGGGCTCCCCAGGCTGCCAGAAGACCTGACACATCTCAACAGCACTGAGGGAAAAAGACAGGGCATTAGATCTGCAACCCGCATGCGTCTCCACCACAGAAAAGGCAAGGGCAAGACGAAGCTTTCACGCTAGCAGGTAAGGGAATAAACTTTTAGGGGAAAAAAATTGAGTGAATTTGAACCACATTAGAAAGACAAACAGCATGTGAAATAGTGAGGGGAAAAGAGCGTGGGGTGAAATTACTCCGTGGGGCAGTCAGCTCTGAGGTAGCAGCTGACGGCAGGCAGCACTCCTAACCCCAATCAGGGCACTTCCGTTCCATTCTGCACTTCCTGTTTACCAAGGAGGAACAACTCAGCATCCCGTTACCTGTGCTCCACCAGGTGGCCTTCTTGCCAGTGCTCAATCCACGCGATCAGACTCCTCAGGGACATCTCAAAACACACTGGCTGGAAGCCGGAAGGAAACCCAGTTCTCTCTCTCCCAGGCCTCTCTTCCTCTGAGCTGACCTGCTCAGTGGTTGAGGTAGTGAGACCCACAAGCCCTTCCCGGAGCCATGTCCGTACGGAGCTCACCCAGCCAAAACCATGCAGGAGCAGCCCCAGCCTCGGGAGCCCGGCTCCACCCAACACACTCCAGATGGCTTTTTCAACCTGGTGAGCTATGTTCTGAACCGGGGATGCATTGAAAAGCAACCCTTCATTCAAAGCGCCTCTATAATCACTTTTAATGCTGCCCGAGGCCTCTACAAATGTTGCCAAGGTTTTCACAAGATTATCCGGACGCTGAGCAAATGTCAGCAACAAATTAAAAACATTCCAGTCGTCCTTCTGTAAGCTGTCCCAAAGAGTTTCTAAGATGAGGACGCTTGCCATTTTCAAATGAGTGCTTCTTTCGGTACTATTTTGTGATAACACCTTATACAAAATGAGGATGGCTTCCTGCATTCTGCTCCACTGTGCGTCCTGGGTGGACGTGGAGCAAGGGCGCAAGCAGTCCCTCCAGCCGGTGAGGTTGTTTCCAGGAGCTAAGCCACTCGGGCTTTCTTCCCACAAGGTGAAAGACTTCATAAAAGACAGTTGAGTTCCACTGCCAAATGCCACCAGGAGACGCTCCACATCGCCAACACTGACATTCACAGATGTAATTAATGCAGCAATTTCTTCCAAAATACTAGCAGAGTCCTCAGACCGGTTTATATATGAGAGCAAGCCAGAGGACGGGCTGGGAACGTCAGAGTCTTTTGAAATACTGGGTTGAATTCCAACCATGCTGAAGGTCAAGTTAAGGAAGGGCCTCCACAAGCCAGTGACCGCTGTCAGGACAGAGCGGTCTGCTTTCTTTAGAGCTATTACATCCGTCATGCAATCCTGCACGCCTTGCTGCATGATGGAATAGAGGGTGCCAGAGAATTCCACGGCATCCTTGGCCCTAGAGGGAAAGTGAGTCTGGAAAAGCCCAGCTCTCTTCCCCGAAATTTCCTTGGCGAGCGTAAGAAGCCTCACGGTGGAGTCCACAGACGTGGCCAGGCCTCTGAGGTCAGCACTGCTGGACAGCTGGGTCAGAGCCCAGGACGCTTCCAGCAGGGGTTCCCAGACATGGCTGTCTGCACCAGTTGCTGCTACAACACCACGCAGCCACCTCGTGATGGCTAAGGCTGCCCTGCTTCTCAGAAAGAATGAACAGTTCATGAAGGAGAGCAAATCAGTGAGGCCAGCAAGGCTCCCCGGCTGGAGCCCAGGACCTGAGCCGTGCAAGTCGCGAAGGGGAAAGCCTAAAAGAGCAGCCATCAGCACTGTCATGTCTGCGGGACCCTGTCTCACAAGGTCAAGGGCTGACCTAAGACTGTGGCTGAGTCCAGACTGGTCCCTAGAGCTGTTCACAGGGAAAAGCAACAACATCACCTCTGTGACAAAGTCCAGACTACGCTCAGTCTCATGGGTCCTGGAGGCTGCCTTTAGAAGGGCATGACAGAAGGCTCTCCTGAGCTCTGCTTCCCGATGGCCACCAAAATAAACCCCTGCGTCATCCGGCACAGATGAGTGTCCGGTGAGATTAGGTAGGGCCTCCCGGGAACAGGAAAACACTCATCACTCTGTCTTCTGTCGCAGCTGGAAGCCAATCCAGCGTCAGGATTTTGACAATCTTATCTTTGGGAACAAAACTGTAAGTACATATGCATACAAAGTGTAAATGTAGCTTAATTTCATATTTGATACAATAACAATGGAAAGATTAAAATACAGCTATTTCTATGAGCTTGGTTTATAATAGCATCTGGGGAGGGTAGTACTGAATGGAAGAGGACATAAAACAGTTCCAAACGCGATTTCATATTTTGTTCCCAAATGATGAAGAACAGAGGAATTTCACAGACAATTCTTTGACTTTAACAACTTAAAAAGTCACATACTTCTGCTTTTAGAAAAGCAAGGGAGATGACTGCGAAGACACCGGTCAAGTCTGTACAGTGATAGTCTCCTGAGTTTTCGAAGTGCTAGCAGATCCTTAGACCCCAGGATGGCTTCGAGACGAGACACCGGGTCACACGGAACTGCGGCCCAGAGCGCCCTTTCGCTGTGCTTCCCCTCTGAGCAGCGGATCAGAAGCTCCCGTTTGAGAAAAGCAGCCCGGAAGGGACTGTGCGCCACGACCATGGCTTCTCCCAGCCACTCAGTCAAGCAGGGGCTTTGCAGGTGTGAAGTCCCTGATTAGTTAACTTTACATCAGTCAGAGGGACACCTTTCACTCCCCGGGTGGGCCTGCTGCCATCAGCTGGAAGCCTCCCCAGAGGGCTCGGACTTCTTAGCCTAGAGGCCCTGACAGCAGCTGGGTCTGAAAACCTCCCCTGCACACTCCGTCCTGTCCATTAGCGGCACACCATGAGCCTCTTAGCGCCTGTCCATGGCAGTCCTGCCTGCAGCTAACCTGTCCTGCTCACTTCAGACTTGCCTCCCCAGCCCATTCCTCACATTACATCCTAGTCACGGCTCTGGGTCCACAACTGAGCCTTCAGGACTTGCACTGGCAAGCTCCAAAAGACGTCTTACAAGCTGTGCCAAAAAGGAGCATGTGATGCTAAATTTTAATGTTTCTGAATACAAACATCAAGATAGATTAATCAGAATGAAAATATTTAAACCCTTCCTTTATGATTAGACAGGTAATTTCAAAATTCAAATTATAACCACACTGTGCATATACATCTGTTATAACTAATTTTACTTCCATATAAGATAAAATTTTCCAATTGGTTTCATAATCCAAATCATAGGAGAAATAATAACCAACAAAGACCGCGCCCATTTTCTAGGCACTCGGCAGTAATCAGCACTGCCGCTTTACCCAGGACAGACTCAGCCTGGAGCTCCAAGGCGTCGCCCACAGCTGTATACTCCGGCAGGACGGCTGAGATCTTCCACAGTCGCACATCCTGTACAAAGCAGAACATGACTCACCTCACTCCTGTGACTGCACCATGGAGGACAGCTTCCCGCACGAGAGGAGCCTCTGGGCTCTGGGGATCCTCCCTCAGGAGAAAGGAAAAGAATGTTCTCAAAAGATGCCCCATCAGACCCACTGGGCCTCTCCCCTGCCCTCCACGCTCAAGGTCCAAGGTAAGCTTAATAACACTCCTTATTTGAGGGTCAGCGCCACTTGGATGTGAGGCTGCTACTGGAGATCTCCCAGCCAAGCTATCGGCTGGATTAGTTAGAAGGCTTTCAAGAAACAGCTGAACAGAGAGGGTAGCACGTTGTCCTTCATTTAAATGAGTAAGAATGCAACCATCAAAAATACTTTCTCGAGAAGTGTTTGTTTTTTGTTTTGTTTTTAAAGATTTATTTTATTTTTATTGGAAAGGCAGATACAGAGAGGAGAGACAGAGAGGAAGATCTTCTGTCCCATGATTCACTCCCCAAGTGAGCGCAACGGGAGCCTCTTCCGAGTCTCCCACGCGGGTGCAGGGTCCCAGAGCCTTGGGCCGTCCTCAACTGCTTTCCCGGGCCACAGGCAGGAGCTGGATGGGAAGCAGGGCCTACCGGGATTAAAACCGGCACCCACATGGGATCCCAGACGTGCAAGGCGAAGACCTTAACCACTGCGCCACCACGCCGGGCCCGAGAAGTGTTTGTTAAACAGCTCAGGAATGTAGAGGCATCTTGTATCAGTACAGCCGTGTCATCGGCTAAATTGTCATTGCTCATGCTGTCATACAGTGCTTGAATCATTCTGGAGCAACCTTCACAAAGCCAGCTTCTCGCCACTAACAGAAACTCTTCAGCAGAGTCTAACGCCTTCCGTCCAGAGGACGTCTGTGTGTCGTGACTCAGGTTGAGGATCTTGTTTGAACTAGCTAACTTGCTTTCGCCTGAACTAAGTTTTTCAAAGTGAACACTTTTTAACTTTTCTGTGATTTGCAAAGCAACTTCTTTTATAGGATCGCCAGGACAAAGTTCAGAGATGGGGTCATTACTTCGATTTCCATGAGGTGGAAAAAATGGTAATCCCTTATGCCGGAATTCTTGCGTGTTTTTCACAGTGGAACGTGAACATGGAAGCCTTCTGATGGCTCCAGAAGAATGGAATTCCAGTCCATGAACTGATGAACTACACAGACCACTTTCCTACTTACCCCATCTGGGAGCTTTCTTTTGCACACTGCGATACCTTATCCTGGGAAGACAGCTGGAGGCGGTCAAGCGCACGGACCTTTGCTATAGAAGGAAGAAGACCTGAGCCCAAGACCGTCACAGGCCTCCAACACAGGGTTCTGCTGGAATCCAGAAGCTGTGTGATTCCAGCACCAAAGCACAGGAAGGCATGTTAAAGCCTCTGAAATAGCTCTTGGCTTTTCTGATGCAAATTCAATTATGTCTGAAAGAGCTGTTATCACAGCAGCCAAGTCCTTCTTGGTGATGTTCCAAACGCTTATGCCATGTAGCAGTGTGAAATTGTGGACATCCTTGAGGGCTTCTGGGAGGGTTTTCCAGCAACGCCCTGCAGGAGCCTCACTGCGTGCCGAATGGCACAGCCCACATCCATTGCCAGGAGCCTCACTGTGTGCCGAATGGCACAGCCCACATCCATCGCCAGGAGCCTCACTGCGTGCCAAATGGCACAGCCCACATCCATCACCACGTTCACCTCGTCTTTAGGGGAGCAAGCACGGCAGCTGCAGCACTTGATTAACGTTCCAAGATGGGAATTCCCTACAAACTTCTCCACCAGGCCCACAAGCAAGTCAAGCCCTGAGCTGCCACACACTAACCTACTGACATGCTGAAAGAAAGTCACAAGCTTCACATCAGTTTGTTCAAGCTGGCCTACGGCAGGGGCTGTGTCTGCTTTCCTGAGAGCGTATGAGACAAGCAACTTTCCCCCAAACTTGAACATGGAGTGTATTCTGTAGGATACTATTTTGCACAGCAGGTACCAAGGAGCCAAACACATCCTTCACCAGTTGAATACCAAGACCCACAGCTTCTGACATTTCATGTGGAACTGCTCTTGATGAATGCCGCAGGCTGTGAGCCTGGCTGAGGACAAGGTACTGGACTAAGCAATAAATGGACTGCTCTAAGCTCTTCACATCCCTTTCCTCTGGACTGGTGGCAAACGTTCTAAAAACCTTCTCAGCTTTAGCAGAGGAGTTACTTTCATGGAAGTTAGAAGAAATATCTTTCACAAGTTTCTGACTGTCCTTCCCCAGCGCCATTATATGCAGCCAAATATTTTGAAACTGGGTGGGAATTCCATCTGACATTTCCAGGGGTCTCAGAGTTAATCCAGCAAAGTGTTTAAATCATTCTTACTTGGTTTGCGGAATCATTTAGGAAAGCTAACATAATCTCAAATTTGGGAACCCTCTCTTTTTCCGAGACTGCAGCAAGTATAATATTTAGACAATCAGCTACATCTTTCAAGTAAATGTTTAAACAACTTGTATTTGGACCATTCGATGAACAAGGTGGTTTCTTTAGCACCCACTTCGCAATGTGCAGGGTGGAGTTCATCTTGTCTTTCATCTCTCTGAAACTCCCCCAGATTCTGTGAAGATGGTTTGGTGAGAAGCTTGAACTCTTCCTCGGGGACAGATGGTTTAGGACGCCTGGCCATGCCATGCATCCTTGCAGCCATGCATCCTTGCAGTCTGCCAATGGTATTCTCAGAAGAAAATGTAGAATTTAACAGAACGCACAAGGTCCTCTGTGAAGTGTTTTTGTGTAGTAAACCATATAAGATCAACTTAGCAGCAGCCTTTAAAACATGAGCACAAGAAAACAGAATGGGGTCGTGTGACACATTTCTAAGAAATAGTATTGTTTCTCTTAGCTCAGGGATGATGCTTTCCAAGCTTGCCCAGTAATGTGTGAGGTTATTTGAAGTAAAATAGCTTACAGGATCTAAATTTCTACCTGTCGCTTCTGAGGCATTTCTTGAGTCACGGGGAACTCCAAGCAGAGAATGCCAGAGCTTTGTGCTGAATGGAAATGGCCTCAGCTGGTGCAGTACGGTTTCCATGGCGACAATGGACCTCTCCACTCGATCCAAGGAAAGTGATTTTGCTATTACTAACACATCACCTAATGCCATCCAGGGATCCTCGAGGTCCCAGAAGGCATACCAGTCATGGCCGCCACCTGCTTCACTTACATTTTTCAACAAACTTCATATAAGTCTAACAGCATGGTGGGTGGGAAGCGGTCCCTGGCAGCTTTTAGAAATGTTAATATCCTTTTCCAACTCATCCAAAAGCTGAGTGAGACCAACATGAAGGGAAGTGAAGACATTTGTGCCAAGCTTCTGTATTTCAGATAAGCTTCCCCAGATGTCAGTCCACATCTGAAACCACGACACAGTACGGTGAATAGCCATAAACTCATTCAATTCACCACCTTCGAGAGCGCCAAAAAGCTTTGTGAGCATGGAAGAATAAATGGAGACCCTTTGTCTATTGAATCATTTGAGGAGGAAATGTGTTTATTTTTCAAGAGAAGGCACTCATCACCCCACAAAGACTTCAGTGATCCATTGAAGAACTGGCTCATATACTGAAATAAAGAATTACGAACACCTTCATCCACCCTGAGCAGCTGCCTGAGGCCTGTCAGGGTAGCATGGATCACCATCAATTCATGGCCCTCTGTCAACTTCAAAGATTCAGCTTCAAGCTCCAGGAAGTTAAAAATTGAAAGCAGTTTTTGACATAAAGGTACATCAGAAATCCCTTCAAGAACCCCTACTGCCTCAGATAGAAACACAAATGCCTTGCTGATGTTTTGAAAATCAAATTGCTTTACAATATCCAAGAGGTGTTTGGAGGTTTGTACAAGGAAAGTTAGTAAAGATTGTCTGTTCCGAATGCTCAGGAATTCATAAATGTATTGATAAAATGAAGAATAAAGTTGCAGGAGTAAAGTTGAATCCTTGTTCTTGAAGACATTGATTATGTGAGTCACAACATTGTCAACTCCTTGTCTCTGGGTTTCCGGAAGAGTTGCGAACAGGTCAGACACGTTCTTCATCACAGTGACCTCGTCCAGGGCTTCTGAGACCTGTGCCTGTCCCAGAAAACCAGATTCCCAGAGACTACGGAGCACAGCCTCACTCAAACGTGTCAGACCCGCACTCGTGGCTGCTGCATCGGGCCAATCCTAACGGAACAACTGGGCAAAGTCAAACCCTTCACTAAGGATCTTATCATTTTCTGGAAAAGGAAAATTCAGAAGTGTGCATAAGACATCCAACTCAGCTCTTTCTTCTTTTGAAACACCATAGAGCCATGATTCTGGCAGCTTGGGATTCATCCCAGGAAGCAGTAATTCCATGAATCTCAAAAGATTTCCTGATTCCTCACTTATCCAGTTACTTTCAAGAGTTCTTATTCTTTCTATCGCGTCTTTGTCAAATTCCAAAGGTTTCTGAACATCAGTATCAAATGATTCTGTCCCTGAACTTATTAAATGGTTCAGCCACACAATACTTATATTTAGAATATTCTCAAAGGAGGATGGGAGCTGATAGAACGAGGACACACTGGATGAGTCAGTACAAATAGGCAGCAGTATGCTCTCCAAAACTTCCAGGAATATCAAAGTCCACGTGCACCTCCTCAATGGCAGACAACTTCCTTCTCATTATTAAAAGGTGCTTTGTGAAGTTGAATGCCTTATAATAATAACAGAATTGGTTTAGTGTCAGAAAGAAACCAGCTTAAGTCATCAAACTCTCAAGATGATATTTATAGTAAAACTTAAATAAAACATTTACAAGACAGAACTTAGCTCAACAGAAATTAGCTCAATGTGAAGACTTGGCAGTGTTTTAGAAAACCACAGTTTAGCGGCCCGTGTTTAGCCTGAAGTATTTTCTCCATGATAGTGTTGGCATAAATGTTGCTCGGGATACCTGCCTCCCATGTTGGGGTCTCCAGGATTCAGGCCTACTGCACCTTCCTGCTGATGTGCATGACTGGAGGAGCAGGTGACCGCCCACAGACTTTGAATCCCTAGACCCATGTTGGATTTGCCTTGGCTTCTGTGGGCTGTCTGGCTCTCTCCCTTAAAAAGAAAGTTTCAGGAACCAGCTTGGTAGCATGCTTGATGGGGCCACCACCTGCCAGACCAGCATGCCACACAGATACCTGTTCAAGTCTGAGATACTCCATTTCTGGCCCAACTCCTTGCTAGCATGCCTAGCAAAGCAACTAAGAACAGTCCAAGAGTTCAGTCCCTGCACCCGCATGGAAAACTGGAAGAAGCTCCTGGCTCCAGCCCGGCCCAGCTTTCGCCATTTTGGCTATTTGGGGTATAAACCAGAAGACAGAAGATCTGCATGTCTCTCTCACACACGTTGTTTCTCAAAAAGTAAATTAAGTCCTTGCACAAGGGACTAAGCCTAAGAAGTCAGTCTCTCTCTCAAGACCCCAAGAACTCTGTCTACCCTCCTTTCGGCCCCCAAGCTGACCTCAGGGAAGGTCTGGATACACTGTGGTGTCATCTCATGTGCAGAGCAGGCCTCTCTGTCCTGCCGGGCATCCACACAGCCAGCTGGGTACACACACTGCCATGTCAGAACAGCAGTGGACCCTCTGCCATGCTGGGCATCCACACAGCCAGCCGGGTACACACACTGCCATGTCAGAACAGCAGTGGACCCTCTGCCATGCTGGGCATCCACACAGCCAGCCGGGTACACACACTGCCATGTCAGAACAGCAGTGGACCCTCTGCCATGCTGGGCATCCACACAGCCAGCCGGGCACACACACTGCCATCTCAGAACAGCAGTGGACCCTCTGCCATGCTGGGCATCCACACAGCCAGCTGGTACACACACTGCCATCTCAGAACAGCAGTGGATCCTCAGCGTGGCCACCTCTAGCTCAGGAAGCCCATCACGCACGTTAGCCTGCCCGAGCTCTCACAACCCAGCCCACCACCATCTTATCCTCTGGCTCTGCTTTTACCCAGTATTCAATCAGTGGATCGCATACTGTTCCAAAGGAGAAGAGGCTTGTGGGAACGGGGTTTCCAGGGTGTTAATTTAACTTTTAGAGATCAGAAAACATGTTCAGCTAGAGTGGAATATGAAGTATCCTCTAAAAGCTCATGAAAAGCAAGTATTAGGGGAAAAGTAGGGATTGCAAAGATTTGGGGCACTGAAATCAACTTTTGTTTCACTCAATTCAAGTTGTTGAAGTGCCGTGGTATATGTACACCATAGCAGCCTGGAGCCCAAACAGCCATGAGTTATACTTTCAATCAGATTCCCTTCCTGCCAGCCTGTCACTGAGAACGATCCCTCCCAGCATCCTCATGTGCTGAAGGGCATCCAGACATCACAAGATAAGCATCCAACCCCAGCAGCACCTGAGAACACCCTCTGGGGAAGCTGACACCCATGCCACAGAAGCCACATGTCAAAAGCACACATTAGCTGACACTGAGGAAACTCAACAGCTGCCACCAATATCTGATCTCAAAGTGTGCCTCTTTCAGAGTGTCCCACAGCCGACAGCCAGGGCTGGGCACGGGTTCCCACAGCCGACAGCCAGGGCTGGACACGGGTTCCCACAGCCGACAGCCAGGGCTGGACACGGGTGTCTGACAGCCAATAGGCCAGGGCTGGGATCAGGCACAGGCGTGCCACAGCCAACAGGCTGGGACCAGATGCAGGCGAGCCACAGCCGACAGGCCAGAGCTGGGCACGGGTGTCCAATAGCCGACAGGCTGGGACCGGGTGCAGGCATGCCAAAGCTGACAGGCCGGGGCTGAGTGCGAGGACAGAAGGGTCCCCTGGGGAAGTGCAGAAGCCCAAGGGTACACCAAGCTACCAACTCTCACTTTTGCATTCCTATACTAATAGCCACGTCTTCCTAACAACCTGGAAAGCCACGCTGCAATTCTTAATTTTCTGCTGCTCAGATGAATCGAGCAGGATGTGGCAGTTTAGGGAGGCTCCTTCCCTGGCCCCACCCTCAGCTTCATCTGTACCCCAGGGGCCTCAGTGTACCTGAGGGGGCTCTCCTGCCATCACAACTATCAACAGCCACCCCTGCCAGCCTGAGTTCCTGCAGCACCCACAGCTCCCCCAGGCACCCTGGGCCTGGGGATGTACACTGCAGGGGCAAGACCTGCCAGAGACGGAGGGCCTGGACGAGGAACCCAGGCAGGCTCTGGGGTGGGAGGCCAGAGGGAAAGGAGACTGACAGATTGACACTGTGGCCACGGCTCCTCAGGCCCAGGGGCATCACCCTGAGCACGGGGAAGAAAGTAGGAGGCGCTCAAAGAAGCAGGGCCTGGGATGGCAGCTCCTCCTGGGCCTGGGATGGCAGCTCCTCCTGGCTCAGCCTGAGGACAACGTCAGTGGGACAGGTGAAACACATAATAGCTGAAATTACAAGATTTAAACCTCTGCTGAGAAAGCATCACATTCACACAAGCATTTTGTGCCAGAACATTCAGCTGCAAAACCAGCCACGTGAATTGAGCCACGCGACCCCACAGGTAGACCCCTCCTCAAGGGGTGACGTCATATGAGAGACTTTTTCCTGAATTGCACAGCTACTCATTGACAACTATTGTCTCATTTAAAAATGAGAAGAAATGACCAACATCCCCGCTAGCCACACTGTGCTTTCTCACTCACTCCAGAACGGCGTGGAGAAAGTGCACTGCAGAGCCCAGGCCGTCTCCCTGCTGGACCAGGTCTGGGCGCAGTCCCGACAGTGAGAGCAGGAAGTCCCAGAAGTGAGGCTGCCGCTGCAGGGCTTCCAGCGCAGACAGCAGCTCCTCCGTCTTGTTGAGATTCATCTGGGAGGGAGAGAAGCAGATTTCCTCTTTGGCTGTATTGAGACAGAAACGAGCCGGCAAGGGTAACAGGATGCAGATGCACAGAACCTCAGGAACCTCACAGTGCAGGACAAGACATAGCGCCTCTCTTGGGCTGTTCTACGCTTCTTGTTTTAGAAATATGAACCGAAGGGACAGGAGGCAAAGGAGACCCTTTGTGGCAAACTGCACCATTTTCTTGGATCTGTGAAGCTGCACTGGCTTCGAGGCCGGCTTACAATGCAGTTGTCCGGTCTTCATAGGGAAGGGCTAAGAAAAAACACTCAAGGAAATATGAACAAACCCGCGAACCCCTCTTGTGACTGCATCTTCCCGAAGCTTCGGCTGGGCCCTGGCCTGTACTGTAAACCACAATACTCGTCTTCCTCCACTGTCGCACTCGGCTCCTGCACCCCAGGACCTGCAGCAGCCAGGGTGCAGTGTACAGAGGCTCAGCTGGAGGCAAAGACATGGAGATTGCAACTAAAGGGATGTGTGACCCGACTTCAGGGAACCAGAACCTACAGACCAGTCTCTCTTCCCCACATTGTGAGTAAATAAAGAATAATACTCGAGGGAAAGAAGTGAAGCTGTTTGTCCCACTTGGGAGACATGGAGACACTTCCTCCCCCAGGCGGAAGTGCAGGGAGAGAGGAAACAAAACAATGCTTAAACCCTATAGCAGCTGCTTTCAAAACTAGCCAAGCATTGATGCTCTACAGTCAGGACAGCACAGGAAGCTGGGAAGGGGCCCCAATGGTCAGCATCTGCATGCTGCTGGTCATCTACCACGTGACTCCACGCTGAGAACGACCATGTGGGAGAGAGCTCCGTGGAGCCCAGCGACTCACTGAGCCCCCTCCCCAACATCTCCTGCTGAACCCCACTTCCCTGCTCCTCCTTGTCATCCTATCACTAAAGCTCAGCTCAGCAAGTTGCGTCACAGAAACTACGCCATGTGACCTCAAGGTGGGAGTTTAAATAGATTATATACAAGTGCTCCTCAGAGCGCAGCTGTACCTAAGGGCTGTTCCCTCTGCCTCCCACACCACAGGCAGGAAGCCAGCTCCCGGAGCCACTCCTGCCAGTGCCGGGACTGTGGCTCCACACACACCCAGCACCACCTTTCTGCACAGTACCCGACATAGCTCCACTTCCTCCCTGTGGTCCACAACAGCTTCAAGCGTTTGCTGTTACAGCAGCTCCTCTCATCCAAGTTTCCCACCGGCTGCAATCCCCTTTCCCAGGATCCGAGTCTCAGGTCTCAGCCTTCCATGCTAGCCACCCAATGTCGTATCTTGCTGTTCAGCAGCCAACACCCTCTACCCTCTAGTTCCCCACCTGAGGATTCCAGGCCCCATGGACCCCTACGCCACACCCCTAGCCACCCTCCCTCATCCCTGTCACTCTCACAGCCCAAGCCACCGGTGGCCGCCCTCCCCTTGAATACCCACTCACATCTCTCATACCTGGTCATTCACTCCCTGGCACAAAACTCTGGCCTGGTTCTGTTCAGCTTTGTCTAATCCATGGCCCAACCACACAGCACTGGAAACAGCCATGGGAGAACCCTGCAGTCTGGTCTCCCTCACCAAGGCCATGAGCGCATGCTTCGGGTGGGCAGCACACGGGCGTCTTCACCCTAACACACACGTGTTCGCTGGACTGCCAGAAGGGATGGTGTCGAATCACGTGCTTAAACTGATGCAGGCAACCGCAGTGTCTCCAGGGACAGAATCGCATGGGATCCCTGTCACCAGGATCTGCTCATTGCACACCTCATCGGAGCACAGGGGCCTTCAGAAAGTCCACGGCAAGATGGACTTCAAAGATTCTGATTCAGTCATGGGAAATCCTGCCTTGTTCTTGCTCAAGCTCTTCAAGACGCTGCCTTGGCAGGACCTGTGTTCCTCTCGGCCTGACTTAGGAGAGAGCTCCGCGTTCAGAGGGCTGCCCAGTCACGTCTGCCATTCTACTTTGCTACTGTGGTTACGTCACGGTATGCTGTCCTCGCTGTCCACTCCAGTTGCTGGGCAGTCCTTACTCTTTCACCTTTCCTCCAACAATTTATTACCATTTCTAACTATCTAGATCCTTCTAGAAGTAGGCAGATGCAGACACCTGTGCCACTGCCATCACACACACTGGAAGCATCCAGACAGCCATGCCCAGTGCCGCCACGGGAGCAGTGTGCCCTCGCAGGGTCATATCAACCTTTGCTGCTCCAGGCCTGGTGGGATGCTGAGCAGCACCGACTCACACAAGACAGGAAGTGGCCCCATTCTCTCCCAGGTGGATGACCACCCTGTGTCCAGACACGACAAGGGCCCCTGGGGACAAGCCTCTGTGCCAGAGACAGACCTCAGGCCTCACTCGAGGCCCAGGGGCCTTTGCACATCCTACAAAACAACAGCCCAGATCTCCATCAACAGGTCAGCTCTCCCCTTCTGCTCTTCTCAGACCTGGAGTCCGGTGTGAAAGGGTCCTGGCCCTGCCCTTCTGTCACCACGTCAGGAGTGAGGAGGGGGCTGCATCGTGAGCGTCGCGCGCTCAGCCACATACTTCCCTAGACAGAGCCGCACACTTACCATCAGAAAGCTGGCGCCGTGAGAACCTACAGGAGAGAAGATTGGGGACACATCAGCTCACTCATCACCCTGAAGCAGGCACTGCTGCCTGCTCAAGTGTTCAAGGCAATGAACTAGCACAGAGTCCTAGAAGCACAGCTGGGAGAACACGCTGAAGAGCCCCCGCTCCTGGCCGTCACCGTGGCTGTCCCCGTGGCTGTCCCCCGCCTCCTGGCTGTCCCCGTGGCTGTCCCCCTGACTCCTGGCTGTCCCCGTGGCTGTCCCCCCGCCTCCTGGCTGTCCCCATGGCTGTCCCCCCGCCTCCTGGCTGTCCCCGTGGCTGTCCCCCCCTCCTGACTGCCCCCGTGGCTGTCCCCCCGCCTCCTGGCCGTCCCCGTGGCTGTCCCCCGCCTCCTGGCTGTCCCCCCGACTCGTGGCTGTCCCCCTGACTCCTGACTGCCCCCGTGGCTGTCCCCCCGCCTCCTGGCTGTTCCCGTGGCTGTCCCCCTGACTCCTGGCCATCCCCGTGGCTGTCCCCCCCTCCTGGCTGTCCCTGTGGCTGTCCCCCCGCCTCCTGGCCGTCCCCGTGGCTATCCCCCTGACTCCTGGCTGTCCCCCTCTCACGGATGCTAAGTAGCTAACTGCTAGGCCAAACGGCAGGACTGACCAGCGATCCCCACTTCCACCAGGCTTTGTGAGCACTCTAGACAGGATGGAGAGACAGATGGGAAGATAAGAGGAAGGGAACACGGGTGAGATATTGATTTTTTTTTTTCAGATTATTCTTGAACCACAAGTACCACAGGAGATGACTCCAATAACAGAAAGTCAAAAATAAAGCGGAGGGCCCGGTGTGATGGCCCAGTGGTTAAATCCTCACCTTTCTGGGCCAGGAGGGCCCGGTGTAATGGCTCAGTGGTTAAATCCTCACCTTTCTGGGCCAGGATTCCGTATGGGCACCAGTTCCTGTCCCGGCAGCTCCACTTCCCTTCCAGCCCCCTGCTTGTGGCCTGCACCCAAGTGGGAGGCCTGGAAGAGCCCCTGGCTCCTGGCTTCAGATCAGCTCAGCTCTGGCCTTTGTGCCTTTGGGAGAATGAACCAGCAGGTGGAAGATGTTTCTCTCTGTGTCTCTCCTTGTCTCTATAAATCTCATCTGCCTTTCCAATTAAAAATAAATAAATCTTTTAAAAAATAAATGAAGTGGAAACTCTCAAAACACACAGTTGTGGGGCAGAATTTGAGGCAGCTGTTAAGCCACACACATCCCCCATCAGTGTCTGCTCCCAGTGCCTCCTGCCACTGTACCCAGGGAGGCAGCAGGGGACGGCTCCCCACGGGCCTGACCAGATGGGCTCCAGGACCTTCCTGCCACTGTACCCAGGGAGGCAGCCGGGGACAGCTCCAGGACCCCAACTTCAGCCTTGCCTGGTGCAGCTGCTGCAAGCACTTGAGGAGTGAACTCCTAGGTGAGAGTGCCAGGACTGTCCCTTGGTCCAGCTTAGCTGGTGCTTAGCTGGTATGTGCAGGGTAGGGGTGTGCCCACCGTGTCCTGCCCTGCCTGAGAGGTGAGGGTTTCTGTTAGGAACAGAACCCCAGGCGCCTTCTGAAGGAGCCCAGCTCCACTTCTCAGACACCTCACTCCATTTTCTCAGAAACACCACAAAAAGGAAAAGTGACAAAGAAAAATCTGAGATTCTTGCTGCGGGTTGCCAAATTTATCCGACAGATGACATCCAGGTAACCTTGAATTTCAGGTAAAATACAAATGGCTTTTTGCTATGTGTACAAAACATTTGGACACGGTAGGTTTTTAAAACGCTCGTTGTGTGCTAGTACTGAAGGGCTGGGGAGGGCCAAGAAAAGGTAGAGTCTCCGTGGCCCCATTGGGGGCTTTGTCAGCAACACGACCCCGAGACAGAGGACAGGCAGTGACTGCCCTTCTCCAAAGTGCCAGCTTTTCCCCTGGGAGCTGTGCTCTGAGCACAGCATCCATTCTAACCTGGTAATGAGTTGACATCTCCTATAACGTGGGTGTTTTCCTAAACAGAAATGACTCCTCTGGAGAGTAATCCACCCCAGCAACCCAGAGGACATGCAGCGAAAGCAGCCTGGTCCGAGTCCACTCCTGCCCTAGACAGGACGCCAATGCTGCTAACATGGAAGGACGACCCGTGCACACAGGCAGGGCCAGGACCCCGAGTACAGCAGGAGGATGTGTGGGGAGGACAGGGGCAGGTTTTGAAAACAGCCTGACATGGAAGCGAGACTAGCAATGGAAGCAAAGGGGACAAGCAGGTGGAGGCTGCAGGTGCAGGCCATGCCGGGAGCGCCTGCGGGAGAGGAGGGAACCCCGCGTCCACATCTGTCCGCAGGTGCAGGCCATGTCGGGAGTGCCTGCGGGAGAGGAGGGAACCCCGCGCCCACGCCTGTCTGCAGGTGCAGGCCATGTCGGGAGTGCCTGCGGGAGAGGAGGGAACCCCGCGTCCACATCTGTCCGCAGGTGCAGGCCATGTCGGGAGCGCCTGCGGGAGAGGACGGAACCCCATGTCCACATCTGTCCGCAGGTGCAGGCCATGCCGGGAGTGCCTGCGGGAGAGGAGGGAACCCCGCGCCCACGCCTGTCCGCAGGTGCAGGCCATGCCGGGAGTGCCTGCGGGAGAGGAGGGAACCCCGTGCCCACACCTGTCTGCAGGTGCAGGCCATGCCGGGAGTGCCTGCGGGAGAGGAGGGAACCCCGCGCCCACGCCTGTCCGCAGGTGCTGCCTTCACCCGCCAGAGGGCGCTGCCCCCTATGACGCACATGGACAGCCCATCATCTGGCCTGGGTCCAGCAGGTAATCCCGACATTATGAGATACTTGCCTGAGGTCTTGGATTTTTCTAGCCAGAGTTTGTGTAAGCGTTTTGCTTTGTCCGTGGTTTCATAAATTTCCTCAGCCAAGTCTTGTATCTCCTTCAAGAAGGTCAGATTGCTAAGCTTTTCATGGTCAGCCTTAGTTTGGGACCTGGACAATGTAAAATACAGAGCATCAGTACTCCCAAGTGCAGCTCTTCCACAGGACAATGGCTCCACCACATCACCAAGGTGCTTGGCACATGATGCCAGACTGCAACTCAGCAGGCACCAGCTGCACGGCATCTACCACCAAGTCTGAGAGCCTGTGTTACGCAGCCTCACCCTGCACAGAAACCACCACTCAAGACAGGAATGCTGTCCTCTGTTACATCTGCAAAGCCCACTCGAGTCTCATGTTTGGTGACCGTTCATGTACACAACACGCACAGCACACACCCTATCCAAGGCTGAGAGTGAAGGAATCAGAGTTGTCTGAACGCAGCCTGGACCCACCAGGCAGGGCAGGCTCCGAGAGGCCACGCTGAGTGATGGGTGAAATGGTCTGGCAGCTTCAAGGACGGGGGAGCACACAGGTGCACGGCAGAAGGCGTGGAGGAGGTCAGCCCGCCAGCGGACGCTGTCAGGGACACAGGGCCAGGGAGGCTCTGGGAGGAGGTCGGCCCACCAGCGGACGCTATCGGGGTCACAGGGCCAGGGAGGCACTGGGAGGAGGTCGGCCCACCAGCGGACGCTATCGGGGTCACAGGGCCAGGGAGGCTGGCTGGCTGGGAAAGCCCCTGTCAGGCAGGACTGCTTGCACCAGAGTGGCCAGCTCTGACTCAGCCCTAACAAACCCTCTCTCCATACTCAGTTGGTGTAACCCATCATGAGAAGTCATATGATCATCTAAACAGATGGAGAAAAAGTACTCAGCAGAATCCAACATCTATGCAGGATTTAAAAAAAAAAAAACACTTCCTGAAAACAAGCAATTAAAGGAAACTTTCTCAAATTGATCAAGAACATCTATAAGAACGTACAGCTAACGTCCCGTTTAACAGAGAGAAGCCCGCGGCTCCCCACTGTTGTGGCCCAGACCACAGCCAGGCTGTCCCCCTTTCTCATCCTTGACCGTCTGTGGCTGCAGCCCTGGGTAATGCAACAAGGGGAGGAAGCAAGTAAGGTGTGCAGGCCGGGCAGCGAGAGGTAGCGTCTGTTCACCAACCACATGAGAACAGGATTGTGCAAACAAAAGCAACAAAAACCAACTCAGGGAATGACTCAGTGACTGCAGCAACACGGCCAGGCACAGGCTCTTGCACAGGCCCACTGCTTCCCCACCCAGCAGCGAGCCCGTGCACTCCAAGCTCCCAAGAGGCCTCTGGCTGCCAGGCGAAGACAGAGTCCAGCGGACTGCGGGTAAAGGGAGACTTGGGGGTGAGGGAGAGGACGATGCCAGACCCACTTGGGGAGTGACTCCGATGCGTCAGTGGGCAGCTTGTTCACTGTGCCCAGCCCTTCTGCATGTCTGTGTGTGTGGGTACATTTGTGTGTGTGTATGTGGGAGTGTGTTTATGTGTACGTGTGTGTATGTGGGTATATGTGTGTCTGTGTGTATATGTGTGTGTGTACACTGTGTGTGTGTATGTGGGAGTGTGTTTATGTGTACGTGTGTGTATGTGGGTATATGTGTGTCTGTGTGTATGTGTGTGTGTACATTTGTGTGTGGGGGGGACTGTGTATATGTGTACGTGTGTGTATGTGGGTATATGTGTGTCTGTGTGTATATGTGTGTGTGTACACTGTGTGTGTATGTGGGAGTGTGTTTATGTGTACGTGTGTGTATGTGGGTATATGTGTGTCTGTGTGTATGTGTACATTTGTGTGGGGGGGGGACTGTGTATATGTGTACGTGTGTGTATGTGGGTATATGTGTGTCTGTGTGTATATGTGTGTGTGTACACTGTGTGTGTGTATGTGGGAGTGTGTTTATGTGTACGTGTGTGTATGTGGGTATATGTGTGTCTGTGTGTATATGTGTGTGTGTACACTGTGTGTGTGTATGTGGGAGTGTGTTTATGTGTACGTGTGTGTATGTGGGTATATGTGTGTCTGTGTGTATATGTGTGTGTGTATACTGTGTGTGTATGTGGGAGTGTGTTTATGTGTATATGTGTGTGTGGGTACATTTGTGTGTGTGTGTGGGACTGTGTATATGTGTACGTGTGTGTATGTATCTGTGTGCATGTGTATGTGGCTGTATTGTAATCCGTGCGTATACATTTGTGGGTGTGTATATGTATGTGTGTATATGTGTGTGGGTACATTTGTGCACGTGTGTGTGCATGTGAGCATGCACCTGCTCTCTGACAAGGCCACCAGGATTCAGTCGGGCCACTCCTCCCCGAAGACCAAACCCAGCCCGACAGTGCCCACCCTGCAGCCCTAGCAGCAGCGTCCTGACTGGACTGTGTGCCCACTGTCACTGCCAGCAGCACAAGCCTCGGGACCAAACCTGAGATTAAGGGATGATTGCTACGTTTTTTAACTTCAAATATCATATATGGGACTTATTTTTGTCCATAAACAAGAAAAAAAAGACATTCTAACGGCCCTGGAAATCAGTTTGTCTCTACTAGTGTCAATTTTAGTGGGATCTGAGTCAGTAAGGAACTGGGGGGTTCAAACCAAGTCAGGTGACAGGCTGCTGGACACTGAAGGAGCAGCTTTGCAGCTCAGCTTCTCTCCGGCTCCGCATATCCTCTTTCCTGGCCTCTGCAACTCTACCGTAATTTAAAAATTCAACAGCTCAAAAGAAAACCATGGGAAATGGAAGGGGACTTCTTCCCAATTAGAACTTACACAAAGTTCCACATGTTTTTAATCCCGTGTCTTTATTTTATGAAATCACAGTGGCCCACTTGTAAACGACCACGGGTGAATGACAAAGCTGTGTGACAAAAGAGTGCAACACAATACCTTCCACAGACACCATCACCTACTCTCACACGCCCTCACGGAATCAGAGCGGGCTCAGCAAACGCTTGTCAAGAAATAAAACAAATGTAATGCCTCTCAGGTCACAACCCATTCACCAATGAAGACAAAAGGTCTCGGGGACCACGGGGGTCACTGACAGCAGCAGTCACAGCAGCCGCCAGGTTCCAGCCCAGGACAGACACTGGCTCGCCACGTGAAGGCTCCCCTAGGTTCCAGCCCAGGACAGGCGCTGGCTCGCCACGTGAAGGCTCCCCTAGGTTCCAGCCCGGGACAGACACTGGCTCTCCACGTGAAGACTCCACCTAGGTCCTGCGCTTCCCCACATCTGAGTGTGAGGAGTCTGATGCACTAATAGGTATTTAGGGCCTCTGTCCCCTGGTGAAGTTACTTTGTAAAATATAAACTTTCTTCTCCCCATCCTTTACCCTCCCATGAGCAAGTTCTCCCAGCTTTGTTCCCCAGTCCCACTGAGGGAGAGCGAAGGGACAAATCAGAACATCAATTCTGTCTCCTAAAGTTGCAGGAAAAAGCAAGGAAACACAGCCAAAAGCAACCCCATCTCAGAGACGTGCTGAGTCTCAGCTCATCACCAGAAGGGAGGAGGAAGCCACCAGCCCCACCTCCGGATGTCCTTTATGTTCTCAACAAGGTGCTAGACATCACCACCCCCTGTGACCGTGACTGAGTCCCCCTTTTTTTTCTCTACCCTTTGTTCTCCTCCCTGAGATGGTGCATAAAGGACACCACTTCCAGGCCCGGCAGCATTGCCTAGTGGGTAAAGTCCTCTCTTTGCATACACTGGGATCCGAAATGGGTGCAAATGCGTATTCCAGCGGCCCCGCTTCCCATCCCGCTCCCAATTTGTGGCCTGGGAAAGCAGTCGAGGACGGCCCAAAGCCTTGGGACCCTGCACCCACTTGGGAGACCCTGAAGGGGCTCCTGGCTTCAGATTGGCACAGCACTGGTTGTTGCAGCCACTTGGGGAGTGAAACAGCAGATGAAGATTTTTCTCTCTGTCCTTTCTCCTCTCTGTATAACTGACTCTGCAATAAAGTAAATAAACTCTCAAAAAACAATGTCACTTCCACTATTCTCCTGGGTCTTTCCTCCCTTGGAGACCACTCTTGTCACTATGGTAAGAGACAGCTCACTCTCTCTTAAATAAATCTTGCTTTGCACACTGAAGTTGTGAACATGAAAATTCTTCTTTCGTGTAAGACCAGAAGACCTGGGCTCCTCGCTGCTCCTCTCTCTAACTTCTTGCTACTGCAGACCCCGGGAGCTAGAGCGAGGTTTCAAGAAACTGGGTCCCTGGTACCAGGTGGAAAGCTGTTTCGATGCAAACTCCAGTTGCAGTCATCTAGAGCAAGGGACTGCTCTCTGTCCCATGAATCACTCAGTAAAACAAAACTCCCTCTTAAAACAATTGCTAAAAATGTGTGCTTTCTTTTGTTTTGATTTGTTTTTTTAAGAATTAAAACCAGCCTGGCATTGTTGCCTAGTGGCTGAAAGTCCTCGCCCTGAACGCACTGGGATCCCATATGGGCGCCGGTTCTAATCCCGTTCTAATCCCGGCAGCCCCACTTCCCATCCAGCTCCCTGCTTGTGGCCTGGGAAAGCAGTTGAAGACAGCCCAATGCTTTGGGATCCTGCACCCACATGGGAGACCTGGAGGAGGTTTCTGGCTCCTGGCTCCAGATCGACACAGCACCAGCCGTTACGCTCACTTGGGGAGTGAATCATTGGATGGAAGATCTTTCTCCCTGTCTCTCCTCATATATATGTGTATATATATATATCTATCTATATATATATATGACTTTGTAATAAAAATAAATCAGTCTTGTGGGGGGAATCCCAGTACCTATGGAACTGTGTCTCATAATACAATGTAATCGATAATTTAAAAAATAAAGAAAATAAATAAATAAATAAGTCTTTTTAAAAGAAGAATTAAAACCTACAAAGGAACTCTGAAAGCTGGGAACTGTGGTTCAAATACTCCTGACTTCCTCAAACTTGAAACCTCCCTGGGAAACCGCAAGAAGATCAGATTATCGGAGCTGATGTCATCCAAGACGCATGTCCCCTGTAACACCATACTCCCCTCCTCATCTCCTAATCAGTGTTTCCCAAGTACTTCCATTTGTCCTTGCGCAGGAACTGGGGACTGCTGCTAACCTGAGCAGTATTTCCACAGAGAACATGACACTGGCCCCCGATTAGCTCATGGGGGCGTGCTCTTGTGGGATTATGTGTAAACACAAGCCACAGCACACCAAGCTCCCAGCTCTAACAGGATTTGGGCAGAGTGTGCACACTCCATGATCCTGAGCCCTACACTCTACTTAGACCCTAACCATGCAACCCTGACCTTGAAGACATGAAGGGACGAGAGCCCAAACCCCAAGCACCAAGAGGAATGGTCCACTGAGCAGGGAGGACTCCTCTCTGCACCCTCAAAGCAGGCTCAGGACCTACCCTCTCAGAGGGACAGTGGGCTGGGGTTGCCACGGTTCCCAGAGCACCCCCAGTGCCAGAGGGGCAGAGCTGGAGTTGCCACAGTTCAGGCTCGGCCCCTGCTTTAGCTGTGGGCACTGAGACCCCAGGGAGAGCCGCCTGCAGCCCCGGGAGCTGCCTGCTGACCTCCAAGTCAGCTTCCTGCTCTTTCCAGCAGCAGCAGCTGGCAGCAGGAAGACCCACACTGGGGTGCACGGCAGCACAGGGCCACAGCAGCAAGCAAGCAGCATGAGGCAGGACGCATGTTTGTTCTATGACCACTTGTACCAATCATTGCTTACTAGTTTTTCAACACAAATGCAGTGTTGTGGCCCAACAGGTTAATCGGCCTCAGGGAACCCCCACTTCCTGAATGCCTGGTATCGATTCCTGCTCTGCCTCTAGTCCAGCACCCTGCTAGAGCGCACCCCGAGACACGCAGAGTGGTTCACGTGCTTGTGCCGCTGCACCCACAGAGGGAGACCCAGACGGAATTCCTGGCTCCTGGAACTGACTGTTGAGAAAGTGGACAAATGAATGATGGAAGACATCCGTGTCTGTGTGTGTGTGTGTCTGTGTGTGTCTGTGTATGTGTGTGTAGCTCTGCCTTTCAAATACACAAACATTTAAATGTGAAACTGTTTTTTAAAAATCTCCCAAGGGCCCGGCACAATGGCCTCACTGCTAAAGTCCTCGCCTTGAACCCGCCAGGATCCAAAATGGGCTCACCATTGGCTGACGTCATTATTATATGAGCTTCAACTTATTAAAACTGATTCTCTGGTAACTCTAATGTTTTGATTTTTCATGATCTCTGATCTGTCACAAATCAGAGGCTGTGTGAAAAGCCTGGTGCCTCTGAAGCTCCAAGCTCCAAGGAACTGTGACACAGATGGGCTTCTCACCTGAAGCTGTGCGCCGCCGTCTCCGCGTAACTGAAGTTCCGGCACCTTGAGCCCACGTTACAAAGCAGGCCTTGGACAAACAGGAAAATGCCCCGGCTGGGCAGATCTCGGGGTTGCAAGTAACCTGGGTACAGAAGAAGGAGCGAACTGCATACCTGCCTCCGGGAAGGGAGCACCCGTGAGTTCCAACTGTAGCTCCAAGTCATTTTATTAGCCCACTATTGACAGAGATTGAAGGACTCAGTCCAAAAACAAAACTCACACCTCAAGGTGAGTGCCTCGGAGGACCCACAGCTGTCCGGCTGGCTCGCTTCCCTGTGGATGGAGCAGCTCCATGTGCCCATGAGAGTTAAGCACTCGTGACGGGCTAGCAGCACATCCTAGCCACCTTTACAGAATCAGCCTCACCAGTTTTAGACCCATGTCTAGGCCAGTGGCATGATAGAGCTTTGGAGGCCCATGCAATGATTCAATTAACTTATTCTCTCCCTTCAAGCGCCGAGGTCCCATAATGGGGCTGGTTTGTGTCCCGGCTACTCCACTTCCCATGCAGTTCCCTGTTTGCGGACTGGGAAAGCAGTCAAGGACAACCCAAAACCTTGCAACCCTGTACCCACATAGGATATCCAGAAGAAACCCTGGCTTTGAATAGGCTCAGCTCTGGCCACTGCAGCCACTTAGGGAGCGAACCAGCAGGTGGAAAATCTTTCTCTCTGTCTCTCCTCTCTGTAAATCTGCCCTTCAAATAACAATAAATAAATCTTAAAAAGGCACTTAAACATTACCCATGTATCCTCATCAATGATTACTATCACAACTTCACCATCCTCATCATCACTACCATCACCAGCACCATCATCACCATCACTGTCATCATCACCACTACCATCATCACCACCATCATCATCACCACCTTCATCACCACTACCATCATCACCACCACCACCATCATTACCACCACCATCATCACCATCACCACCACCACCATCACCATCACCGTCATCATCACCATCACCACCACCTTCATCATGTCTTCACCACCATCACCACCATCATCACCACCACCACCATCACCACCATCATCACCACCACCACCATCATCACCATCATCACCACCATCATCATCACCACCACCATCACCGTCACCGTCATCATCACCACCACCACCATCATCACCAGCACCATCATCATGTCATCATCACCACCATCATGACCACCAGGATCAACACCACCATCACCACCACCACCACCACCATCACCGTCACCGTCATCATCACCACTACCATCATCACCACCATCATCATCACCACCTTCATCACCACTACCATCATCACCACCACCACCATCATTACCACCACCATCATCACCACCATCACCATCACCGTCACCGTCATCATCACCACTACCATCATCACCACCATCATCATCACCACCTTCATCACCACTACCATCATCACCACCACCACCATCATTACCACCACCATCATCACCATCACCACCATCACCATCACCGTCACCGTCATCATCACCATCACCATCACCACCACCTTCATCATGTCTTCACCACCATCACCACCATCATCACCACCACCACCATCATCACCAGCACCATCATCATGTCACCATCACCACCATCACCATCATCACCATCATGGCCATCATCACCAGCACCACCATCATGTCATCATCACCACCATCATGGCCATCATCACCATCACCATCATGTCATCATCACCACCACCACCATCATCACCAGCATCATCATGGCCATCATCACCACCATCATGACCACCAGGATCAACACCACCATCACAGGCATCACCACCAGATCCATGTCACTGGCGAGCTTGGAAACGCACCTCCCACCATGAATCTCTTCAACTCAACCTACTTTTAGTGGCTTACATCCCACACCCAAATTGAGTCCATTTAACTAGAACAAACCTATTAGCTAGTTGGAACAAACATGTGTAAATATCTTTCCTAAAAGGAAATATCTGGTACTTACAGATACATTGCTACTGTCATAATGGAACCGTATGCATTCATTACAATTAGAATTTAGAGTTTATAAGCATAGGCAAGAGCGCTATGGTTTTTTACCTTAACAGTTTTTATTTTAGAAAGTGTTTCAAGGGGCACATTCGGCCAGCAGTTAGGACACTGGTTAGGAACCCTGTATAGCACATTGGCATGCCTGGGTTCAGTGCCCGATTCTGGTAGGTCAGTCCAGGTTCCCGCCAGTCCACAACTCAGAAAGCACAAGTTCAGCTCGAGTGATTGGGCTCCTGCCACCATGCGGCAGACCTGCACGGCGTGCCCAGCTTCAGCCTGGCCCAGTCCTGCACCCTGCAGGCACTGGGGGATTGAGTGCTCCACTCCCTGGCTCTGCCTCTCCTAAATAATCTATCCAAAGTGAAACTTACAACTGTCTCTGTGTCTGGGAGGTTCCTGGAAACGAAGTATCACCAGAATCATGAACAGGAGACACGGCCAGAAGAATTCTGCAAGGGAAAGGACCTAGGGGGACGTGGAAGGAAGAAGAGCACTTGAATCCATCACAAAGCATCCTGAAGCCCGGCCCCAGAAGGACAGCTCCTCGCCACCCCCACTGCGAGTCTCCTGGGACACTCGCTGGGGGCAGGGACCGGCAGACAAGGCCCAGCTCCCTGTCACCAGGACTGCATCTGTGGCTGTGTCATTATCTTGTCCCTCCCTCACCAGACCTAGCCTCTGTACCTTACCTTTATGTGCTTTAAAGGAAATTACATTAACATTTTAATGTATATTTCCCTCATTCCAACAAATCAACTATTTTTCCCTCAGATTTTTCCTCTTAAATCAATATTTTGCCCACTTCAGTGGCATCACCTACTTCACACTTACCTTCTTTCTATGAATATTTCCCAGTGCCACTGCATGTCTCCTGCTTATCCCCTTGCTGTTAGTTGCACAGCACTCCAAACAGGCTGTAATAAATCCAGCTCTTTCAAGGTACAATTTCCTTATATAAATGATTTTAAATTTTCTTTTTTGAGATTGGAACTTACAAAACCAAGTCAAATGTTGACACAAACAATGTTGCAAAAATTAATTTTTTAAAAGTAGTATTGCAAAACAATGGCCATACTTTGTATGACCATGACTTTCCAGTGTTAACAGAGAAGTGTCCTGACTCAGGAGTCAAACTGCCAGACAGAGCCTGCAGGGGAGGTAACAAAAGGCCCAGGCATTCAGTTCTGACTGCTCTTCCCAGCTGGTCTTTCATCAATCAGCTCCTACCACTTAAGCATTAAAAGTTGACAGCAATGAACATGGCATCTGCCTGCTGCAGCCTCCCACTTGGAACAGTCAGAACCCAAGGGCCTTCTGGTCCCTGCCGCGCCTTGGCTGCCTAACCATCGTGGCCACGTCCTGGGGACTCTTCCCCATGAGGTGCAGCGGGAGGATCTGAACGTGACCAAGTGAGGAGGGGGAAGCCTGAAACAAGGCAAAGCCGGCAAAAGAGCGTGTATCCATCCCTGATTGGAAGTCTACATGAGAAGCTGCTTCTTATTTCCAGAAGCACCGTGACGGAAGTTCTCTAAGTTCTGAAAATCAGGGTCCTACACTGTGATCACTGAGCAAACAACGGCAGGGACCGCCCTCCTGGCCAGGGGTCATCACCCATTGATAACGGCCAAGGACATTCAGAAGCCCTCAGACATGTGAGCCACAAGCGCAGGACTCACCGGAGTACCACAGGGGGTAGCTGCCGGTGAAATTCTACAATTTTGGTTCAATACAAATTTCCAAAAATAGAAATTATGCTTATGTTAAGTAAGCATTGAATATTATTAAGAATAAATAGTTTATTTCATTCACTCTTTTTAAATGATCATCTTTTAAAGATGATTATAAAAATAGAAATGGCTTATAGACCCAAGACGCACGCAGTAATTTTGATAAACACATGTATAATCAGGAAATTTGAAAAGTTCATGACAAATACAACCACTCTTTCAGGATAAATTATCTTAAATGTTTTCTTAGTTCATTCAAATAATTCATGTACATAACTAATGTTTTAGAGACAATCTCTATACCAGAACTTAGAGATGTCTCCCATTGCTTTTGCTTTTTTATTTTAATTTTATTAATATGAATGTTTTATTAATTTAATTAATAATTTATCAAATTAATATTTGCATGGTTGGGGTTGATTTGCATGGTTGATTCTAGGGTGGGAAGGGTCAAGGACCAGAGGAAAGTTTGCAAGATCATTGTTTATATATTTCATTTTTTCTTCCTCCTGTATCTGGGGGAGGGGGCGATACAAGGGGGGAGACCACACCCAACCACCCAACCGCCAGCCGATGTCATCCCGGGGTCCCCGTTGCGGAGCATTTTCTGAGGGTTCTGCTCGTGCAGTTTCAATAGTTCTGAGACGCTGTTGATATTACTGCTTCAAGCATGAGGAAATACTTCAAAGCTCAATTAGCTGACAGTCCACCTCCGAGTCTCCACTTGCCCAGAAGTTTGCTGTCAAGCTTCACTTGGGTAGTCTATCAATTTGTTTTGCTCTCCTTTCTCTGCAAACCGTTGGGTGCTGCAGGCCAGCCCAGCCCTGCCCACCACACGCTAGGCCCTCTCATATACCAGGGTCAGTTGCTGCCCAGTCAGAGCAACTTCTAATAATCCGCACTGGCCTGGCCCCCAGCTCCGGATCCTCAGCCTCCCAGGACGTGCAGCGTATTGCCCCAGATCTTACATTCTCCAGGTAGTTCTGCAGTCTGGCTCAGCAGGACTTACCTGGAGCCCAGGCATTGTCACTTGCCAGCTGCTGCTGTGGCAAAGCCCAACCTGCCTGCCTTTTGCTCGTGCCTACACCAGTGGACACAAACAGGTAGCCAGCCTGGCTCTCTCCTAACCCAGTTCACATGTAGGCCAGCAGGTGTTGCAGCCCTGTGTAGGCTGTGAACTACGGCAGCTCCTTGCCTGGGGAAGTATCCAGCCTCGAAGATTTTACTGCAGAAATGAAAAACAGACCAAAGCAGTCACGTATTGTCGCTTCCTGGGTTGCTGAAGCAGGGCATACGCAACCACAAAAATGAAAAAATATAATCAATCACCCTTGTTAAAATCTAAGCCAATAATAATTTACTCTAATCACATTCCCAGTAGTACCTAAGATTTAAAAATTTTTAATTTTTGTCAAACTGATTTATAAGAGCAATAATCATTCTTTATTGATATTCAGCATTTTGAGACGTGTATAATAATTTTTTCTGTACTAACTCACTGCTTTCCCACCAGCTGCCCATTTTTCTCTTAAATTACTTGTTTCTCATGGACTTATAAATCATTTTCTGTTTTTTAATTTAAAAATTCAGTCCTCTCAGTGCCAAATGTTACAAATACTTTCTCTCTAGTTTATTTGCATTTTTAATGTCTTAATCTCTCATGAAATCAATTTAACAATCTTTATTTACAGTATCTAGATTTTTTTTCCTACCCACAAAGACAACATAATTTAAAGAACTTTGCCAAATTAAAAGTCATTGACAACTCTGAAACTGTGAATATGTCTCCATTCAAATGGCAAGTCTCATTTTAAATGGAAATAAGGCTGTTAGAAAACAAGACTTCACATGTTTATCATTGAGAAGTTCCTCCAAGGATCTTGAGGTAAAAATGCAACTGCAGTCAAACTGTGTGTGCAGGTGTGTGCACGCATGTGTGTGTGTGCGTGCTCCAGGCTGCTGGGTTCACAAGCCAGTCACCCTCTCTTGCTTCCCCGAGTTCAGCTGAGAGACCCTGGCAAGTGAGATCTCCCCAATAAACACACAAAAGCACGTATGTAAAGGACCCCTGAGAACACTGAAATTTCCTCATAAACTTTCTATTTCCTCAAATGAGAGGGAGTAAAGAAACAAAGTTAGGGGAGAGGGAGAGGAACCCCCCACACAGACACATACAAACACACACACACACACACACACACACACACACACACACACACACACGGTTAAGAAACAGCTTTCCAGAGCAGACCAAACAAGGGCTCTGTCCAGATACACCCCCAGCCTCATCAGGGCCACAGGAGATACTCTCCCAACCCTACTGACCGTCACAGCACAGGTCTCCATAGAACTTGCACCCCCAGAGTCCCCACAGGACCTGCGCCCCCGGAGTCCGCACAGGACCTGCACCCCCAGAGTCCCCACAGGACCTGCACCCCCAGAGTCCCCACAGGACCTGCGCCCCCGGAGTCCGCACAGAACCTGCACCCCCAGAGTCCCCACAGGACCTGCACCCCCAGAGTCCCCACAGAACCTGTGCCCCCGGAGTCCGCACAGGACCTGCACCCCCAGAGTCCCCACAGGACCTGCGCCCCCGGAGTCCCCACAGAACCTGCACCCCCAGAGTCCCCACAGGACCTGCGCCCCCGGAGTCCCCACAGAACCTGCACCCCCAGAGTCCCCACAGGACCTGCACCCCCAGAGTCCCCACAGAACCTGTGCCCCCGGAGTCCACACAGGACCTGCACCCCCAGAGTCCCCACAGGACCTGCGCCCCCGGAGTCCCCACAGAACCTGCACCCCCAGAGTCCCCACAGGACCTGCGCCCCCGGAGTCTCCTCATCTGCTTCCCTGTCAGAGGGGGAGAGGCTGGCTCTGGGAAGTACCCAAGGCGTCACTTGGAACACCAGGAGCCTCGGCCAAGTTCATGGAAATACTTGTGTAGAATAAACTAGGATGGATTAAGATTTTCTGCAGCAAAATCAACCTTTTTTAATTCCAGTTTTCTTGGAGTACACGTGAATAGAAAGAATTCAAAGTTGAAGAGTAATTTCCCTGCTAGATGGGAGCAAATGTAGGAGCAAAGAATTAACGTTGTCAAGAGCACAGAGCCCAGCTGGGCCAATGCGGGCCTCCTCTCCTCCCAGCTGGGCCAACAGAGGGCCTCCTCTCCTCCCAGCTGGGCCAACAGAGGGCCTCCTCTCCTCCCAGCTGGGCTAATGGCGGCTGCTTGGGGAGTGAATCAGTGGACAGAAGATCTTCCTTTATGTGTCTCCTCACTATATATCTGACTTTGCAATAAAATAAATAAATCTTTTTAAAAAGAAAGGAAATATATTATAAAAATATATAATACACAGCCATATAGGTCCAACATATACATATAAAGCCAACATACACATTTTCATAATAAAAGAACACCATCCATCAGCCACAAACAACTTGACAATGAAATCTAGCCAAATTTAAAATAGGACAAAACCTAAACACCAGTAGCTTTGCCAACTGGGAATCACAGCGGCACTCCCGCCACAGGGAACCTCTTGTCATGCTGTCTTACAGGAGTAATAAAGTTCGAAAGATCTTGGAACAGATGAGTAACCAGCCAATGGGTGCTAAGCAGAAGCCAAGTAACCAACCAATGAGTGCTAAGTAGAAGCCAAGTAACCAGCCAATGGGTGCTAAGTAGAAGCCAAATAACCAACCAATGAGTGCTGGGCAGAAGCCAAGTAACCAGCC